GAGATTCGGGTGCACGGGTCTGGCCGAGGCTTCATTGAAGAGGAGAACGGGGCGAAGGCGGTTGGAGGCCATGGCTTTTTTGCGCTCTGCTGATGTCAAGATTCCAGCTGGCGGCGGCCTGATCTTTTTACCGTGTTCTCAAAGCAGGCGCGGCTCGTCACGAACTGTTTCAGGTTCAAACAAGGGACGGAAAAGGGTCCGCTCAACAAACGCACCATCGCGCACACCGACGATTCCGAGCGCCTACGTCTCTCTCCTCGCACGCCCACAACACCCCCCAAAAGTCACGTTCATTCCCCAAGCGCCCCATGCATGGCCCCGGGCGGTTCTCACGGGACGGCACCACCATGTGGCCAGCAGCAGCCGTAGCAGCAGCAGCAGCAGCAGCACGGGCGGTGGGCAATGGCCAAAGCACGGCCAGGACAAGGGCACCCGCACGGACGGCGAAAAGTAGTCATCCGCAGCGCGAAAGCACGCACAGCCGTGCCTCGTGCTTTTCGGCGCGGACATGACTTGGGCGTGTCAATCGGGGACTTTTTTGTGGCTTTCTCGTTTCGCGTCCTTTTGATGGGCGGGGCGCGTGTGCACCCGCTCGTGCGTCCCAACTCGTGCGTGCACGCGCGCGTTGTACGTGCGCCGTTAACGTGCGACAGAAAGAGCAGAGGGGACCGGCGACAGAGGGGGAGGGGGGGAGGGAGGGGACCTGACCGGGGGCGGGAGGCGGTGTGGTTTGAGAAGCGCCCGTTTGGTCCTACATCCGGTTCGACTCACATGTGGCTTCGGTAGTTGGTGCTGGAGGAGGTGAAGAGAGGCGCGGGCACTGTTCTGTCTAACGCCGGTGCTTTCCGGAAGAGAGGGGAAGGGAAGGAGGTCGAGAGGGAGAGAGGGCACTGACTGTGATGAGCCGGCGCCAATTTGTTGGGAGGAAGAGGGCGCGAGAGAGAGAAGAGTGGCATTGAGCGGAGACGCTCGAGCATTTGCCTGACTCTCGCGCTGCGGTTGCGGCGCTGCTCCTTGTGGAGAAAGAGGAGAGGGGGATGTGGGAAGGGCCATGGCGGCTGTGGCATCTGCTTGTGGCGAAGTCACGACGACGGGACCATGATGTCGGCAATGGTGGAGGTGGTCACTCCTTCTTTTCTCGAATCCTACGGATTTCCATGCTCGTCGTGCGGCACGGCGCGCGAACAAGGGGGTACCTCGTACACAAGGCACCGGCGCGCGTGGCCACATGGCCGCTTACCACGGAGTTGGTCGCAGACACGAGGCGGGTGGCTGATTCTGGAAATAGAAGCGGTGGCGGGAACAGGGCATTGGGGCGGATGGGGGGAGGCAATGACGAGGCGTGATGGTGATGCTAGCGGGCCTACGGCACGGCAAGAGCGGGCGGCACGGGAGGGAGCGGGACGGGGGGCGGTTATGGTCGCTTAGGTTGAAGAATCGGGTACGGGTCGGGACCAGAAACTTGGAAGGGAGGAGGAGGAGGAGGGAGACGAAGGGGTGTGACGGAAGGAGGGCTCGGGCAGGGGAGGGTTTGGCATGAAGGCGAGCATGGAGAAGAGGCCGGATTGGGCGATTCTGGGCGACGGGGCGAATGTGATCAGTCGGCCGGCACGCCCCTGGGCGGGCAGGGTGAGTTGTGCAGCACTGGGCCGCAGATAACGGTACGGGCCGGCAGGGAAGACGCCTGGAGCACGTCTGGAGGCTCTGCGCGCTGGACGGCTCTTTCGGCGGGCGATGTCGCTCTTGTCGTGCTGCGGGAGGCGGTGGGTCGGCGTGTATGAGCGGATAAAGAGCGGTGAAGATGCGCTCTGACGCGCTTCAGGCTCACCGGTTGGCCCTTTGGCCGCTCTCTGCGCGCTCTCCCTGCGGCGCTGCCTCAGCCACTCAATGCTCACCACCACGGCCCATGACGAGATGCGCGGTGGAGACGGGGACGCCCGCCAGACCATGCGCCGAACGCCTGCCTTGGGCGGGCCCGCGGGTGGCTCTGATGACGTCGGGCGCGCGCGCGCGCTGCCGGCGGACGGTGCCCAGCTGGCCCTCCATGTCGTCGTATCTCCACATGTGGAAGGTTGAGGGTTGAGCTGGTGATCGCCGCTCCGCTCTCTGGCAGATCTGCTGCTTGTCGGCGGCACCGGTGCCAATTGCTCGCGGGTGGCTCGACCGCAGGGCAATACGCCGTGCCGCGGCCGCCGCGGCAGCCGGGCCCCGCCGCACGAGATGGGCTGACGATGGACGGGCGCGAGGTGGGCGTTTGGATGTCCGTTGGAGGGCCAGGGCTGGGGCGGTGCGGCAGTAGTGGATGACGAACAGCGCAACGGACCACCTCTCCGGCGCTTGCGCACTGACGGCCCATTCGGCGACCGCCTTCCTCCCATCTCCGTCGCCCCATGATGCCCATTGCCCACCACACACCGGCTCCCCCTCCCGGTCAGTCCCCCCCCCGTCTCGTAACCGGTGCTCCCAACACGTGTTCACTAGCAGTAGATGCCGATTTTTTCTGCCACCCAGTCACAAGACCGCGCCCTGCTGCGTTGTCCATGTCTCATTCCCATTTGCCCGCACGCCCTGACCGTCCATCACGGCCGATGCTGCACGTGGAGCCGCTTTGGGAAGTGCCCCTATACACCACCATCCCGACCAGGCAACTCCTGAACTCCCGGTGGCGAGAGGATGCGGACGGCGAGAGGGGAAACGCCATGGGCAAGGGCAGCGGCCGCCGGTTCGGGAATGGGGTTGCGGCCGCCCTTCGCCCTTAGTCTGCCCCTCCCGCCCTTTCATCGAGCCGGCCCGAAGAGAAGCTTTCAAAAGATCCTGGATCCTTGTCCGAAAACCACCAGAGCGTGCTCTTCGGACGCCGGCAGTGCTTTGATTGATCATGAATACTCATCATCTGGCGGCGTGCGTTCCGTTCCACTCAGCTCTTCCGCAACACGGCAAGGATGTCCTAGCCATCCGCTCTGTTCAGCCGCACGTCCTTTGCCTCCTGTCTCTGCTTGGTTTCTCTTTGCTTTTTTGTCTGATTTCCTTGCCTTTGCTCCTTTCTCTCCTTATTCTCCCTTCGCCCTCACTCGTCGCCCTGCCTTTAATCATTTGCTTCTCTGGGGCGGCAGCACGTCCTCCCGCTAGCCTCCGTGGTAAAAGCACGATCGTCGGCTGTCGAATCGGTGGCAGCTTGTGTCTTGCAATCAGCGCTTATAAGATCGCCCGCTAATATGGCCGGGCCAGCTGGGATTCTCGGCAAAGCGATTGGGAAGGGGCCATGGAGACAGGCTGATGACCATAGCTTCTGTCAGTGTCCACCAAAGGATCAGCTCAGTAGTCGTCACCGTGAGCGGTGAGCCGGATCCGGTAACTGTCCATATGAAGGCGGTACACACAAGCGAGACGTCTGACTTGGGGGTGCCCAAAGCACCAAAGAGATTTGCCCGTGATGAGCAGAGAGAGGGCGAAACCCGTGCTCTTTTTGCTCCATGGTCAGAGCCAACGTGGTCAAGGAACCAATAGTGTCGGGCGGGCGAATTGCCCGTTCCGTAAGGCTCTGTCGTATTGCCGTCGCTGGCCGGCTGCACTGTCTCTCCACGGCGGGTTGAGTCGCGGATGGTGGTCGATGGTTGACGATTCCCTCTGATGATATTCGCGCGCATAGAGGCGGGTGTAGACTCCTGATGAGCGCCCTCTCTCCTCGGCCGAGCCTGTGCCGCTCGCGACGCTGTTGGGCGCCGACGTCCCAGTCAGGCATTTTCGTGCCTTGGGCTCGGCATAAGGCTACCACTGGCGTCCAGATGCTCGCTGCTGACTCCCTCGCTGAGAAGACTGCTTTGCGGGGCAGGTGAGGAGGCAGTGTCACCAAGAAGCAACGGTGGGAACGGGGAAAGAGACGACCTATCACAAAACTCTCCATTGTCGCATCTGGAGGCGGGCTTGAGTTTGTGACGAAAGGTTGGGTAGAGGATACGATGGCATCTATCAGGGATCTGCGAAGCATATGGTCGGGCGAGGCTTCCCTGTCGCCATGGTCGGATACATCTACTTCCTTGTACCTTGCTCTCACCTGTCTTCTGGGCGCGGAGTGACACGGAGACTGACACTCCGTTCATCTAATAAGACACAGATATGCTCTCTTTGCGTGATTCAGTAAGCAGGGCATGCCCAACGCTCGCAGGCTTCCCCTGTCCGCAGATGGGACCGGCCGCGGGAATGACAGTCGGGGGACAACGGCCACTTGTAAGGAATGCGACAGCTGCGGGTATCGCTGGGACGCGCCGAAACGCGCGGGTTTTAGTGCCGTTGGCTCGCTATGTTCCGAGACGCGCGTCACTGGCTAACGGCGCGGGGAAGGGGGGAGCTTCAAGCACGACGACAGCCTGGGATGGACATTTTGAAGGAAGCGAGGGGTAGAGGGGCGACTGGTAATTAATCCTATGACGCCACGCGTGCCGTTGTCGAGCTCTGCTTCTTTACCAAACATAGTTCGCATATACAATGAGTAGGCCCGCCTGAATGCTTCACCAAGGCCGTCGCTCCAGTTGCACTTCAGTCCTACTGCAGCACAGCTGACGCCCTTCACTGAATCGTTGTCCTGCCTTTGCGAAGCCAGACCCCCCAAGAAACTGCGGGCTGCGCTGGAGATGCCCAATTGACGTGGCAGAGCGCAATCGCAAACGACCAACGGCAGCCATAGTGACGTTTCGCGGCCTTGGCTACAATACAGACCCCAAGCCGCAGAGCGCAGCCCATGGGCGGAAGGAAGGAAGGACCCTCCAACCACACCTTCCTCATCGGCCAAGAGCCATCCGCGCAAAACCGTCACTACTACCCCTTCCATCCAGCGCCTTGAACCATTTCCACCGTCATCCGCTAACAAAAAACCATCGCCACGCTCCTTCTCTCACCTCGCCTCTCTCTCTCTCTCTCTCTTTCTCTCCTCTTCTCCCCACCTCCCTCGCTCTCACCAGTCACCAACCAACCGATCGAAACCGCCCCTCCCTCCCTCCTTCCTAATCCTCGCCCCTAAACTCCGCCATCGCCGCCCACGCCGTGTCCCTCGCCTCCCTCTCCACGCAAACCCGACACTCGCCCCGCACCTCGACCGCCACCCTCTCCACGCCCCGCCGCCGCACCTCGACCGCATCCTGCCACACCACCCGAACCTCGCCCTCGCCCTCCGCGTCCCCCTTCAGCACGCGTCCTCCGGCAGCACCACCACCGCCGCCCTTGCTGCGCCGGAACAACCACGACGTGAAGACATTCGACACGAACCATTTGCGCAGCGCCGACGGACCGCGGCGCGCGGCTTGAGGTGGGGGCGGATAACGGCGGTGGTGGAGGCCGGCGCGGAGGACGCGGGTGGCGTGGGTGGGGGAGACGGTCTTGGAGGGGGCGAGGGAGTCGGGGAGCGTGTAGATGTGGAGGGGGCGGGGGTGAGGGTTGACGGGCGTGGCGAAGGGGGTGAAGGTTTTGGTGGTGGGGGAGTCGGTGGTGGTGGCATGGCCGTGCTGGTTGTTGTTGTTGTTGATAGAATGGAAGCCGGTGGTGCGGGTACGGGCACCGGCGCTGGATGTGGATGTGGATGTCGTTGTCCTGGTCGGTGGCGCCGCTTCAGTCGCGGTGCTGCTCGTGGAGGTCGGGGGTGAAGTTGTGTTGTTGTGGTCGGGGTGGTCTTCCATACTTCCTCTTGGAGAGCGACGCGATTGGCCGTGGGGAGAGGAAGGGCTGTCGCCGGCGTAGCATTTCTTGTCGCAAGTGGAAATCGTATGGAAGGCTCCGCCGCAACTGTACAGGTAGGTGGTTGCTTTGCACATTTTGATCAGGTTGGCGGTGGCCTAGGGAATTGGCAGGTAGGTGGGTCTGAAAGGGTTGTGGGAGAAGTTTCGAGGCCTTGGAGTGGCCGAATTTAAGAGATTGGGCTACAGCAGTGAGTGTGGCCTAGACAAGCAAAAGAGCGCGGCCCCATGCCCGTGGAGTGTTACTCTTGGGAAGGTAGCTAACCATTGGTCCTTGGTAAGTAACTAAACTTGAGCTTGACGATATTGGAGACCTTTTTGATCAGCGGGTATTTGAACACTCACCGGAACTGTTGATCTCACCGATTAGGTCAGGAGATATAGTAAAATCCAGACGTTGCCGAATCCTTGTGCCACAACCAACGCTCATGCTTGAGTTGGCAGCTTGAGCTGGCAGTTCAACACCGTGGTAAACGGATTTCTTGTCCATTGAAATCTCAGCTAGCCAGCTCGCCGAAGCAACGTTTGCAAGTCTGAGGGTAGTTTGCAGCCGAAGCTCACATCCACTTCCTCTAAACACAGATATTGGTCTCACCGTTGTGACTTTCATTTTCATCGAGCGTACGGCAATTGCATAAGTTTTCAGTCACTCCTTTCTATTTATTTCTTCTACTGCCTTCATTGAAAGTCCAAGATACACTCAGGACGCGGTGAGTACAAATTTTTGTGGCCTATTCGCTTTAAGGCTATCATGAAAATCAGTCATTCTCAAACTCCCCCGTTTGTTTTGATACTATCGCCGTAAATCCAGTAAAGCTTGGACAGTCGTTCTTGAGGCGCCTTTCAGCTCTCTGAAGTTGCCTCATACAATGGCCCAATACTATGCTTCTCTTGATGCAGTGACTTTAACGATTACACGACTGTAGAGGTGCGTCAAAGCGGTGCGAGGGAAGCTCAATTTCACTTTTTCTTCCGGAGTTCCGATGCTGTCCATTGCTCGTGGCCTTTTCTGCGCCTCCCATACCAACATGACACTTCATCTATCCTCGTCATCGGTATTGATCATCGATGACTATATCCATTTCCTCTAGCTTCGTCAGGTTGGCTGTTTGGAATAGTATGAGGAACTGATGACAGCGGAATAGAAGCCCAGATCCCGTCATTGCTCCATTAGAGTACCAACCAGGCGAAGTGATTTGGCCATCCGCCAAAAGGCAGAATTTGAGACCGCAAAACTGGTTTCCCCGTACGGCGCCACGGCCGAACTCGATTGGAAATGGTACAAATGGAGTCAAATAGGATTAGATCGGGGCCGATGGCAAGCATTGTCGCATAATTGTCCATATGGAAGCTTGGTTCGTCATCACTTTATGCACATACTTTCAGCGGTGGGCGCAAGCAGCTGTCAAGCTGAATAAATACGATGTCATATCTGACCCCGAATTGAATTAGGCTACACCTCGACTTCTAAAGAACTGCTCTATGATGTCTTCGTTACTCTTCACCCTTTGTTCTGTGCTTAAATCAGTTAGCAGATCAGTGTGAGAAGCATGCCATCAACAACTGTAAACTTTTAGATTATCTAAAAACCTTGTCGCTCTACAACCTCCAGTTCATGCTTATCCAGCAACAACTCGCCGCGATGAGAACCAACAAATATAGGTGTAAGTTTTCTCGTTACCAAGCATGGATTCGGGACAGGTTGGGAGTTCTCATCCTGCGAAATCATGACTCTTCCAGTGTTTCTGTGCTGTTTTCCGCCACAGTATGATTGCTTCCTTTGGCGTCACATGCAGGACTCATGGCTCACACATTATGTTGTTACTACCGTTGTAGAAAACTAGAAATAATCCTTTGGGAGGGGTGAAGTGCATGACGGGCAGCAGGTGCTCTCGTAGTCTTGCCGATGCACACGTGATACTGTCGCAAATGCACCGCGTTTCTTTTACTAATTAATCCCACCAGTCACTTCTTCACTCTTCGTTCACTTGCCACTGACAGATGAACTCAAACATTACGTTTCTGCTCCTGCCACCGACTCCGCTTCTTCCCCTCCGCAAAAGTCATCAGGGCTTTTACCAGCGACTCTCTCTGCTTCCCCAGACACCTTCCTGTTTCGATTCCTATGCGCAGTAGCATCTACATTAAATAGTCACAAGCATCATTGGCCCACACTGATGACCCCTATATCTCTATTTCAACGAGCTTCAGCATCACTGCTTCCATAGTCGAGACTCTCGAACAAGCTCCTAGCTCTTTGATTAAGACACCTGCTGCCACAGAATCAGTTTGCTGGTAGCACGACCTCGAGAGTAACGGTCATGTTGGTTGCTACGCATAAGCCATTGTGAATACTTGCGGTGGAATTCTCAAGAATACAGCAAGGGCTGCTCTCAGATTGCTTTATCTGAGACTGGTTTGATACAAGATTCAGATGACCCGACAAGATGGAGAGAGATAACCCCAATCTATTTTTTTTGACCTTACAACTAAGGAACTTTGGCTTCGCGGCCAAAATCCAATAACTTAGGTGAACTCGATGCTCATTAGCAAATACTTCATACTTGAGGTTGTACTTTTGAAACACATAACTAACCAGCTTCAGAGCTTTAGTAGTCTCGCGGTTTGTTGTTGCGAACGCAAATTTCAATCAGTGAAAGCAAATTCATTATCAGAGAAGCCATGTAAATATCTTTCAAAACTGCGTGATCAAATCATTCATTGCAAAATTTGACATCTAAGCATTTTGAAGTAAATTCCACTCACGCGCCGCCGACCTGCTTGAGTATTCCCTCAAGGTTGATGCTCTTGGGCCTTTCGATGGGCAAGCCCAGGGCGCGGTCCCAGATAAGTTGGGCGAGGGGGCCGAGGCCACGGCTCACACCAAAGGTTGCGGTATAGTAGAGGGTCTCCTTGAAGCCGTAGTAGTGGAAAAGAACGCCCGAGGAAGAATCGACGTTGGGGAAAGGGTTCTTGGTCTGCGCAATTTTAGCATTTCTGAACTTATGATTGTAGGTAAATTGTAGATTGTGGGAATTTTTACTTTTCCATGCTCCGTGAGAACAGCTGGAGCGATCTCAGAGTTTGCCTTGACTAGGCGGAAGACAGGATCGCTTGCAATTTCTGGCCTTGCGGATGCGAAATCCATGAGAGCTTGGAAACGAGGGTCCGGCTTTCTGAGAACGGCGTGACCATAGCCAGGGATAACACGGCCGGACTTCAGTGTTGACCAAAGGTATTCCTTGATGTGGCTTTCGGTGAAATCATTGGGGATTGCCTCCTTCATCTGAATGATCCAACGGAGCACCTCTTGAGCGGCAAGTCCGTGAAGGGGACCAGCCAAACCCTGAAGGCCCGCGCTGTAACTCAAGAAGGGATCGCTGAGGGCGCTACCGACGAGGTGAGTTGCGTGTGCCGACACATTGCCACCCTCGTGGTCACCATGAAGCGCAAGGTACAGCCTGAGAAGGTCCTGGAAGCCTTCGTTCTCCTTGCCGCCCTTGCCCAGCATAGCAGCGAAGTTGTAAGACCAATCCTGGTTCAGGTCAACCTCGGCAGGCAGCGAACCACCGCCCTTGTAGGCATTTTGGTAGATCTTGGCGGCAATGGTAGGGAGCTTCGCGAGGAGGGAGATGACATCGTCGAATGTTGGCTCCCAGTACTCAGCCTTGTTAAGACCTTGTTCGTACAGCTTTGCGAACTTTGACTCGTAGTTCAGCGCGGACACGGCGCAAGCGAACTGTGTCATGGGATGGAGGTCCTTGGGGAAGTTGTCAAGCATGTTGGAGACAAAGGTAGGGATTGCGGCCTTCTCTGCCAGCTCCCGCGAAAGCTTGCGGACTTGAGAGGTAGTGGGGACCTCGCCGGTAAGCAGAAGCCAGAACATGGCTTCAGGAAGCATCTCAGTGCCGCTGGTGCCCTTCGGGAGGACTTCCTGGCAGTCTTTGATTGTGCGGCCATGGAAGCGAATGCCCTCATTTGCATCGAGGACCGAGCCTTCCCAGACCATGGCCTTCAAGCCTCTGGAGTTCGCGTCTGTCAGAGTCTGCTCAGCGGCGGGGAAAGCAGACCCACGCACCTCATTCCACCTAACGTGTTCTCAACCTTCAAGTCGCCAATCTTCTTGTCCGCATGGCCCTTGACTTTCTTGAGCAGCTCGCGCTTCGCGGGAATGACCTTCGCAAGGGTCTCTTTGAGGTCAGGCTCGGAGGAGGAGGCATAGCTGCGGGAGGATTCGCGGGCTTGAACTACGTTGAGGTGTGAGCAGCCGGGTAAGTTTGGCGCGGAAGCGGATAGGCTTACTAGAAGCGAGAGGCTTGACAACAGAAGGCTTTGACGATGTCAGTGAGTGACCGAGTTCTGGGGATCGACGATGCTTACCCTCACGCTCCTGAGAGCTCTCGAGGCGGTACGAGCGTTCAATGCCATAGGAACAAAGAAGCGGTGGTCAATTGAAGCCCTGGAGCTGCTGCAGATAGGCTGAGAGGGCAAGAGCGGACGACGAGGGAACCGATGTAAAGTAGGACTCGGGCTGCAGCTCTACCCAGGATTTGGCGGGCTGGCAGGAGGTGGGAGGCTCGCGGGAGAGAAGGGTTCCGTCGGCTTTGGAGGCGGCGCTGGCGTGCGGGGCCCCCAGACCTCGGCCCAGGGAGCTCTGACGTTGAACCGCCCCACTGCCTGCAACGGTGAATCAGCAGACGGCTACCGGGAACCGCAGCACTCCTCCGGCCTCGCACGTCCTCTCATCGCATCTTCCGTTCCACCTCGGCGGCGGCGGGGTCTTCTCTGAAAACGATTGGGCGCGCCGCTTGCTGACTCCAAAGACGTCCACGCCGACGACAGCCGAGCTCCCAAGGGGATCAACGCCCACCCGCTACCTGTCTGCCGCTTACCTCGACCCTCGTCTTTCCTGGCCACGGCAATCCCACCTGCAACCACCGCCTCACTAAACCCAAAATCCTTTCACGACCTCCGCGTCATGTTCCGGAACGCGTCGCGAGCTCTCGCGCGTCGGAGCCGCTACACTACGCGCCTCAGTCTCACGCCCTCCCTACTTCGCCCACTTTCCACCTCCGTGGTCCGCATGGCGCCGTCCCCCCTGGGCGCTGTGTCCCCGCCTGTATCGACGGCCCTTCCGGCAGACTCGTTCCAGCTCCAGACCGAGTATGACAAGGCAGGCGACGCGGAGGAGGCACTATTCGACGCGCAGGTGCGGCAAGTAAGAGATTGGTGGGCGTCGCCACGTTACAAGGGTATCAAGCGGCCTTATTCTGCGGAAGATGTTGTGTCCAAGCGTGGTGCATTGCAACAGACGTATCCGAGCTCATTGATGGCGCGGAAGCTGTTCAATCTGCTTGAGGAGCGCGCGGCGGAAGGGAAGCCGGTACACACAAGTGCGTCCATCGTCAATCCCTCAACTTGCTCTCTTGCCATTGCTTCCCTGGGCTGTAGCTCATCGCCATGTGTAGATGCTGACTGGTCTGCGTAATAGTGGGCGCTATCGACCCCGTTCAAATGACACAGCAGGCCCCGAACCAAGAGATCCTCTATGTCTCTGGCTGGGCCTGCTCTTCCGTTCTGACCACCACCAATGAAGTTTCAGCCGACTTCGGCGACTACCCGTACAATACCGTTCCCAACCAGGTGCAACGACTGTTCAAGGCCCAGCAGCTCCACGACAGGAAGAATTGGGACAACAGGCGGAAACTGTCCAAGGAAGAGCGCGCTAGGACGCCGTATGTGGACTATATGCGGCCAATTGTTGCCGACGGCGATACTGGCCATGGCGGCCTGTCGGCAGTCATCAAGCTTGCGAAGCTCTTCGCCGAGAACGGTGCTGCTGCGGTCCACTTCGAAGACCAGCTACATGGGGGCAAGAAATGCGGGCATTTGGCGGGCAAGGTTCTCGTTCCAACCGGCGAACACATCAATCGCCTGGTCGCTGCTCGCTTCCAGTGGGATATGATGGGAAGCGAGAACCTGGTCATTGCGAGGACGGATTCGGAGAGCGGGAAGCTGCTGAGCAGTGCCATCGATGTCCGTGACCACGAGTTCATTTTGGGTGTAACTGAAGATGTAGAGCCCCTGGCTGAGGTGCTACAAGAGATGGAGATGAACGGTGTCAGTGGAGCGGAAATCGATGCCTTCGAGGCACAGTGGGTCAAGAAGCACAAGCTCGTGACCTTTGACGAGGGTAGGGATTTGCCAATCAGCCTGCCACCAACATCGGTTTATGCTAATTGTTACAGCCGCTATCGAACACCTCAAGTCCGAGAACGCTTCAAAGCACGCTATTGACAGCTATCTCTCCGAGATCGCGGCAAACCGGAATCTCTCTTTGAACAAGCGCAGAGCGCTTGCTTCTCATTATGCCAGACGACCCGTCGTGTGGTCAGAGAATATTCCTCGCACGCGTGAAGGCTTTTACCACTTCAAGGCCGGTCTTGCACCAGCAACGAAGCGTGCAATTGAATTTTCCCCTTACGCTGACTTGCTCTGGCTTGAAACAAAGGAGCCGAGCGTAGATCTGGCAGCAGGATTCGCAAAAGAAATCCACAAGGATGTGCCTGGAAAGAAGCTGGTCTATAACCTTAGCCCAAGCTTCAACTGGATGGCTCACGGCTTCACGGAAGAGACGCTGAAGAGTTTCATCTGGGACTTGGCTAAACACGGCTTCGTTCTGCAGCTCATCTCCCTCGCAGGCCTTCACTCGACTGCTACCATCACCAACGAGCTTTCAAAGGCTTACAAGGACGACGGTATGCTGGCGTATGTCAACCTCGTCCAGAAGCGTGAGAAGGAGACGGGCTGTGATGTCTTGACCCACCAGAAATGGAGTGGCGCGTCCTACATTGACGGTATCTTGGGCCACATCCAGAGCGGTTCAAGCGGAAGCAAGAGTATGGGAGAAGGGAACACTGAGACATGTAAGTCGTACTCATTCTCCCTGAATCTTGAAGTGGCATCTAACGGGAACTTAGCATTCTGATATTCTCAATAAAATTCGAGATATTTCTTTCTGCTGTATGTACATATACCAGGATGGGACGCAGCTATGCGTAGAATAAGATCAGCAGTTGGCGATATCCTTAGATGGCTTTGGTGAATGAAAATTTTGTTCAGATATGTACCTTTACTTGTCTATCGTGGCATTGATGACCGTAGATTTGGAACCCATATATATCTGCATCCGGATGCTTGCTTCGACTACTCGTGTATCTTTCATCGTCGCGACTATGTATACCATCTACGAAGAAGGTTCGCTGGGAGGAAGACGGAAAGCAGGGATCTAGTAAAGACGCGACAGATGGATTCTGGAGAATAGCGACACTTGTTTCACTTGATTTTCCCGTCGTCGAAGTGTGCTCCTTCTGTTCTCCGGCTTGTTCTAGCCCGAGGTACTGGCACTAGATACACGCGTGAGTCGGCCAGACCGTGAGCTGCGATTAAGGAGAGACGGAAGCGCCGGAGCGGTGGATCTGGTACGGGAGCAGAAAGCAAGGGTGACGAATGGGCGACCAGTTTTGCGGAGAAACGAGGCTTTGTGGTTGACGTAGGGCTCGAGGGGTGGCCAGAGCGACCCAGCCCTACGCGCTTGCCCGAGTTTAGCCTGCACCCGAGCGGAAGAACGTGTTGGGCTGGCGTCTGGGCACCCGAAGCCCCGTTGCCGACAGCCCAGAGTTATTTTCTGACCGGGGCCAAGCCTAAAAGATATCCACCGCCTTCGCCTCCCACCCTTTCTTACCTCCCCGGCTTCTTTTTTTTTTCTGCGCTCTCACCTCTCCACTCTACCCGCGCGAGCAAGCCTACGCGCCCCAGGCTCGCCCGCTCTTTTCTCTCGCGCTCCCAGCAGCGCCGTTCGTGCCTCGCCCCGTCGCACGAATCTTCACCGCGCTCGCTGGCCTTCTCCCTGCGCCCCTCTCCGTAAGCCCGCAGCCGCGCAGAGAGCCACGACACCCTGAGCGCTTGCGTTTCTTTCCATTTCCAAAGATACCCGGGTCATGCCCCACCACGAGTCGCCTCCCATGGCCGCCGCTGTAGTTGCAAAGACCGCCGACCCTTCCCAGGCCGTTCCGCCAACGGCTGACGAAGTCTCCTCCCTCCTGAACAACTCCCTTACGGCAAAGACGTCGCAGGCCTCGCTCGATGCTGCCTACGCGCTCTGCGGGCTCTTTGAGGGCTCCGTCGGATTCCGCGGCCTGAAGGCCTACGGCATCATCGACGAGGTGAAGAAGGCCGCCGGCAACAAGAAGGATGCTGTGAAGAAGGAAGGCGCCATGTTCGTTTTGGGCGCCATCTTCGAGCGCATGCCTGCCCACCAGCCGCTGAGCGAAGTCGTTCTTCTCCTGCAAGAAGAGAAGCTGGTGCCGCTGTGCCTCGATGCTCTGGCCGACAAGAACACCACCATAAAGGAGTCCGCGCAGTACGCTCTGGACGCGCTTTTTAAGCAACTCAGGGCTGAGGCGCTTGTCTTCGGTCTGCTTCCCGTTTTGACCGAGTACCTCGCCAAATCCACCGGAAAGTGGCAGGGTTCCGTTGCTGCCTTCTCCCTGCTGACGCAGATGGCGGACAAGGCGAAGATGGGCATGGGCAGTCTCGAAGAGGAGACTGAAAAGGACGTTCTCCGCGATGCCATGGGCAAGAAGCTTGCAGGCCTCATCCCCATTGTCGATAACGGCATGCACGACCTGAAGGCCGAGGTTTCCAAGCAGGCCATCAAGGCCATGAACGCTCTCTCCACCCTTCTCCAGAACGACGACGTCACGCCCAAGATCCCCCTTCTGATCAAGGCCATGGAGAACCCGTCTCCTGCCAGCACACAGAAGGCCATCCACGCTCTCTCCATGACCACCTTCGTTGCAGTCGTCACGGCGCCTGTTCTGGCCCTGCTCACGCCGCTTCTGGAGCGCTCTCTCAACAACCCTTCGACCAACCAGGAAGTTCTCCGCCAGACTGTGGTGGTTGTCGAAAACTTGACAAAGCTTGTTCATGACCCTGTGGAGGCTAGGAACTTCCTGCCTAAGCTCAAGCCTGGTGTCCAGGCTGTCAAGGATCGCGCTTCTCTCCCTGAAGTCCGTGAGCTGGGCGAGCGTGCCATGAACGTTATCAAGCACGCCATGGGTGAGGATGCCGATGGCGCCTCGCCTATTGAGCGCACCACCCCAGAGCAAGTCGGAACCGTGCTGGACAAGGAGATTGCCACCAACGGTGGCCTTCTGGACCTCCCCGGTGACGCTGAGCTGTGGAAATTCGCCCGTGCTTACATCACCGAGATGGTTGCGGAGGACGCTAACCAGCGGGCTCTTGACCGTGTCGTCAAGAGCATTGAGCCTTACATCAGGCCCTTGACGAGCGAGGGCAGCTCTGCTACCATCGCGGAGAACGTTCACCGTTATTTCCTCGAGGAGGACGAGCGCAAGTACGGCAAGCCCGTCGTCGAGGATGATGGTGAGACTGAAATTGTCAACGCTACTTTCTCCCTTGGCTATGGTGGTATGCTGTTGCTTTCTCACACCAACCTTCGCCTCCTGAAGGGCCACCGCTATGGTCTCTGTGGTCGCAACGGAGCCGGAAAGTCGACTCTGATGAGGAGCATTGCCGAGGGCAAGCTCGAGGGGTTCCCTCCTCAGGACGTCGTCAAGACTTGCTTTGTCGAGCACAACCAGGGTGAGGATGCGGAAATTACCATTCTTGAGTATATTTCGAACGATCCCAGGTTCAAGGACGAGAGCAGGGAACGCATCTCTGAGGTCCTGGAGGAGGTCGGTTTCACTGCCGGTCCCGAAGGTCGCCAGTCCGAGAAGGTTGGCTCGCTCTCTGGTGGTTGGAAGATGAAGCTTGCTCTCGCCAGGGCCATGCTGATGCGCGCCGATGTCTTCCTGCTGGACGAACCTACTAACCACTTGGACGTTGCAAATATTGCCTGGCTGCAGGACTACCTCAAGAAGCACACAGAGATCACCAGCTTGATTGTTTCCCACGACTCCGGTTTCTTGGACGAAGTGTGCACCGACATCTACCACTACGAGGGAAAGAAGCTTGTGTGCTACAAGGGTAACCTGGCCGATTTCGTCAGGCAAAAGCCCGAGGCAAAGAGCTACTACACGCTTTCCAGCACCCAGGTTCAGTTCAAGTTCCCGCCCCCTGGTATCCTCACCGGTGTCAAGTCCAACACTCGCGCCATTCTCCGCATGAGTGGTTGTTCGTTCACGTACCCTGGATCATCGAAGGCTTCTCTCAGTGATGTTACCTGCTCTCTGACCCTATCCTCCCGTGTCGCCATCATTGGCGCCAACGGTGCTGGAAAGTCGACGCTCATCAAGGTCCTGACTGGCGAAGTCATTCCGCAAACTGGCAAGGTTGAGAAGCACCCTAACCTGCGTATTGGTTACATCAAGCAGCACGCTCTTGAGCACGTTGAGATGCACATGGAGAAGACACCCAATCAGTACCTGCAGTGGCGTTACGCCAACGGTGACGATCGTGAGGTGCTCATGAAGCAGACTCGTGTCCTGACCGCCGAGGATAAGGCGCAGATGGAGAAGGAGATTGACATCGGTGATGGAAGGGGCCCCAAGAGGCTTGAGGCTCTCATTGGTCGCCAGAAGTGGAAGAAGAGTTTCCAGTACGAAGTGTAAGTGTCCATCCCTCCGCACCTGTTTTGCGTCTTCCTCAAACTAACGACTTCTACAGTAAGTGGGTTGGCTGGCTGCCGAAGTACAACACCATGGTTTCCCGTGAAACGCTGCTTGAGCTCGGCTTCCAAAAGTTGATCCAGGAGTACGACGACCACGAGTCTTCCCGTGAGGGTCTTGGTTACCGTCAGCTTGAGCCGAAGGTTATCTCCAAGCACTTTGATGACCTCGGCCTGGACCCTGAGATCGCCAACCACAACGAGATTGGCGGTTTGTCTGGTGGTCAGAAGGTTAAGGTTGTCATTGCTGTAAGTCACTACCAATATTTTCTTCGACATGTACATCAGCTGACTTGATATACAGGGTGCCATGTGGAACAACCCCCATCTGCTTGTTCTCGACGAGCCGACTAACTTCTTGGACCGCGACTCGATGGGAGGTCTCGCTGCGGCCATCCGCGACTACAAGGGTGGCGTGATCATGATTTCTCACAACGAGGAGTTCGTCGGTGCCCTTTGCCCCGAGCAATGGCACGTCGCCGATGGCCGTGTGATCCAGAAGGGTTCTCTTGCGGTCAACTCTAGCGCGTTTGAGGACAGCAAGCCGGGCAGTGTTGCCAGCTCCACGGTGCCCAGCACTGCGGCCAGCAGCGCAGTGAACTCGGAGGCCGAGGGTGGTGACATGAAGTTCAAGGCCAAGAAGAAGAAGAAGATGACCAGGGCTCAGCAGAAGGAGAGAGAGGTGAGGAGGCGTCTCAGACACATTGAGTGGCTGAACAGCCCCAAGGGTACTCCTCACCCGCCGGATACGGATGATGAGGCCTAAGTTTCTTTCGTTTTGCGTATGATGATGGTGAGAGAGGGGGTCCATTGTTCACGAACATAATGGTGGATCATTCTTTTGTTTCTTTGTTTTTCCAACAAAAAGGCGTTACGACTATAGAAGGGCTATCGCGGGAACGATTCTTTACGTTTGCTGTTGTTTCTTGTTTGGGATCCTTAACGAGACAAAAGACACGAAGGCGGCTTTAGAAGAGATTGCATTTTGGATAGTCTTATAGATGGAGGCCAACGTTTTTCTATGCATCCTTAGCACACGACAATTCATAAATTCCGTCCACCTTTGCAATGCACTTGAGATGTACCGCGGAGCACGACCCGAAATGGCACCACCACACGACCATGCTCGGAGTATGTCTCGCGGAAGCGGGTAGTGGTGTGTAAGTTGCTGATAAGCGGTCTGATGTGAGAAAAAAAAAAGGTAAATAGCTCACACCATAGATATCTGACCGCCAATTGTGCTGCGGTCAGCGCAATCCCATATGATAGTCCTTCCTTTTTGGCGCTTTTGGGGCGAGGAGCGGCGAAAGGACTGGATTTCATTACCGGGTGCCCGGTCAGAGGGGGGGTGCGCGTGATGGGTGTGCCTAAGCATGATCGCCCGGCAACTCACGATTTTCCCGCTCACTTGTTTCTTTTCTGCCTCTCGTCGTGAAAAAGATTGTCGGATCATGCGGGAGTCGCCCCTCCCCGCTCATGCAACGGCGGCACATTGGCCCCGCTGATTCGCGGAAAGGTTCCGATGACACTCCGTCGACGCCGCATTTTACTATTGCGAAATCTTTGCCCCATCCTGTGTGACTCTGCTCGTTATCAAAAACAAACCGGCGGTGCCCTGTTTGGGCGTGACCGGTTTTCGCTTATTGGGTGTGATTTACCCCGCGCGAGCGTCGCGGCGCACACATGCACCATGCACCCACCCAACGCAAGCGCCGGTGCTCGGACGGGGCGGCGGCGGTGTTGTGCGAGCGGGCTTTGTGCGGGCTTTCTCTAGATTGATTTTTTCTTCTCCCTTCCTTTTAAGAGTCACAATCGCCGAGTCCGCATCTGTACATGAGGAAACACAACCTTTTGCCAAGGTCCTTCAGAAGATTGCTGAAGAGCGTCGGTGTTTGACGTGTTTCGTGCTTCATCTTCTCCTTCGTTTTCGATCCTTGCGTCCTTTCGCCGTCTTTGTATTCTCTTATGGCATAAAAGTCGCTGGCTGCCTGATTCCGCTTTGAAAGGCACCGACGACCATCATGAGCGCCGCAACAACAACGCAAGAGACGACGGTTAGAGAGGCTGTGCCGGACCAGCAAGAGCAAGGACAATGGGAGCAGAGCCATGGCGGTGGCGGTGGCGACGACGACGACGAGAAGACGTCTCTTGCGGCTGTCCAACTCTGGTGGCAGCGCAACAGGGCGTGGGTGCTGGTCCTGGCGGCCGAGAGCTTCGGCGCGTGCATGGCCGCGACGGCGAGGCTACTGGAGGATGATGAGAAAGGCGCGGCCATGCACCCGATGCAGGTATGCTACTTTGAACTTCTCTTGCTCTTTTCTCCTTTGCATTTTTTCTACGAGAAAAAAAAAGCAAGTCCATTTACCATCCCTACAGATCATTTTCGTTCGCATGGCCTTGACGGGCATCCTGAGCACGATTTACATGCGCGCGACGAACGTTCGGGACTTCCCATGGGGACCGCCAGACGTGCGGTGGTGGTTGGTGCTGAGAGGGCTGACGGGTTTCTTCGGACTCTCAGCCTTCTACTGGGCGCTGCAGTACCTCCCCCTAGCAGAAACGACCGTCATCAGCTTCCTCACGCCCATGATGATCCCCTGGGCCGGCGCCCTGCTTTTCCACGAGCGGCTGTCCAAGAAAGTCGTGCTCGCCGGCCTCGTCTCCTTCGCCGGCGTCATCATCATCGCGCGGCCGCCCTGGCTCTTCCCTTCCACTCAGAGAAGCAGCCACGACGACGACGACAACAACGACGACGGCAGCAACTCGGCGGCCATGCGCACGCTCGCCGTGACGCTGCTGCTCATGGGCGCCTTCACCGCCACCATCTCCTACACCGTCATCCGGGGCATCGGCCACCGGGCCCACGCCCTCATCAGCGTCAACTACTACTCGCTCGTCTCGACGGCCGGGTCCGGCCTCTTCCTGCTCTTCGCGCCGGGCGTCGACTTCGTGCTGCCCGCCGGCGTCCGCCAGTGGGGCCTGCTCGGCGTGATTGGCTTCTCGGGCTTCTTCCTGCAGTTTTTGCTGACGGCGGGGCTGCAGCACGACAAGAGCGCGTTGGCGACGACCATGATGTATTCGCAGGTGCTGTTTGCGCTCGTGTTTGATCGGTGGATCTGGGGGAGCGTGCCGCCGTTGGCGAGCTGGTGTGGCGGGGCGGTGGTGTTGGCGAGCACGGTTTATGTGGCCGTGTGGGGGAGTGGTGGGCACGGCGAGGATGAGAGCGGGGCTGGGAAGGAGGCGGCCGTGGTGGCGGATGAGGAGACGGGGCTGCTTGCTGGCCATCGGAGGGATGAGACCGATGCGGAGACGGCGAATCTGGTGAACGAATGAGTGTGAGATTATTGGGCCAGGTCGCTCGCGGGCTCTCTGGATGGACCGCGGAGAAGAGTAAAAAAGGGGTTTCGAGTGGTATGACGACGCGACTGGCAGAAATTGAATGGCCAAAACAGCAGAGGTGACACAGGGGAACGGCAGATCTTGATGTCTCTTCTCGGAAGGACGGTCCAGTGGGGATGGAGTCATTGGATAGAAGTTGGGTTTCAAGGCTAGCAACGAGGTTTTTGTTCTGTTTTTATGCAAACGATACGTTTAGCATCAGTGGCTGAGAGGCGATGAGGAAGCGTTGCGCATGCCTGAGAGGTTAGGATGCACACGCGCGGCTTCTTAGCATGGCAAAATAGATGTCTGTGTTCCAGCCCGGTGTCTTTTCCGAAGCATGGTTCCCGAAGTGACGCGTAGCCACTGGCGTAGATGGAGGAGTGGTGGACGTGGCTGCGGGGAAGGCAGGCTTTCTGGAATAGCAAGCAGCTCCCACGCGCAACCCAGAGCGCCATGGCGGCGAGAATTGGGAGCCGGCTTGCAGTGGCAGCAACGTGGGCCGCCGAGCTCGGCTTGGGGCAGCAGTAGCCAACGCTCGGCCGCTTTCGGCAGGCGGGCGCAGGCGTCACTGCCGTATCCGGGGCGATTGGCCTGGTCACTGCACAGATCTCGGCGCCCTCGCGTCAGCGATAAGCGACGACGCGCTTGCGCAATCATCAGCACTCCTCAGCACTCCCCAGCACTCCCCAGCACTCCCCAGCACTCCCCAGCACTCCCCAACCCTCGACGCCGCTCTCCCAATGATCCTGCTGGCTGGCCAGGCCAAGCGCTCGCAATTCCCGCCCGCTCGGCTCCACGCCACCTTGCATTCTGCGAAGCCTCCACCACCCATCACAGTCTCGCCTCCTGCCTGCCCAATCACAGCCGCGCCGCCGCCGCCTTCAGCTCAAGCCACCAAGTCTGCGCCGCCAGTCGTTGACGGATGCTCCAAGGCCAGGTGCTTCGTCTGGACCAAGCTCCGTCAACGGCGCCTTCGGGATCCCCCGCTGGACGGCGGCGAACTTATTGACCCTTGTATCACCGGCTGAGACTGAGCCTGCTTGGGCATGCCCTGCCCCGCCGACAAAGCCACCTGATCTGCCCCGTCCGCCCTTCTTGCTGTTCAGATGAAGCATCCCGTGCGCACCACCAGGCACCGTGCTGCTGCCCGCTCGCTGCTGGCTGCCAGCGCCCCCGCCTCTCGAGTGCTTCACGCAGATGGCGTCCCGCTAATCCCACACGCTTCCGGTAGCTGCCGCCTGTGCCAATACCTTATTGGTGCCGTTTAGTGTCCTGCCTGTCTGCACCTCTGCCGGCTCTGCTACCACCTCAGCCTCCCTGTACCAGTGCCTAGGTACTAGACCCCCATGCTCATGCAATGACGATCGTTCCCTACCAGTCGGATCCACCGTGTCATTTCTTGTTTTAAACCACTGGCCCAGAGCCTGGGCTTTTTACTCCTACATCCTCCTCCGCTCTCCATCTATTCCGACCCGCTGCTTTTCCCATCAGATCCAAGTGTCCGGCCGTCTCTTGCCGTGGCGCCGCCCTAGCTCTGTTGAATGCCACATTAGACTGCGAGTCTGCCTCGCAGCCTATACCCGGACCTGGGTCTTCTCTCATACGTCTTCACTTTTTCCGCATCCCACACTCCGTTTGCTCCTCTCTTCATCTTCGTCTTCCTCCGTTCCAACCGAGGCCCCTTCATCTTTGACAAATTGTGCGCTCTCGACGTGTCCAATCACTAATTTTCACCATCAACAAGAAACCCCAGTTCCTCAGGCCCAAAGGGAGGAACTGGCTCGGGATATCTTAAAATGATTTTTCCACTCACTTACCGGAGACCACTGTCCAGTAGATCACTTCCCGCATCTGAGCATAGCAACGATGAGAAGAAGAAATCGCTTGACGAGTCCATCACTGGGGGATCGCAGCACTCTGGCATATCCAACGGAATTCCAGACGCGCTGTCATTCGATCGGATCGTTGCCGGCGGCACATGTCCCGTAGGTTCCACCGCATCTTCCCGCCTCCCTTGCTGTAGGCGGTCTGTGTCGTTGTGTTGCACCGCATTGGCCTCGGCACCATATGATTATTTTTGTCTCCTCACCCGACTAGCAAAAGCGGATACTGACTTGAGGCCGGCAGCCCTGCACCCTCCGTGAATTCTTGAACTACCTGAAGTACATTGAGCTGTCGGCGGAAAATCTCCAGTTCTATTTGTGGTTCCACGACTACGTCAAGCGTTTCGAGGCCCTTTCGCAGAGCGAAAAAGCCCTCTCGCCGGAGTGGACTTCGGAGCAAGCAGAGTCCGAGGCACATGCAGCAAAACCGAGCAACCGGAAATCTAGCCCTGGGACGGCTGCGGTGTTCAAGGGGACAACCTTCTCGGATGCTCCCCAGCCTGCAGACGGCGACCGAGCCAACCCGTTCTGGGATCAAGTTGGGTGCACGCCATCTGAACACAGCGGCAATGATACCATGGACGCTTTCTCGGAGCACAGCTCGACGGACTGGCAAAACTCGCTGACCAACTCCACCGTCAACCACTCTGAGGCGGCCAAAGATGCGTTTGAGTCCGCAGGCGAGAAGTTTCAGCCATGTATGTTTCTATACACTTCGGGTGCCGTACAGCGACTGACCTATCCCACAGTCACTATCCAGCCGTTCCGCGAGGAGATGTCGCGTATTGTTACCATCTATATTGCCGACGGCGGGGCGCGGCAGCTCAACCTCTCGTCGCGCGAGCGCAACTCCCTCCTGCGCGCTCTCGCTCAGACGACGCACCACTCGGCTTTTCGTGAGGTCATGACCAGCGTTGAATGGTCTCTTCGCTGCCAGGCCCACCCGCACTTCATCCGCTGGACCATCTGCAATGGCAATCGCCCACGCGTGATGTTTGCACGCGGTCTTGGTGTCTTCGCCATCCTTGGCGGTATCATAATGGGGATTCTCATGACTTTGAGCAGCATACCCCGTGGCTTGCGTGCGCTTTCGGCCATACCACTGATCATCGGCATCTCGACGCTGATCGCAGCGTACAAGGGGATGTGTGTTGTAAGTCAAGTCTGGCGGCGCGATACATGTTTGATGCTGACTCGGGCAGGTGCTGCACGGGATGCACCATCGACATGTACGTCCATGGGAGCTCTTTACCTCTGAGGACGAGCCAGCAGTATACTCGGAGAAAGAAGGGACTCGGAACAGCTACGAGGACGAGCCGTGGGTGGCCAAATACGAGCAACGCAACATTGTCCGCAAGATATTTGACCGTGAAGTATGGATTGAGGAGCCAGCCATGCGGCAGATCCAGGACACGATATTCGTGCAGAGTTTGATTGGAGCAGTCGTTGTCAGTGGCATTGTAGCTGCAATCTTCGTTGTTGTGCCCAAAGGCGGCTTCATTTGATTGTTTTCTGGCAACTCATCCCTTGACTGAGCCAAGGAGGACAGGCTTCATGTTTTCTCTTCTTCCCTTGACTAGGCTAATGTCAATTTTACGAGTGTTTCTGATGCCTGAAGCTGAATTGCCCAGAGCGGTCCATACTCAGGATTGAAGCCAAGCCCAGTCCGACATGGACGAGCTGGGTATAGGTAGTTGCGGGAAGATCGGCGGCATGGGCGCGCGGGCCCCGATCTTGGGCGTCGATCTTCCGTTGGAGCTCCCCCTCCTCGCTCCACTTGACGAAAAGCCCCGTCAATGTCGTCATCAATGAGCTTTCCCTCCCAGGGACCTGCGCCAATAACCAACGAGACGTCTTAATTCGTTCGGCCTCGCATTATTGTTTCCTACGCACGAAAAAACCATCTATCCAACCAGCCCATAGCAAATCGACGTTCGACAGCCTTGATACCGACCGGCAGTCAAGGAACAATCCCGGGTGTTTCCGCCCAGGCTTCCGTAGGAGCGAAGAAAAGAAAAAGAAAAAAAGAAGGAAAAGAAAAGTCGTCGTCGCTCTTCCCTACGTACCCGGTCCACGGATTACCGACCGACCCCCATTTCGTCGTCGTCGTTGTTGCGATCAAACCCCAAAACAAGCGCTCGCACCTCCCTCCAACCCGACGAACGGCCTGAGTACATCCATCAATCCATCCATCCATCCATCCATCCATCCATCCCAGAGAATAATAATGTCGCCATTACCGCCCTCCCGGCCCTGGGCCCTCGTCGCGCCCGCGTCGCGCGGCATCGGGCGGGCGCTGGCGCGGCACGTGCTCTCGACGACGCGGGTGCCCGTCGTCGCGACGGCGCGAGGCGGACGGGAAAAGGTCGAGGCGGCGCGGAGGGAGATATTGGCGGGGTTAATGCCGGCGGCGGCGGGGCGGGAGTTTGAGGAGAGGTTGAAGGTGGTGGGAATGGACTTTTTGGGTGAGTGGTGCATGCATGCTTCGCCTTCCGTTTTTGCTCAGATATATATGTCTTGCGCTCGCTCGCGCCTGCGTTGCGAGTATGTACAACGCACATGAGAGGAGAAGGAGGAGAACAAGAAGAGGAAGAAGAATAAAAAGAAACCGCTAACAGCAAACAACATGCAGACGAGTCCTCCATCGCCGCCGCCGCCGCAACGTGCAAACGGCACTTCCCGACCTCGGGCGACGACCGCTCCCCGCAGCGCTGGCACCTCCACCTCGCCTTCTGCGTGCCGGGGCTCCTCTTCCCGGAGAAGTCGCCCGCGCAGATCGACGCCGCCGACGCCCTGCTCACCTTCCGCACCAACGCCCTCGGCCCCCTGCTCGCCATCAAGCACTTTTCGCCCTTCCTGCCGCGCAAGAGCACAAACATGCCATCGTCATCATCATCATCATCGTCGTCGTCGTCGTCGTCGTCGTCGTCGTCGTCATCGTCATCCTCTTCTGATCATCCACCGCCCGACCCCGACACCAACGCCTACGCCGGCCTACCCCACGGCACCGCCGTGTGGGCCACCATGTCCGCGCGCGTCGGGTCCATCTCGGACAACCGGCTGGGCGGGTGGTACTCGTACCGGGCGAGCAAAGCGGCCGTCAACCAAATCACCAAGACGCTGGACAACCACCTGCGGATCAGCGCGGGGGGGAAGGCCGCGGCGGTGGGGTTGCATCCGGGGACGGTGCGGACGGGGCTGAGCGAGGAGTTTTGGGAGGGCGTGGAGAAGAAGGAGGGCGGGGAGCTGTTCAGCGCAGAGTTTGCGAGCGAGAGGCTGGTAGATGTGGTGGTGAGGGGGTTGGAGAGGGAGGAGGAGAGGGGGAGGGGGCGGTGTTGGGATTGGAGGGGGGTGGAGGTGTTGCCGTGATTGATTGGTGGGTGGGTGGGTTTGGCTTGGGTTGGGTTGGGTGATGGATCGGGTCACGCGAGAGGGGTGGGGCGGGGAGAGAATGAGGATTGATTGATTGTATGTGTAAGATATTATATATCATAGCTTAGGAGACGGCTTCGGTGGCCTGCGTGGTGTATGTTCGTTTCATCGTACAGTTGGAAGTGCGAGCCTGCTGTGTGCTCTTACTTGTTCAGCTCCGCGGCCCGGGCCTTGAGCTCCTCCTTGCTCGCCGGCTTGCCGATATCGTCTACAATGACGGGGCCCTGGATTGCATGTGAGCGTTGAAGGCACACATGGGTGTGCGGGAGTGGAAAGACGTACGGGGTGAGCCTTGTGGTCCGAGGCGTGGGCCTTGCTGTTGGATCCGCCAGAGGTGACGTTGGACTCGGTGTCGTGAAGAGGGTGCGAGGAGGCGGTGCTGTCGGACGATGCCTTGGCAACCTGGTCGGTGATGTCTACGGAGCGGTTCGTAGTCAGCTCTCTGGTAACGCGGGTAGATGGAGGGAGACTCACCGCCGGTGGCAGTCTCCTCAGCGGGGTGCACGGGCATGTTTGCGGTGTTTGTTGGGTGAGTTGAGGTCTGAGTAAAGTGTGGCTCGAGTGTTGAGGGCAGAAAGGGTGTGCTGGAGGGGCGCAGTGGATATATCAGGCGGGGCGGCCAGGATGACGTAGGCGTCAGGTCGATGCAAAGTTGACATGCATGAACCGCGCCTAAGCGCTGAAGCCGCCTTCCGGCCTTGGTACCTTCTTCACGCGCGCTGCAGGCCCGGAGCTGCCAGAGCTGCTGTTGTGTGCCGTGGCCGTGTATCGCTGACGTCACTGTTTCCCCGCCATGGCAAGCGGGGTCGACGTCGAGGTCGAGCCACTTTCCTCTTTCCTCTTTCCTCTGTCCTCTTTGCTCCTAAACTTTCCCGCGCTCTGTTCCTGCTCTCCGCATCGCAACAATGTCCGCCGGCTTCGAGGTTCGCGCTGTTTATTCCACTGTTTGTGTACAAAGACAAATGTTGCTCATCGTCTTGTTTGGAAATGATGCTTCGGCAACTACATTGCGATGAACAACGCATGAGAAGGCGATAGGTTATAACGCAAGCCCTGGAACCACAAGCATCGTTCCCATCTCCTTGTATTCCAAGGACCGCTGTCGCGTTTCTGATACCGACAACCGTTTCCTCAACCATGGACAGCCGCAGTATGGTGGAAGGCATCGACTGGCCTGGCTGGCTTGCTGAGCCGGTTATGAAGCCGCTGCTGGGGGAAATTGAAGGTAAATTCAACCAGACCGTATACGCTGACAAGCCAAAGGTACGACTTCTCGTTGGTCCCGACCGTGTGCCACTCATTGTGGACGAGGCCACCTTGGCCACCTTCTGCCCCGGCATGACTTGCTGCCACCAGCGAGACTCCCACACGAACGCTTTCGACGTTGCACTACCCGCTTACTCACCCATGGCAGTACTCGTCTTCATCTGGTGGTGCTATGAAGGCCATCTCAAATCCCTTGATGAGAGGGCCCTCGTGTTTTCGCCTCTGACCTTGGCTCACCTCTCGCTAATCTGCCAAGATTTCCGTCTGTCCCGCTTGGGGGACTGGGTGAAGAGCTACGCCGAACTCCAGTTCTTCGACGACCGCCTGTTCCCGGACCTCCACCCGAAGAAGTTCGCCATCAGCTTGCCTGTCCTTGGCACGCTTTGGAACACGTCCAACGACACCAACCCCCTCCGCCATGTCTATGTCGAGCTCTTTGCCTATGGTTTGCCGCTCATCACCCGCGAGGACGGCAGCAAATTTGTGGCCGCGACCTTTACCTCCAGCACCATGGACAAAGCACCGCATGCCTTTAGGGAGGAGCTCTGGAACACAGTGCGCACACGCGAGCTTAAAGGTAATCAGCACGGCTGGCTGTGGGGACTTGACCTCCCGGGCTCTCTTATCAACCACGCTTTCCTGAAGACTTTGGATGACACCCAAAAGACTGTGTTGAAGCACATACTTAAGAATTGAAGTTCATCCTCGCCAAGGACAGAATTTCCGACGTTGTCGGATACCATAGTTGAGGAATGCAAGAGCACCTGGCGTGCTACCAGCGCTTTCTACACTTCTTATCTTCTGAGGTAATTAGACCGCCAAAAAAAAGAATTTAGAAAAAAATTATGAGGAAATTAGCATCTTCCCTTTATCTTTTGTCCATTACCGTGTGTAGAGATCTCCGTATACTTTTACCCTTTGTCTAACCCTTTGTCTAACCCTTTGTCTGACCCTTTGTCTGACCCTTTGTCTGACCCTTTGTCTAACCCTTTGTCTAACCAAGGCGTTACATCTAACAGAAGACTTTCTTTCCTTCCTGGCTGACTCGCCTACTGCCATGGTAGGCTTGAAGAGGGTTTGTTGACAATTTTTAGTTGCTACACTACAGCTGCTCGCCTGATATACGTCAGTGGAGAAAATGAGGCTAAGAATATGGGGGTTCCGCTACCCATGTAAGTATGTCTATTTCATTCGTCATCCACAGTGGGAGTCCCAATGCAGAGGGGCCCAATTGAGAAAGTGTCTTGGAGGCTCGGGCTTCGTTACGCGCTGTTAGCACGGCTTAGTTGCATTGCCATCAGTGGTCTTGGCAGTCACCCGTTTGGCTCCTGGCAGCAACGTGGAGATGGCCTCACCTTCATGTGGCTCCGAGACGGGCCTCCGGTGGGTCTCCCCGGCGTCCGGACAATACTTTATGGTTATGATTCCCAGGTACTAGGGAGCAACTCTTTCCAGAGTATCTACCATTTCTCCAGAAGTTTTGTGAACGGTCTCACCACCCTCGGCTTTGGTCCTCCTCCAGACCGATCGTTTTCGTAGCCCACAGTTTCGGTGGGCTTTTACTAAAACAGTGCTTGACCAGCCTGGCAGCATATTCTGACCAACAGTTATCAGATCTTGTAAATGTAAGTGGGACGGCGGAAGGTGGAGTCGAACAGGAGAAATGGTTGTCATGGTAGATCGAAGACCACCCAGCTATGGTCAAGCTTGCCAGAGGCGACACCACTTATCACCATGTCCTGGTCTATTTGCAAAAACGATGTTGTCTATACGATCAAATACGCCTTCCGCAACTCAAGGGTCCAGTAACAGAAGGACTCTGGACTTGTTAGAAGAAGTCTCAAAGGCAGGAGTATCAGTGACTCAACAAAATAGCTCTGTAGTGAGCGGTGTTAATGAAGAAAGGAACTACACGCCTAAAAGGTCCGTATCGCTCAGTCATTTTCAATCCCTTTTGAGCTAACTTTGAGTTTCGAGATATCATCGAGTCGTCATATTTGGAGAGCTTTGCTCACAGACAGTCAAACATTCCCGCCGAATATCCTTCCACGTGCAAATGGATCTTCCAAAATCAGGATTTGGGCATCATTCGATGACATTCGATGGCTAATCGAGGGCAAAGACGCATATTGGACTCATGGCAAACCAGGCTCCGGAAAGTCAACCTTTTTGAAGTACATTTTCGAGCATGATGACACATCACAACTCTTGCATCAATGGAGCAAAGATGGTACTCTCATCAAAGCTGGATTCTTCTTCTACAACAGAGGAGCCAGCATCCAAAAGTCATTCGAGGGCCTCGTAAGAAGCATCTTACATTGTCTTAAGTTCCCGGTCTCTGCGCCGCGATCCCATACCACTATTTGACTATCGCTTCGATCTCAATCCTCTGCACCATGCCGCCGGCCTCTTGACAAAGATCCTACTACGCCACAACGCCGATGCCAACGGGGAGGATGGGAGGGGAAAGACGCCCATCGACGTTTTTGTGAGAAGAATATCACGCTTCCGCTTGGATTGAGCAGAATCCCGGGATTGATGAGGGCATGAGAAGGCTATTGGGAAAGCCGGTCTTCTATCAAATTGTCTAGGTGGATGATTATTGTTGACAACTGCCCTGTTTTCCGTCTTTCTTCAGCCCATTGTAAGCTCCGCAACAACTGCAACTAGCCATAATCCCACGCCGTTTCCCATTGAAAAAGCCAGTGCCCAAAAAAAAAATCCCATGAATTAAGATCCAGTAACACAACTAGGGTATGAGAAAAAGTCTGCATGCTACAGTCCCCCGCCCCTCCTTCGCAAAAGCCCCTCGTATTTCACACATCTCCTCGCAAATCCTCCCCTACACGCACAAACACCATCCATCTACACCTCCTTGGCCTTCCAGCCGCTCGCCTTCTTCCACTTAGTACCGTCCACCAACGCGGGGCCCGTGTTGGTGAAGTACTCCCTGCCCTTGATCAACCAAACCATGAAGCTGGGCAGCTTCCAGCCGAACACGGAGCCGACGCCCTTGCTCTGGCCGATGGGCACAAGCTGCGTCTCCTTCAGGTTGGGCTTGTATTCGCGGTCGGCGCCCTCAGCCTTGGCGTCGAGCTTCTCGCCACCGGCCTCGGCGAAGGCGTGGAGGTCGCGGGAGAGGTTGGTCATGACGACGGGGGTCTGTTGGGGGGTACACAGAATCGAGTCAGTAGGGGAAAGATGACAAAGAGGGAAGGAGAGGAGGGAAGGCGAATGCTTACCGACGAGTCTAGGTCCATGACGCCGCCGCGGGTGTAGGTGCCGACGTCGCCCAGCGCGAAGACGCGCGGGCCGGCCTCGTCGACGCGGAGGGTGGCGCCGTTGGTCTGGATGTATCCCTTCTCGTTGAGCAGATTCTTGGGGACAAAGTCCGTGTTGGGCGTGACGCCAGTGGCGTTGATGTAGACGTCGACGGTGAGGGATTCGCCGGTGCTGAGGGTGACGGTGGTGGTGCCGTCCTTGTTCGGCTCGGCGCTCTCGACGCGCGCGTTCTTCTTGACGGCGACGCCGACGCGGGCGAGGAAGCGCTCTGCCTTCTCCGCGATGGCGGGCCGCAGCGCGGGCAGGATCTTCTCCTTGTCGGTCGACACGGTGATGAGGGCTTTCTGGTTCTTGGGCGGGCCCGAGGCGAACCAGCCGGGGCTGCCGTTGAGCACCTCGCCGATCTCGCCCGCCGTCTCGACGCCCACGGGCCCGCCGCCGCCGATGAAGATGCTCTTGGCCGTCTTCAGCCGCGCCTCGGCTGCCGCGAGCGCGCTCTTCGTCTCCTCGGCGCCGCCGCCGTGCTGCAGGCTCCACAGCGCGCTGGACGAGTGCGTGCCCGTGGCCACGATCAAGGCGTGGTATGGGAGGCTCTGCTCTTTGCCGTCGGTGGACTTCACGGTGACGGTGCGAGCGGTGGTGTCCCAATCGGCGGCGGTGCCGAGAAGGAAGGTCAGCTTGCTGCTGTCGTACTGCTCGAGGCCGGGGCCAATGGGGAAGAAGAATTTGGACGTGGGCATGAGCTGCGAGGAAGCGACGGCGCGCGGAGCGGCGATGCGGAAGAAGAAGTCGTCCGAGGGGTTGACCAGGTAGACGTGGTACTTCTCGCCGTTGCGCGTGGGCAGCGTGGGCAAGACGTGCTTCATGATGTAGTGGGTGGCGCCCAGGCCGGCCCAAGAGGCGCCCAGGACGACAATGTTGAGGTCTTTGGTGGACGACATGATGGCGATTGGCAGCTGCGAGCGAGGAAGGAGGAGTGAGGCAGAGGAAGAGGTTGAGGTGCGGGCGAATGATGTTAAAACAAAGAACAGTGTTTTGTTGCGTCGCGGGAAACGCAGGGATGGCAGGGCGAGAGGATGGCCGGCGCGTAGGAGTTTGGGGTGGGGGAGTCCGAAGCTTCCGGGTTGGGCCAGCTGGCGTCGGCCTGCGAGGGCACGCCTTGATAAGCGACAGCACGCGGTGCCTGCATGGGGATTATTATAGTGCCTGAAGCTTGACGGCTGTCAATCCCCCGCGTCGCCGCACGCTCTGGCGGAGGCCCGCAAGGGGTCCAGCGGGAGCTATGGCCACGTCCGACTCATGCCGGCGTCAATCCACCATGACAAAGCACCGTCCGGCGGCGGGTCTTCAGCCTTCCGGTGGTTACAAATGGCCGTCTGCCGTCTGCCAGCTTTGCCTGCGCATAAGCAAGTGTCGGCCGAAGAGAACAGCGACGGCGAGGGTCCCGCGACAATGGTCTGCCCGAAACAGCCCCTGTCCAAAGGCGGAGCCGGTGCGGGCTCACCTGGGCTCACAGGCTCGCTGCCTCGTTCCACGGCAACCGCTTCCCATGTCGCTCGGTGCCACGGCGCGCAAGAATGAGGTACAGGCCGGCCTTGCATCGTGCCGAGTTGAACAGCAGCAGGCGCAGCGACGCGAAAGGAACCAGGTCCGACGCGAGTGCGACGGTGTACACCCAGACGCGCAACCATTCCGCCGGCGGGCCGTGCTTGGGGCGGATAGATCCGCAGTGCTGTGCCATCGCCATCTTATCGGCTTATCGCCTATCGCCGCGTCTGACGCAAGACGCCCCGCAGCTCGCGTCTGTCTCCCTCCCACCTTTGCCAATTTTATATGCCTCCAACGAGCATGAACGCCAAAACACTGTCCAAACCCCGGGAAACCGTCGCGCTGTCTCAGGATGGGCTCCATTGCTCCTCGAGCCGCTGTCGGCATCATTTCCATCGGTGATATGGGCCTGGGTATCGCCAAGCTTCTCCAGGCCTACAACTACGAGGTTCTCACCACAACCGTCGGTCGAAGGTAGGTTCAGACACTAATTGGGTTTGAATCGCTAGTCCCATTCGTTGACCTCGCCAGCCCTTCGACCCACGCCCGCGCCACCTCCGCCGGCATAACCGTCCTCCCATCCGACGGCGCCCTCGTCGAGAAGGCCGACTACATCCTCTCCATCGTCCCGCCCCGCGACGCCGTCGCCACCGCCAACCGCATCATCGACGCCTGGACCGCCGCCTCGAGCAGCAGATCGACCCCGCTCTACTTCCTCGACCTCAACGCCATCGCCCCCTCCACCGCCCGCAGCATCGACGCCGCCCTCACCTCCCGCGCCCCAGGCATCCGCTTCATCGACGGCGGCATCATCGGCTCGCCGCCCAAGCTCCTCGACGAAGAAGCCGCCGCCGCCGCCCCCAACAGCAACACCGACGCCGACGCCGACCTAACCGCCAGCCTCCTCCGCTGGAAACGGCCCTCCATCCCCATCTCGGGGCCTCACGCCCTCGACGCCGCCAACACCACCACCACCGCCCCTCCCCCATCCGGCGCGCACCTCGCCGCCATCCTCAACACCAAACACCTCGACCCCACCATCGGCCCCGCCTCGGGCCTCAAAGCCTGCTTCGCCGCCATGACGAAAGGCTTCTACGCCCTCGCGCTCCAATCCTTCACCACGGCGCACGGGCTCGGCCTGCTCCCCGAGCTGCGCGCGCAGCTCGCCGCGTCGTTCCCCGCGCTCGCCGCCGCCGCCGACCGCGGCGCCGTCGGCATGCAGCACAAGGCGTATCGGTGGGAGGGCGAGATGCGCGAGGTGGCGGAGACGCTGAGGGCGGAGGGCGGGTGGGGGGCCGCGGGGCAGGATGCGGTTTTTGATGGCGTGGCCGAGGTGTATAGGGTTGTGGCGGAGGAGACGGGGTTGGGGACCGAGGAGGGGAGGAAGGGAGAGGTCGAGGGGGTGGTGGGGGAGTTGGCTGTTGCTGCGGCTGCGCGGAGGCGGGATGGTGGCGGAAAGGGGGAGTAGGTGGGTGGTGCGGGTAAAGGTGGTACTAGTGAGCAGGGGGAGGAGGAGGAGGAGGAGTAGGAGGAGGAGGAGGATCGGGTGAGGGGAGGTATTGGAAATGTGGAAATTTTACTCAAACTTAGCGAAGGGGCGGCAGATACTTACACGGAGAGGGGGGCCGGGAGGGAGAAATGATGGGAGGTTGCAGATCCAAAAGATGTGAATTCTTTTTTTGATTTTTGTTCGCTAAGATCAAGACGAGAACTTTGTTTTCCAAGTCCCCCCCTTCCCTGGTAGGAGCTGCTGATTTGACGGATCCGGACAGCTTCACTGTCTCTCTTTAGCTGTGGCTGAACGGCGTCCGTGCTTTTGTTCGCTTCTCCCCACGGGCCTCTCCCGCTCGTCTGTGGCGTGGGACGCGTATCTTCAAAGCTTCGATTCGATATATTGGAGAGGTTTCCATAACGGGACCGGCAGTAGATCTTGATAGAGACGAGGGCCATCTTTTACATTTGGTATCCAAGAATAGCTAAGAGAGAAGATTCCCCTTGGAAGCGAGCAAAAAGGGCTCGCTCGCACGTCCGCCTCTCCACACGGGTGCGTCGCGTGCGAAATGCGTCAAAGAAAGGAGAGGCTGAAGTGGGGTGGCGTCGGTGGAGACCGCATGATGTGCTAAGCTTTTTCGCCTCGCGTTGCAGCCGACGCAGGGACCATTTGCGCACCTCGCTATAGTCGTCTCCCCTTTTAAAATCAAGGAGCCCCTCTCGCTCGGCCCCTCTCTCACTCAATTCCCGGTTCCGTCTTCCGTTGGCGCCGACATCATATTGCAATGCGTCCGTGGGACGCGCGTCGATTGTGTGTACTGGCGTTTGTTGTGGCTTCTTGACTCCACATCTCATTGAGTCCTGGGTTGTTTTTTCCGAACACAGCTGTCGTCCGCCGGAAAACGCCTTCGCTATGCAAAAAGAAAGGAAACAAGATACGAAAGAAGAGAAAAGAAAAAGTGACTTGAAAAAAATGGTCCCGTCAACAACCTCTAGTGGAAAGAAGCCAAGCGACTACGACTCAAATGTGTACAAGCTGCGTTGTCGGACAAAAACGGGTATCGCGAGAAGAGATCAAAAATAAGACACCTCTGAGAGCAGATTGGGTCGGCATGATGAGGTTAGCATGACAAAAGGATACAATGAAACGGATTTGCAAGGATGACACAGCGCCAGTTGCAGGGCAGGCCACAGCATTGGGGCCTCAGTACATGTTTCGGTTGGCGCCTACCCGGCGCTCCCACGGGCTCCCCGTCGCCGAACGCTCGACGGGCGGTCTGGGACCGTTGTTGAAGGGCTGGTACGGGCTCGCGGTTCCGGCGCGGTCGACGGGCGGCCTTGGGGGTCCGCCGTACATCTGGTAGGGGCTGGCTGTTCCGGCCCTATCGATCGGCGGCATTGGAGGAGGAGGTTGACGTTGGTAAGGATCCTGGTACGCGTTGTGCATCGAAGGCTCGTAGCGCGTCGAACCCGAGGGCGCGTAGCCAGTCGGCGCCTGGCTTGGCGCGTAGCCGCCGGCGCTGCTCGCCGTGTCGTACTGCTGGCCGTAAGGCGCGGCGCCCTGCTCATAGCCGTACGCGTTCTGGCCGTAAGGATCGCTGGCATAGTGGTAAGGCTGGCTCTGGTCCTGGTAGGGCGACGGCGAAGCGTGTCGCTGGGGCATGCCATAAGGCGGCTGCGGCGGGCCGTTGAAATAGCCGGCCTGGTCTGGAGGTCCGCCATGGTAGTCGCTCTGGTACGGGCTGGGGCTGCGGAGATCGAGGTTCGCGGTTGCCGGGTGGATGGGCTGCGGCTGGACGGGCATGCCGAAGTCGGATGGCGGCGCCGGGGAGCGCGCGTTGACGGGACTGGGCCCGACGCTGCTGTTGGTGGGGGAGCCTGCTGGCTTCATGTCCAGCTTCTGCATCTCCATGTCGTCCGGATGCTCGCCCACTTGCTCCTCGTGAACCTCGACCTTGGTGCTTTTTGCGGTTTCCCAGGTGGGCATGGGGGGCAAGGCATCCTCGTTGAATTTCTTGTCGCCGGTCGAGGCGTCGAAGGTGGCGTACTGGGGCACGCTGTTGTTCTGGTTCCATCCAGGGCCGGCATACATGGGCGGGGCCGACTGGTACTGCTGGTTACTGGGGAAGGCCGACGGCGGCGGCGACTCGACGCGGCGGTGGCCCTTTCGAGGCCCCGGGCAGCACTTGTTGCAGCAGCTCAGGCAGCTGCAGCAGCACTCGGCACCGCAGCACAGACAGCGGCCACAGCACCACAGCAGCGAGAAGACGATGAGGCCGGCGACGGCGATGCCAGCAATGACGGGCCATCTGCGACTCGTATCAGCGGCGCGCGTCGCCATGGCCCAATGGAGAAACGGCGACTCACTTGCAGTAGGCCTTGGACATGCACGCATCCCACGAACTGAACGACTCTTTGACGCCGTCGATGGTGCCACCGATATCACGTCTCCCTAATGCCATAGGGGACGCCATGGTGAATGAGGGATGAGGCATGGAAGCAGAACGCTCAGCGTGTCTGGGTCAGGTTGCGCAGCGCCAGGCTGCGACTTTGGGAGATTGAGAGGCGGAGTTAGCCTGAGCCGGGCGAATCCGCGGGGCTCACGGCACGAGGCTCAAGGGGGGTGATAAGGAAATGCGCCGCGTAGGGCTGACGGTGCCTGGCGGCTGCAGGCGTTTGGGGTGCGGAAAACAGGAAATTGGAGGCAAGGGAACGGCAGAAAGGAACGGCGTCTCGCAGCGAGTGATAAAGTGCCAGAGAGAGAGAGAGCGGGCGGATGTTTCGCTGGTTGCGGCTGGGCGGCAACAAATGAAGATGAAACACCAGCCAGAGATTGCGATCTCCCCACTCTCTTGGCACCGTGCCCGGCGCTTCTGTGCGTCACTACTGGTCCCTTGCACATCCCCGTGGCGGCTGTGGCGGTGCGGCACAGCTGCCGAACGCGGCCCCTGTCACTGCCAGCGCTAACTGCACGACTCTTCGCCCTCGAAATGAGGCCCCATGCCTGCAGTTGGCAGAAGACGCTGGACGGGCCGCAGCGCAGCTCACTGTCCCAACGCCCCGAGCCGTCGTGAAATTTGGCACCTTTGATCGGCATCCGACGTCATATTGCCGCCGCCTCGATGCATAGTGGGTTACAAGACGCTGATTGTTGTCGAACCTGTCCTCGCCCCAAATCCCGCACCCGCTCCCATGAATAGCTGAGACCCTTGTCTGGACACCTACCTTTGTTAAGCAGCTCAGGGCCTCGGAGAACACGGCAAGGAAAGACTCTTCTGCAATCCGTGGTGGAGGGATTCCTATTATAGTCAGGCTGCACATGGTGATTAACGCCGACCGTGCTTCTCCCCGCATGCACAGCCATAAGCACCTTCCACTTGGCCGTGGGCTTCGTATTTGGCAAGAAATTGCATTCAACTTACGCGAGTAGTTGGGTTTAGCGTATATCTTCGTCTGAATCTTTGTCTATATCTCGTGACTTCATGCCTTGACGGACCTTCCCCTAACATAGACCTTGGCGATGTTCCGGTCGTCTCCTGTCATGAGGAACTTCTCAAACACGGTCGGCAGGTCGTCGTCATCCTCGACCGGCGCGATGATGCCTGCACCCGCACCCGCAGTGTGGATTTCCAACGCGTCGAACTCCTTTCCCTCTGCGAAATTTCCAACCTTGTCCCCGAGGCCGCAGACCTGGGCGCCGCCCAGCGTCGCCATGAAGAAGGTCTCGTTGAGGGTGAGTGCCGGATCTTCGCCGTCCGTACTGACCTCTCGGGCTTTTGACACGATGAATGCCTGGCGCATTGCATCGAGGATCGACGACGAGAAACCACCGCCGCTGTCAGTGCCCAAGCCAACCTTGATGCCGTGGCGCAGATAGTGGCGGATCGGGGCCGCCATGAAGCCGCCGATGGTCGTGTTGGAGATGGGACAGTGGGCCACGCCGCATCCCAGTTCCTTGATCTTCTCGACCTCGTAGTCTTCGAGATAGATGCAGTGGGCCAGAATGGAGCGAGCGTTGAGCAAGCCGAAGTTGGCATACAAGTCGGCCTCGTTGCTGAATTCGTGATACAGGGTCTTGGTGAGAGCGATTTCATCCTCGGCCTCGTTGAAGTGCGTCTGGATGGGCAGATCGGGGTTGGCCTCGGCAAGATCGCCGAGGCCGGTCAGGAGCTCTCTGTCGCAGGAGATGGCGAAGCGCGGCGTCAGGGTGGGTGTGACAATGTTGTGTGCCGGGTCGATCTCGCGGACGTGGGCGATGAAGTCCTTGGTGGCCTGCAGCGCCTCGGCGGCGGATTGGGCGCGGCAGTAGTCGGGGGCGTTCTGGTTCATGTCGCATTTGCCGACCAGGGCGCGCTGGCCCTTCTCCAGGCACACGTCGGCCAGGATCTTGGTCGCGTCGGCGTGCAGGCTGCCGTAGTACGAGGCTGTCGTGATGCCCTGGCGCAGGAAGCCGTCGACGCAGGCCGAGTAGGTCTTGCGCGCATAGGCCGGGTCGGCGAACCTGGCCTCATGCGGAAAGGTGATCTTCTCGAGCCAGTCGAGGAGCTGCAGGCCGCGGCCCGTGCCACGTTGCGCCCACTGGGGGGCGTGGTTGTGGGTGTCGACGAAGCCGGGGATCAGGAAGACACCGCGCTCCAGGTAGCGGATGCGCAGCGAGCCGGCGCCCGTGCCGTACTCGGCGATGAGCGCTGCAACCTGGGCCTTCTCGACGTGCTCGCGGAACAGTGCGATCTTGCCGTCGGGGCCAACCAGCAGCAGGCCCTTGGGGCATATCTGCACCTCGGTGGCCGTGGTGGAGTGGATGATGGGCCCGTAAAAGGCCTGCTCCAAGCGCAGGTCGCGCGCCGACACGTCCAGCCCGGATCCTTCCTCGGCCATGACTGCAGGTTTGCCAAATATGGATTGGTGATGCGCGCACACGGGACCCTGACGTTTGGCGCAGAAGGGTGGTGTTGAGGCTGCGGAGGGGCACCCCTGAGCGCGGCATGAGTGCGCCGGCCTCCACTTTTGCTGCGGGGATCGAGGGCCGATCACCGCCAAAACGCCCGCCGTCTCAAAAATCCATTTTCATACTCGACATGTACATGCTTCGATTCTTCGTGGAACTGCCGGCCACGAGTTTTGCCGTCCCCAGCCGAGTGCCCCGCGCGCGCCGCACAGAGGCTGGACTGGTCCACAGGCTACGACTAGCGCTCTTGCTTTATTATTACCACAGCGGTGCTCTCCAGCAGCGGTTCTCTCCATCATCTAGCCCCCGAGCATTACCTAATGGGCCGCTCGGCGCCCGCAGAACCCCGTCGCCCTGTGATGCAGGGCTGCAAGCAGCGTCCCGGCAAAGTCTGGACGATCAGCGATGACATGTGCTGAGAAGCAGGTCCGCCGGTGAAGGCCTGGGAGCAGCCGTTTGCCGTGTTTGATAGGCGCGCCGACGGGCATTGCGTCATTGCTATCAGCCGGCGGCAAGCGAGGAGCGGCATCGCAGCAGCCAGCGTGCCAGCCCATAGGTCACCGGGCTCGTCGTCAGCACTCAGATCTGATCGATTTTTGGCTTTCTCCCTCTGAACCTCCGCTAGCTCCAGCCTCGCTCACGGACTTCCGTGCGCTTGCCGTCATGGCTCCAGCCAGACGTGGCCGTTGTGTTCCCCACCCTGGCTCCAGCTTCGCGCCTGCCATGTTTCTGCTGCTGCCCTATCGTGGTCACCTCGCTTCGCACCGCCCGCCTGCCCCTTCGTTCTTCTTCCCATCCATCTCTCTCTCATACCCTCCACCTCTCCAACCCATCTGCATTGGCCTTTCTCCTCCAGTGCCGCAACCATGTCGTTCGTTGGCTCGCGGCTCAGGTCGCTGGGCCACAGTAAGCAAGCTCAAGTCGTGCTCTTCTCTTCCACCGCCATTGCATTGTACGGCTATGACCAGGTATGCATCTCTTCTCCCTGTCGCCAACCAGCATGGGAGCGCGGCCTTGGGCCTCCTCTCATACTGACTCTCTAGGGCATGATGTCCCTGATCAATACCAACAATGACTACCTCTCTCGCATGCGCATCTCTGGTGATTCGCCGCTCGTTGGTATCATTGTCTCTGTCTACTATCTGGGATGCTCCGTCGGCGCCGTCTTCTTCTCGTGGTTTGCCGATCAATTCGGCCGCAAGCGCGCCATCTTTCTGTGTCTAGCAACCGCCAGCTTAGGAAACTTTATCATGTTCATCGCTGGTCTAGGTGGCATGGGACAGGCGCTCGCCGTCATGTTTCTCGGACGTGTCATAATGGGTCTAGGCGTCGGCGGCATCGACAGCGTAATACCTGTCTACAGCGCTGAACTGGCCGAGACCGAGAAGCGAGGAAGAGCCATGGGCCAGGAATTCCAGATGAACATTTTTGGTTTATGCATGGCATTCGGCATAAACTTGGCCGTGACCGTTACCTTGGGCAAGGAGAACCAATGGGCTTGGCGCATTCCCATTGTCGTCATGCAAGCCTACCCCGTACTCCTTCTTGCATGCATCGAGCTTCTGCCGGAAAGCCCCAGATACTACATTTATCATGGGCGAGAGGACGATGCAAAAAGGGCGTGTCAGGAAATTGACCCCCAGGGCGGCGAGAAGAAGTTTGAAGACTTGAAAGAGAGCCATGAGCGGGAAGCGGATCAGGAGGTCTCTTATTTCAACATGATCACGCCCGGTCATCCCCAGTTCCACCCAACCATGGTCACCATCATGTGCCAGATCAACCAGGTAAGGCAAACTAAGCTGTTCCGTTGAGAGACGTCTTCGGATCTAATTCTACACAGGCCCTTACTGGTTACGGAGCCGTGTCCGTCTACGGTCCTCAAATCTTCGAGCTGCTTGGATTCGGTGTTCGAGACGCCGAATACTTGACAATGGGCAACTACACGTCCTACCTTTTTCTCATGACCTTCGCCTGGCTGCTCATTGACGCCGTTGGCAGGCGTAAGTTATTGCTTGGCGGCAGCATCGTCTTAACCTTCTGTTTCCTTCTCCTTGCCATCTTCGGAGGCCTGGCCATGAACTCCCAAGGGAGTCCATCCTCCCTTGATGTTCCCACTCTTGCTTTTTCCATCCCAGGGATCGTTACACTTTATGTGGCTACCGGTGCCTTCGGTATTGGGTGGCTGGCTACTGTCTGGGTAAATGGCTTCTTCCTTTGTTCTCACACCCTGCCAAACGGCGTCTTGACTGACATCGAAATACTATAGTTGATACCCACCGAGATTTACCCCACAACCGCTCGCGCACAAGCCGCTGCCATCAGCGTCATCATCTGGGGCCTCGCCAATTTCACCATCACGCTGCTGACGCCCATCATGTTCAACAATCTGCGCTACTGGCTCTTCCTCGTCTTTTCCGTCTCTAACGCCATCGCTGGCCTGTGGACGTGGGCGTACCTCCCTGAGAGTGGTGGCCGGAGCTTCGAGGAGAATCAGCGATTCTTCGACGATGCCGCGAAGGAGGGCACGTGGCAAGTCCGGAAGATTGAAGGTGGTGCTTACCTGAGAATGCCGTATCCGCACAGCGGAGAGGAGGAGAGGGGAGAGAGGGAGCCACTCTTGCAGAGGGTCAGGGATCAAATTCCTTGAATGAGGAGGATGTTCATGCGGGATACACCTGTCTTCATGTGCTTCCGCGAAAAAGGAAATAGAGCTTGGGGGGTGTAAGTGCGCGGCTGCATGTAGTCTTGTGAATACCCGTTTGCTCTGCACTTGCGATGCGTAGAAGTCTTCAGAACTGCAAGAGGAGGGCGTTTCTCGTTATCGAGTATACGATCACGCAGACCACGGTGGGGTTGGAATTTTCGGAACATGAGCGAGATTTGGAAATTTGGCGGTTTCATGCTTAGCATCCAAAGATCAATTGAGGCATCGAACGAGTAAACTTCAATGCTGATATTTATAACCCTTTTGAGCTTATTGTTGGCTGAACCGGGCATCCATGTGCGATTGGTGTTGCTACACTTCCGACCTTTAGTGAGTATGATATCTGTTCGGATGTTCGTTACTTAAGAACACCATGGTCACAAAATAACCCGTCTTCCATTTTCTGCCGAAAACTCACCCTACGAGAGAGGTCAACCTCAAATTGCTAAAGAGGCCTCCCCACAACCTGCCACATTCCATATGAGAAGCAGAAGGTAAATGGCAAGGTATAGGCCGCTATCCTTTACCCATTTTATGCCGACGATACTCATGAAGCACGCATCTTCAATTATATGAAGGCTTACATTCTCCTATATATAAACCAAATATTGTTCTTTCATCCTTAGAAGAATATCCATGTATCGGTTGAAGTGGAGGTAGACATGTCGGGCGGTGGATCCAGCCCAGTCGAGGAGATGATGTCAAAAGAAGAAAGAAAGAGAGAGAGACAACGAACACCCATAACTGCCATCATCCCCGCTCACTCAGCCGGATATAGTAGAAGGGAGCAAAAGAAGGCAAGCATGGGGAATCGCCAGACACGATCCACCCATCCCCCATTGACACCAGTACATATCACAACCCTACCGAGGTCAATCGCAGAGCCAATGAGCATCACACACGAGAAAAACGAAGAGGCAACCCGACACAACCATCAAGTGCGACGATGAAAACCAGGAAGGAGAGCATAGCATGACTATAAGCCATCACAGAACGGAGCCAAGCCAGCCCGGATTAACAACGTTCGAATATGACCCGGTTCCCCCCTTTGTTCCCCACACGGGCCCCGCAACAAGAATAGCAGCACGTGCATATGACTGCCTACATGTGTCTTCCAGCATGTCATTGATGCATGTTCGACACGCTGCGTTCTGTATGTAGCAGTGCGTTTTTGGGGAAAGAGGGGGGAATTGGCGCCGGGCGGACGGGCGAATTAACGAGCGTTGCGTGCGTGCGGCAGCCGCACGTCATTGGCGCTGCGGCTGCGCTGCGCTGCGCTCTCCATTTTCACGTCCCCGGGTCTCGCCTCATTATTCTGCATTTTTTTCCTCCAAGGTGGCTGTGTGGGTGAAGTAAAGACGATGTGTGATGTGTAGGTGATTGGGCGGCGGGCCCGGGTATTGGTGGCTGGCTGGCTGGCTGACTGGCTGGCTTGGTGTGCAGGGGTAAAATCATAGGACAAGGAGGGTTGGAAAGGGTGAGAAAAGAAACCAGAGGTTTGATGGCGGTGGAAATCTTCAAAAGTGAGGGCGTACATCTCGATTCGATCGGCGGGGGAGCCGAGCGTTCGCGCAGAGGAGGCGGATCGGAGATCTTTCCCGGGTTGTTGTGTGATGAGACCTGCGTTGTCCAGGCTCCCTTTCTTTCGCTCCAAAACGCGGCTCCGTCCGTCATGCGCAGTGTAGAGTGGTGGGGGCTTCTGCATGGAGCGGGGCTAGAAGATTGTAGAAACGGGCAAAGGAGAAAACGAAAAGAGAGCACACGCATGGGTTAGCAGTGGATCCATCCTGAGATTGGAAAAAGGAAGACAGCTGATACGTGCCACAGCACCGACGGAACAAAGCTGCAATCGGCGTCACCGCAGCATGCAGCAGGAGGACCTGGGAGTCAAACTTGCGGCTGCGGGGGTCCCATCTTGTCGAGGATGAAATAAAGCGCCAAAAAGTGTAACCGGCGGCTTCATCCCGCCCCCAGCCCGGCGGGAAGAAGGTCGGGCTGTTGGACTGGACTTATTAGCGGTACGTGGCTGGCGGTAACATGTACTTCCCCGACGCACCTACCCGCTTTCCTCTTTGCCGCACGCGCATTCCCCGCCTTGCCCATCCCCGCCAGCCCCAGGGGCAGGGGTCGCCTGTTACGCCTCTCTGCCGCCCTCGCGCTGGCGTTCCACCATCCGAGCACGCGCAAATTGCAAGGTCAAAATGAACAAATGAAGCGCTGAAGAGGCGAGCCCCCAATATTGAATCTGCGAATCTGACATGGCTTGGGGAAGTGGATTAGTATGTGGCATCTGCAACTCACCAATCAACGGTGGTCCTGGCCATTCTCCGTTTACATCCCTTTGCTGACTGCTGTTCAGCAATCCCGAGAAAATGGCGCCAGATTTCCAGACATTCTCTGCAGCGCCTAGGTTGGGGCGATGCAACAGTTGTGACGGAAGGCGGAAGACACGCCCGTAAGGCGCACGGAGCCACCGGGGCTTCATGCAGCTCGCCGCAATCCTGGCCAGAAGATATACTTCAGTAACGGTATTGTCTCGCCTTGCTGTTCTAAAACATCGAGACCCATTGAAAGTTTCCTTCAAACATGATAACAAGGATGCCGTTTCATCTGATCATCGTCTTTCCTGTTTCCCGCAGGGATGGCAATCCATTGTTCGACTGTCAATAACTGTGGCGCAGGGGTATCTGAAAGGGGCAACGTGCCGTACACTGGAGGCAGATGGCAAAATCGAGAAAGAACCAAATCTGAGCAGTAACAAACAGGATAGACGAGGCATGAACAAACTACTGAGGCTGTGTTCCAGAATGCAGCAAGAAGCCATCCGGCAGTCTGTCGTGCCAGGTCTGCTGACCGGGAAATCTTTGGTGCAGGAAGCGGGAAGCAAGCAAGCAAGCGAAAAATCACGCTGACGCAGGACGCAAGTACAGCTAAACGTAACAGGGGAGGCCATAATAGCACAAAGAAATTGGCCTGTCAGCAAGACACTACCGATCCTGGTGATTCGACAGGGAGCGCGTGCATGTGGCGACTTGAGACTGTCCGGGGTCTTGACTCGGGCCCAGACTACTACTGCTCAGCACTTTCTTCGATGTAATCCTTGACCATGGCCAAGAATCGTTCGCGATATTCGTCCGGGCTAGTCGTGATGCTCATGGGCCCCTTCCTCGCGAAAAAGTTGAAGCTCTTCACCAATCGCGTCATCATCTTCGGTTGCGTCTTGTGCTTTGCCCAAAAGAAGTCCAGGATCACCGCGCGGTACACCCATTTCCCATCGCTACTTCTCACGCCTTTTCGCCATTGGCTGGCCTTGGCCTGCACAAAAGACACTTCGCGTTCGGGCTCTGCCGGGTACCTCACCAGGAAAAGGCTGTAGTCGACGGCATTGGCGCTTCGGAGGAGTTCTGTGTCCTTGTTGAGGGTGGTTAGTAGTTCATCACACTGCGTTGGCGTCACCCTCATCTTATCCGGGAAAGTGTCGACCAGGCGCTCTTTCACCGACTCGGGGGCCAACTGCCCGTCAGCGATATCGCGCTCGGGGTAGAAGTAGCTCTCGGGCTTGAGGTCGTACGTTTCCCAGCGCTCCTTCTGCTGGTCGTCGTCTTTTCCGTACAGCACGTTCTCCATCACCATATGGTGCGCGGGGGCGGTGCCGAGAAGACTGGCGCCGATCGATGGCCCAATGGCTTCGAGGAAGTCGGTGATGCGGACAAGCAAGGAGTTTGGGAAAGCGCGCATATGCTGGATGTAAGGGTCGGCCAGGTCGCGCGAGAAAAACGTGTGCTCGAAGCGGCGTGGCAGACTTTTGATTAGGAACTTGGCGTTGGGTGTCGTAAAGAAGGTCGAGCCCGAATAGCCCAGGTCGCCGGCGGACTTGAGAGCGCCGCCGCGGCGGTCGGCCAGACGGAAGCTCTCACGATACTCATCGCCATCGAGCTGCCAGATGTCTCTGCGCAAAGCTTGGAAATCAGCGGCGCGGAAGCGAGTCAAGGCAAGCTGGAAGAGAGCAAAGAAGGCGAGGATGCGGGCGAGAAGGCTTGGCTGCGCGGCTGTGGCGTCGGGGTCGGAAGAGTGATGGGGGTCGAAGATGGCGCGCAGGATAGACCTGCTGATGCGGTTCTCGCGCAGACCCATGATGAAGCAACTATCGGGATTGTTGGGCGTTTTGCGTCGTGTGCAGCGCAGCTTCAACCGCTCGACGGGCAGGCGTTCCTTGATCGACGGGCAGTTGCGTCATAAGTGACCGAGCGCCCAGCAGATCTCGAAGGAAGGAGCTGCCCTGTGGACCTGGCCCGAGCGCCGGCCGCCCTCGACGCGTGAGGCGCCAAGGCACCAAGGCACCTCGACGTCCACGCGCGTGCCATGCAAACACCACATCTCTCCAGGCAGCCTTCATACACGCACGTCTGTGCATGCTGTGTGATCCGTCTCCACACGTATATGCCGCTTCGCCCGCGCTGCTCCTATCGTTCCGCCGCGCTGCCGCGTCAACGCGCGCGCGCCGCGTGCTGCTGCTCCCCACTCCGCGCTCTCCGCCCTCGACCACGCGAGTCAGCCCGAGATGACTGGCTTGCCGCGCGCACAGCAGCCACTGCACGCAGAAACCACGAGCGTGAGCCATGTCGTGCGCCCTTCAACTTGCCGTAGCCCATCCGCACGCCCGTCCCTCGGCCGCTACAGGTCGTAGGTATAGCCATCCCAGCCGCACGGTAAAGGCTGGATGAGTGGCTAAAAGCAAGGAAACGAGAAATAAGCAGCACGGGGTACGTCAACGGCCGGTGCAGGGGTGGCGTTGACAGACAGCGGCATGCTGCTCCCGCCTTGTCCGACGGCGCTCGACCATCCAGATATACGGGGACAGCTTGCTTGCATGCCCCGCCGCCAGCTGCCCGTCCGTCGTCTTACCTGATGAGTTGTCCTCGCAGTAAGCAAGCCTTTCCATCCACCAGGCCCACAATACTGTGGCCCCTTAATTAACCTGGAATGTGTGTGCCTCCCAAACTGTCATAGAAGGTTCCCTTTGCAACGTCTGATCAGGCCCCCTAAAACGAGAGACGGGGTGGCCCTGGGCCTTGCGGCTCTGCCCCTCCACCAGGGGCAGTGCAGCAGACATACCATGTACTGGAAACAAGGCTAACGGATGACTTCCCGTCAACGGCGACGGCGGGCTATTGACAGACGAGCCGCCCTGCAGCGTCCGGAAAGAGGCATGTGCGATCCCTGTCAGAAAAGGCGCTGCAGCACTCGCCAGCCTCAATCAAAAGCCCGTCTACCTCAGCCACATGCGTCCGGCCAAGTGCTGAGTTATCATCTGTACCCTCCATCTTCATCTGCAATTTCCATGGAGCAACCGTCCGGTCGGGGCATCCCACGCCGGTCGCAGCGGGCAATTTCTTTTCTTTTTCCATTCACCTGCAACCTACGGCTCGCTCGTAGGGCCAAGATGATAAGGCCATTTCTTCTTGCATGTTGCTTACGCGCGCCTAAAAGAATGGTCCGGGTCCGGTGCTGGGGACGAATCAGGCCGAGGGTAGGGAGTAGCGGGCAGCGGGATGCTCGTCATGTGGGCGGGTAATCGCCGACCTGCTGCATACCGCTGCCACGCGATGATCGGAACAGGGGTAATCCTCTCAAACCTCTCTCCGCCGCCGCTAACGGGTGTCGATCTGTCATTAGCTTTGGGAACTATGTCGCGAATGAAGACAAGTCCCGCAGGTTTTCGTGTCGTGCATGCTAGGCCGGACGCAGAGATGGCGAGATCTACCAAACCCCCTCTCCTCCATGGGCCCGGCCCTGGACGATGCAGCATGCTTTGCAGGTCCGCAGCTATCGCGCACGGCAGGTGGTGAGGAAAGTATGGTTCAGCAGGTGACTCGATTATGGGGGTACTTGCTTGTAGCCCCCCAATAAGCATGGATATGACATTATTGTCTGCGGAATATTACTGCTTCTATTCGTCGAATCTGCTCACTGTTGCCTTGCCAGACAACTACCGGTTGTCCGTTTTCGGTAAGCAAGATTATCCGGAAGCAGTCAGAAGTTGACGCGCTACCGGACGCCGGAGGATACTATGTACTCTTCAGATTTAGATTGGACCGGCCGTGGGGGATTGAGTAGTACAACGGCTTAACGCGTAAGCGAGCGAAATCGCTTTCCGCCCGGTAGCGGGGTATTGGTGCGCGGCATAAATTAGCTGCCGTTTGGACGTGCGGAAATGTAGACTATATGCCTGTTTGACACCTCGGTGACATGTTCCTTCGCCTTGCACACCCGCTAAGCCAAGGACATGTCGTGACCCTGCAAAGTAGCAAGCTGGGTGGCGGGGAGTGGAGCTTGGTTGACCATAGGCCTCGGCCGTTCGGTCTTGGAGGGAGTCACAGCGCAACGTGATACCGCACAAGCTGCTTGTAACAGTAAGAGGGCCATGTGTGGTATTCTTTGCTTCAAAGGGTGAAAGGAGATGCGGGAGGCGAGAGACTAAGGCTGGTAAGCGCCAGTGTGCGATGCTGCCTTTACCTGGCTAGTCTTGGCTGCTGACGGTTTGGAGACTGCTGCCCAACCAAAGCGTGAAGAGAATGTTCACTGAAGACTCGGTATATTGGGATGCCCCATCTTCATAGAATGAACACAGTTGCTCGCTCAACGTTGTATGCTCTTTGTCTTGCGGCTTGGCCATGGCTGTCCAGGAGGAGCTACGATTTCAAATCCATGCCCAGTATTGGACGATGAATGGGATATTTCCAGCACAACCCAGCGTTAGTGAATAGCCCGAAAGAGCACGGCATGTCGATGCAAAGCTGCCACGTGTTTGAGCTTATCCAATGGCAGGGAGAGATAACCCGGTGCTTGACGTCGAAGAACCAACCTGTTCGATCGACGCCACACGATCTGACTTGGCATATCGTGAAACAGCTTTGGTATAAACGAATATGAGGAGTGACAGGTACTTGGTTCCAGACACCGAGGGTAGTGCGGTGTCTAGCTGTGAGCTTTGAGGGACCATAAGTCAACCTTTTGCGGCACAAACACCGTTATGGTGTAAGCCCCATAGAAGCGGTGTGAGCTAGGCACAAACGTAACTTCCGTCTCCGCGGATACTTGCATGAGCCTTCATGGAGGATAGTGGAAGGCTGAGACAGAGCGACTAAGGGCTTGTGGCAAGCGACACCATACAGTGTAGCGATGGGTGAATTTCTTGAGATGTAGCCGTCAGGGAAAAGCCACCCCGCTGCCGAAACGTGTATGCATCAGACTTGAAAGAAACCGCGGTCCAGGTTAGAGAAGATGCGCAGTAGCAGCGCCAATCAACACCAAACTCAATCGAGGTGAAAGTCCGCGGGGCTGACTTCTGCGGCTTGCAATTCGGTTATTTGTTGGGGAAAGCCATGGACCCGCGTGTCAATGACGTGTCATTGACAGTCCGGACTCATCGCTTGGAAGGGGGATGGCTGATCTGGTCAGAGCAGAAGTAGCACACGGTTTTGTCGTTGCGACGCCGATGGATTTGTCATTCAGGCAGATCAGCTTCGCGAAGGCTTTCTCTCGCTACTGTTAGGTTTCGCATTTCATCCGAAGCGACAGACTCGCTATGGCTGAGATCAAGCAGGCTCTTCTGCTAACGGCAGGATCGCCCTCGACAGATCGAGACAGAAGGAGAGGTTCGAAGTGTGGCGCTCAAAAGCAGATTCGAGTCAGCCATGACGAGAGTGGACGGCTGCAAAAACAAATCACAGGTTAGGGAAGCCTCGAGACGATGCGCCTCGATAGTCGATTCCGATGCGAGAGCGCCACCCACGCCGAGACATGCGGTTCGAGGGGTTCGAGAAGCCACAAGCCAGCCTTATGAAAAGCTATCCCTGAGACCGGGTTCGTGTCAGCTAGGATGGCATGAGCTGAGTCTCTCGCCACAGTGAAAAGCAACATGGCAGCTCAGAGCGGCAGAGGTTGCGAGTATTCATGAGTTGCATTCAGGATGGAGTCTCCGCACTGCACTATGAATCTCCAGCGGTAAGGAACTGCAACAAAAATTTCTCAGGCCAGAGTGATGCCATGCATGCGATTAGCGAAGGATTGGGGTCTTAGATTGCACCGGGATCGGGGAATGCGGGAAGCCAGGGAATGAAGAGGGCGCTCACGCGAGGCGCTTTTTTTTCTTGGGTAATTGCACATGGCGCATATTCAAGCGCCCATCGCGTGCAGAGCTAGTACCCACTTAAGCACAGAGGAACATGATTTCCTCTTCGAGCAGGCGGCATGGCGGTGCGTGGCTGGGGCCAAGCTGCAGACCAAGAGCAGTCTCGTGTCAGAGCCCAGTGGCAGTCGCGGCTCCGGTTCGCGGTTACAAGCTACGGCCGGCGGGCTTCGGGGCCTGGAGGGTTGTGGGTCGAAGAGGGGGGCGCAGATGCACGTAATGGCAGGGCGACGGCCAACGTGCTGCTCGCAGGCGCCATGGGATGCTGTGTACGGGATCGGACAAGCTACCACAGCAATGGGTTGCCACGCGAGATTTGCCATGAAGCCGGGATGTTGACCGGTGGACCAGGTCGCTGGGACAGGATGGGCTGCAAATGGCGGTGTACAGAAGGAGCAGCTGCAAAGGACGGGTTGGATTGGGGAAGGGTTGTGGGTGTGCACTCCTGGTGTAACAGTTCGACGTTGTTGAGAGAGAAAGCGACGCATCACATCAGGCGGGCTCCGGGCAGTTGGACAGCGGCAGGAATGACGTCCGGCCGGCGGGGAAGCGTTGCCTGACAACGTGGCTGTCTAGGATGGATATTGAGGTGCAGTCTCTGGCGGGGGGCGGTTTCACCAGCAACGCTCGCTGCTGGGTGTTGATTGCGTGGAGAGCCCTACGGCGCCGGGGGGCCAGCGGCGGCAGCCGATTGGGAAGGGCGCGGGCGCGGTGGAGACTTGGCTGAGCAGCGCAGGAGGCTGCTGCGTCGTCTCAGCGAGGCCCGGGTTTCCCGGGGCGGCGGTGGTACAGGACACGCTTCGTGATGCCACACTTTGTTTGCGGAAGAATGGGCGTCATCTTACTGGTGCGACGGGGCAGGAATGCGGCAGGCGCGGCCGATTGAGGACGAGGGGTCGCGGCCGTTGCTGAAAGGAGCGCGGTGGCAGCGCAGGCGGTTGCGGTGGCGGAGGAGAGCGCGTCCAGAAAAATTGCGGTTGGCGACGTGCGTGCCGCGCGTGGGCAGCCCGTGAGTCCTTGCAGCCCCACACCCAGCCCGCCGCCGCTTGCGAGAGCCCCTGCGAGCCCCCCTGCGAACCCCATGCCCGCCGCTCCGTGGCTCCCCATCCCCAGGCCTACACGCCCCAGATCGATCACCACGCCCGCACCCACACGCCGGCCCGCCGCCCACAAAACGCCGCACGCCGCGCACCGCGCACCGCGCACCGCGCACCGCCCGCTCCGCCGCGCGCCCCCCGACGCTGTCTCGCCCCGCGCTGACCGCGCCGCCTGCCCGCCAGGTGCCCGGCCGAGCAGCTGCGCGACGGCGACTCGTCGGATCGGCCGCCGGGATGGTGACGGGCATGCTGGCCTGGTGCTAAGGGTAGGGTTGTTTGCAGTGAGGTGCAGAGGGTCGCGTCGTACAAGCAGTGAACCCTGGACGGGCGTTTCCACAGCCCAGACATGGCTTGTGGCCTCGCAGCGCCTCCTATCATTGACAAGCATGCAGCTCTATCGTCGAGAGCGACGTCGCCAGCGCGCATTCCGGACACGGACTTATCATCCATCGTCGTGTGAGTGCGTCTAGCCGTTTCCAACCCGCCGGGCGATGCGGCCAGAGCCCGCCTCAGCTCGCCTATTTATCACCACAGACAGACCCTCTAACACTGCTCGACATTCCTCCACTCCTCCCTCCTCACTCTCTCTTCTTCAGCCTGCTGTCTCCCCATGAGCCTGCTGCGCCACTAGCTGAAGCTGCTCCGCCGTTCTGCAATATCACCGCTCCAATGGCCGCCGCCGACGCCCAAGCTCCGCCGCCCGAGGAGGACCACTCGCCCGTCCCCGACTACCTCGCCGATGCCGACGCTGTCCTGAAAGACCAGGGCGTCAAGTGGAGGTACGGCCGCCCTCCGGACTACTCCAAGACGCGCAAGGTCTACGCCGAAAGTATGTACCGCCCTTCTTTTCGCAACCCGGGTGGGAGCACATGTCATCACCTCCGCGCCGGACCACCTCGTCCTTGCATCATGAAGACGATCGATCGGTCCGCTTTGTTCTCGGCCACGTGGGAGCCTCGTGTTCTTTGTACTTTTCGCCTCCTGCACCCTGCACGTTAGGACGGCTGCATTGCATCGCAGCTATTCTCCGCTGCATACGAGTCCCTCCACGCATTGCTCTCCCTCCCCCTCCATGTCTGCTTATTCCCATCCGCTTCCGGGTCCACCTTGGCCTGACCAACTTTGGGCGAGCTTGTGTTACTTCATCCTCCCGTCCCTCCTTACTTGCCGTCAAAGCTTTCATGCATGACAACCCCTTGTCACCTGAATCAGGACTGACCAAAGAAATTAGCCAAGCAGATGAACCATGAGGCCGGGAGCCTCGTCCAGATGGTTGAGAACCTCGTCAAGAACTGGGAAATCGAGGCCTCCTTCAAGCCTCGCATCGAGGACTGGAGGACTGTCGATGCCCCCAACTACACGTTTGCCATCAACGGCAACCCACCCCAGAGTGCTGAGCACATGCTCAAGGTTGGCACTTACAATGCCATCATCTCGCCCAACGAGTACTACAGCCCGGAGAACTCCGACTTTGCCTCCAGCCACAAGACCTTCAAGCGCATGATGCCTACATTCGCCTGGGAGGTGCTTGAAGTCTACTCCGGCCCTCCACATGTGGCTTTCCGCTGGCGCCACTGGGGCACTATGAAGAACGATTACGTCGGCTTCAACGAGTAAGTCCGCCACGGCAACTTTACGCAAGGCTGCTCGCTAACAATCGTCTTAGCAAGGGCGAGAAGGTCACTGCCAAGGCTCATGGCGGGCCCATCGACATTCAAGGCGTCACTGTTGCCACTGTCGACGAGAAAGTCAGGCTGCGGCGCGTTGAAACTTGGTTCGACCCTATGGAAATGTTCCGCCAGATTGCACCGCAAGGCATCGTGAACAAGGAGCCAGTAGCTTGGCGGGTAAGCAGGACCCCGTCACCTGTCACCAACAGGACAGCGACGCCTGAAGCAGCTTTCAAAAAGCCAGATGAACCTGCCGAAACCGCTCAGCCGGGTCCCGCCCAGCCCAGCGACAGCATCGCCGTCCAACTAGCTCAAACCGACGTTGCTGCTCAGGGCGAAAGTGCTCCCACCAAGGATGCCCTTCCTGAGCTGAATCCTGACACCAAGGATGCTGATGCTCGATCGCATCAACAGCAATCTACTTCTGACAAACTTGCCGATGTTCCGCTTGTTTGCCCCTTTGCAAATGTTAATGGCTTTGCTCAGGCCAATGGCACTCTATCTGAATCCAAGGCGGAACACGAGTCTGAACCTAGCGTTCAGACACTGGAGCTTCCTCAGAGAAACAACGTCGAGAATCCCACCGAAGATCTGTCAACAGAGTCCACCAGGCTGGTCCAAGCCGCACAAACCCAAGCGACAGAACAACGTCTGCAACCTTCAGTTCCTGTTCAGGAATCGTCAGAGACGGCAGAGTCCGGACTTGATCAGCTCCATGAATTGGAGCAGTGGCACGAGGCATCCGACATTCTCATCGACACTGCGCCCGGCTGCGAGCCGGAGAAGTTCCACGATGCTGTAGATGTCGAGCACGAGACCTCGACAGTAAGCTCGGAAGCGGGTAGCTGGACGGCTGTGACACCCCCTGCTTCCGATCCTCCAACGCCACGCAAGAGCACATACTCGTCCAGCATCACCAGCGGTTCCGAACAGGGGCAGTCCAGCAACCAGACCTCTCCCACAGAGGCTTTCTTCTCACACTACCCCGCACACAAGGTCCATCCGCACCCGAAGGACATGGAGAATGCCGTCAGTCCGGAGCCTGGTGAAGGCGTGGCCGCTGCGCCCGACAGCGAAGAGGTAAGGTTGACGCACATAGAGATGAGCAAGATCACTGCCTTTGAGTGCCCGTTTCTCATGAACAGGGAGTAATCCCTCCGTTTCGTTGCTCATTCCTGATGAACATGGAGTAATTACTTTGATTTTCGGCGATGTGTCCATGGATCACGAGGGCGCAATACCACCTTTGAACTGGCTTTTGCCACGCTCTTTGGCTTCGGAGGACTTTTTAATTCCTGTTCTTTTTTCATGGGCTCCTTCTCATAATCGGTTCATGATGAGAGACGCCGCTTCACTTGCGTTATGACCATATTCTTTGCCAGCGTAAAAACGAAGCGCTGACCAGTCAGTGACAGGCCCGATGCGCCTGGTGGTGTACGAGGCGACGGTGGCGGTCCTCGGGCTGAAACAATCGCACAGATATTCGAATGGCTGTTCTATAGACTCAATTCAGATGCATGTTTCTTCACAGTCAGACGGGTCTGCTTGCATGTGCTGCTTACTCTCGGGTAACTGGTCGGTCCTCGAAGCCACGTGTGGTTTACGCCACCGTGTGTGAATTCCGGGTTACCTGATTTTCCCGCAGCAAGCGGGCCGTTCTTGTGATGAGGTGGCTCCGTGTGAATCCGGGTTAACAAAGACGTCCACGTACCTTAACCGCTGCAGCCACCGAGGTGTTGTGTACCGCAACTAAGGTGTACGCGGCAAGTGGTCTTGCCGAAGAGTGCTTTGACGCAGATCTGAATATTGTCTCGCCCGTTCCACGGCACTCACACTTCGTCTTGCACCAGACAGTCCTTGCGTCTTCGTCTGCTTAGAGAAGGTGAAAATTTCTGCGGCAGATGCAGCGTTTGCGCAGCAGCCTTGGCTATATTCCTGCTGGATGCGAACACCACTGGATGGACGCACGATCTCCTTCCCAAGACACATTCGACTTTGGCTACGCAAGGGACGGTATAACACGCGGGCCACGCTCTTATTACCCCATCAGCAGGGGGCAAAAATGTCTCTGTTCCGCATCTACCACGCTGCAATGCATGACATCCCTTGTCGTGCCCAATCGCTCGTCATCCAGCAGTCATCATCTCACAGTCGGAAACAATCCGGTATCCATAATGGGGCCCACCATGGCATACACTTACCCACCCACTGCCGTGTTACCAAACATGACTGCCTGTCGAACACTTGAGCCCACCCCGTGCATGCTCGCACGATGGGGCTCACTGTGCCGCTGTCAGTGCCACTGCTTCCAGGATGTCTGCTCCTGCCTGTCTGCCCAACACTACCTTGGTTTCGAATCTATCTGACACAGACAAACAGCTCATCATGCATAGGGATAGCGGCAGCCGCATCCGCCACCACGAACACCAGCATACTGACCGGTACCGGCTGGCATCCGCGACAAACAGCTCGCAGCAACCACGCATTTCAGCTGGCCCACCTCCACACGCACGCGTCCTTGCACAAACCTTGGCTCCCTTTCTCCCCATGCTTCTTCCGTAGTCCGGCGGTCCCCCTTCTCCGTGGTCGATTCCCATCCCCCCATCCCCCCATCCCCCCCATCCTACTCTCCACCTGCGGTACACGGAAACGTAAACGTCTCTGCTCAGCACCGACGTCATCTCTCCCTTCCCTAAACAGCTCACCTCACCTCTCCTCTACCGCTTCACATCCCACAACTCCTCCGCATTCCCCCTAAACAGCCTCTCCACCTTCTTCTCATCTCCACCGCACCACTCCAAGCACTTCTCCACAAACGGCTCCACATCCACGCCGTCGAAGCGCGTATGCGGCCAATCCGTCGCAAAGACGCACCTGCCCCCCTCCCTGACGCTCAACAGCTCCCTCGCCATGGCCCCCAGCCACGGCAGCCCTTCGCCCCGCTCGATCCGATACGCCGCGCTCAGCTTGACCCACGTGCGCCCCGCCCTCAGCAGCCGCATCAGCGCGTCGAAGCCGGGAAGGTCGTACGGATCCGGATCTGAATCCGTCGACGACGATGGAAGCGCCGGGTGCCCAAAGTGGTCGATGCAGAGCTTGACGCCGGGCGGGAGCGCCGCCCCCGCGGCCTCGTCGCCGCCCGCGACGACGCGCTCGAGCAGCGGGACGGCGTCGAGCGCGCAGTAGACCTGCAGCACCCAGGCGGCGCGCAGCGGCGGCGGGATGGCGGCGGCGTGCGCGGCGACGTCGGCCCGCAGCTGCGCGAGGCTCGGGGCGCGGCCGACGGACTTGAGGTTCAGGCGCACGCCGCGCACGCCGAGGGCGTGCCAGGCGAGCATCTTTTCTTCCTGTTCCTGTTGCTGCTGCTGCGAAGGCGCGGCGCCGGCCGGGTCGATGCCGACGACGGCGCGGCCGTGGGAGGGGCCGAGCTGGGAGAGGGCGGAGAGCAGGCAGCTGTTGTCGGCGCCGTAGATGGAGGGCTGGACGAGGACGAGGTTGCGGATGGTGTAGGCGCCGGAGGTGAGGGCGAGGGCGGAGGAGAGGGTGTGCAGGGGTGGGGTGTAGGCGGCGGTGGGCGCGAGCGGGTAGGCTGGGTCCGTGACGTGCATGTGCGAGTCCCAGGAGTCGGGCGGGATGCGGGCGGCGACTTTGCGCGGGGTGGTGGTGGAGACGGTGCCGTGATGGCGCCGCGCCGGGAGAGATGGTCTCGGGTGGAGCTTGATGGTGGTGAGGGCACGACGAGGCTGGAGGAGCAGGCGAGACATGTTGGCGAAGTGCAGGTGTGTGGTGGAAAGCAGATATCTTTGTGGTCGTACGTCTTTTATCTCAATTTTGGTATCATTTGTGCCGTGCAGTCGCATTTGTTGCGATTGTCAGCAGTGGGGTTAGCGAGGGTTCATTCCATGCTCAAACGCTCCCCGGCGTTTTCTGGATACAGTTAGCCCCACGCGGTGCTGAGCGGATGAGGGGCCGGTTCGCGGGAATGGGTCTTGCTCATGCATCCGGTATCGCTGCGCAGTCTGTGCCTGCAATAATAATGCGGGGGACGGAATCCTCAACCTTGACCGTCGATGAGCTTGGAGCGAGGAGCTCGTCGTGTAGTCAACGAGTAAAGGATCCACTGGCCTGTGCTGCACCTTTTGGTGCTCTAACCTTATTTGAGTAGCGCTGCTCCATGGGCTGCGATGCAGGCAAAGATGACTCCATATCCACCGGCTCTGTCCACCTGCATCGTCGACTGCGTAGCAGGAAAGTGGCATGTGAAAAGCATGCGGGGTTCTGGATGTCCTTCGGGCTTCGTACGAGGAGCGGAGAATTCCTGAGACAGGGTGTCAACCTGGCCGGCTTAGGTCCCACTTTAAGCCAGCCGTATCGCGGAAGTGGTTCATTCTTCCAATACAAGTTAGGTGAAAAAAATAGTCTTGTTAGTCGAACGAACATGGGCTTCGGTGGACGACGACGAAGCTCTAGAAGACAAGCCGCTTCCTTTTCCTTTACGGGTTAGCCACTTCTTCTCTCAACAAAGTTTGGGGGAACGAAAGGCGGGCACATGCACATAATTCTTGAGACCGGATTGTTGCTTCTACTGCCCTCGTAGAAAGCATGCCCAAGCTGACATTCATGTCCGGGTTATTTCTTTGAGTACCCACGTAGAAAGGCTGCTTAAACATACATCTACGTCCAACCGTCTACTTCGAGTGTCCCCCCGTAGAGATAGTACAACGTCCTTCGAGGATTTAGAAGGTTTAATAAAGTCGTCTTCAACCTGCTATAGTGCTGGTGAACGTATTGTTGGACCGCGCCAACTAAGGACATAAGATAAACGGTTAACGGCCGCTGTGATGTTCTGGGGACTGCACCACTGTTTCGTCTATTTCAAAGCAGGCTGTGTTATTAGCCTTTCGAAAACTATTTTGGAGTGAATCTTGTTCATGTAGATCATCTTAGCGCTTGAAATTAAGATGAGGCGCTGCTCTCCGATCGGCAACCTTTGATGATGTGATTGGGGCTTTGCAGCCGTCCGGAATCTGGACCGATACAAAAAGGGGCAACGACAATGCCGGCATTTATCGACGGACCTAAGCGCTGTGGAGTGGCAAAAGAGCGGACGTGATTTTCATGTCGGCATGTATCAAGATGAAAAGAAAGCAGCATGATGACTGGGCTAAGCGGAAAACAATCAAGAGCTCGACTTGGAAGCACAGCTGGAGATGGCGTGTAAAGGAAAGGCTTGTAGGTTCTTTCTTCTCCTAGGAAGCAGAGAGCAAGAGGACGAGATAGGACGGAGGGAGATTGGTTACGAAAATCGTTGCCAGCCGTCGCCTCTCCTCTGGTGTAGGTTCCAGGCGATGAATAAGGGCGTTGCGATTCGTCCGATGGTGGTGAGCGCTGACGCGGCGCTTGCAGGTGCGGCCAATGATGGTCCTGACGCGTGGAGCAGATTCTGCGAGCACGCGACTGTGTGAGCAGGCGGGAAGCCACGAAGATTTGGCTTACCGCATCCGGACCGAACCTGCATATTTCGCTCACCGTCAGCACCGGGGAGCTCTCAGATCACGGCCGATTACTGGTTGCCGATTTTGCATGAGTGTGCCCGGGACCACATGTAGTACCCGGAGTGCCAACTCTGGAGCAACGTATGGTGTGGTCTGAACATGACCGCCAGGAAAATCCCCAAGCAGCGCCCGCAGTTCCATGCTCTTGTTTCACCCACGTCATCGGAGCCGTCACAAGAGCCGCTGCGGCCGTGGAGGCGGCCCAATGGCGATGCAGCCTGGCCACGACAAAACTCGGGGCATGAGATGCGGGCCCACATCGGGAACGCCCTATGCTATCACAATCCTTTTGGCTTGGGTGCTTCTGCCTTCTGGGGGGCCAAGCCGTCTGGCGGCCACCTGTGTGCTTCACCACTGCGGCCCGGCTTCCCCCACGCGCACACGGACCCGGCCTTTTCCAGCAATGGAAGCTTCCACTTCGATCCTCCGGCGCGGATGCCTGCTGCATGCAACGACGAGAAGGATCACGATGACCTGCTCCGCGTCTAAGCGGCACTCTTGCTCGTCAGCGGGAGCAGGCTCACGGCTGGCTGGCGACGCAGTCAGCCCTCGGCGCGGGTCAGGGCGGCGCAGGCTGATGGTGATGTGGGGTCCTTTTGCATCGTGACCAGGTACTCGTACCTCCCAGCGTACCGCGGCCCAAATCACGGGGCTTGACCGGATTTCTTGACCGCTCGCCATCACCGCAATTCTGAGAACCCGACCGGATGGGGCTCCGCGCAAACCCATCTCCAACGTGGCTAGTTGGGCCTCGCACATTGCGCGTGACTGGAGCCGTAGCGTCCGTCAGCCCAGCTCCAGGCACCCGGCAGCCACTCACCTGCCCGCTGTGACGACGGTGTGGCAGAGTGGTGGCGAGCAGGCGCTGGGGCTTCCTGGGGCGCGCGCGCGCCGGCCCTCGGGGGGGAGACGACACCCTCGCCTGCCCTCGCCTCCAGCAGGCAGACGCCTGTTGCCTGGCACCCTGGATGCGCGGCTGCGACTCCTGCGCCGCGCCGCTCGGAGCTTGTTCGGCAGCCGCAAGCAGGTCGATTTGGGCCATTTGGGTCGAGCGCGACTCAGATGTGTGCAATTTGCGTCGCTGAGATGCCGCTTTCTGACGGTGCCGCTGCAGGTCATCGCCCATCGCTGTGGCAGGCTGGCGCAGGCTGGCAGCAGCAGCGCTCCGCCCACTGCACACGCGCGCGAGGCCTGCCCACTCTTGCAGCCCGCGCCGCTCCGCCATGCCCTGCGCGGAAGCAAGCTCCGTGCACGCGCCCGACCGCGGAGCAGGCTGCCTGCGTGCCTGCGCCCGCGACGCGGCGTTCCGTGACGTATACGGCCGTGAGGCTGTCGTCGCCATCGCAGGCGCAGGCGCAAGTACTGGAGCCAGCTGGGCGGCGCGCGCTGGCGGGTGAGTCAAAGGCGGTGGCTAACAACAGCAGAGGAGTCGGCTCTTTCGCCTCGTGCGGCAAGGCGTGGGCGCGCTAGAGACGAGGACAACAGGTCGAATCACCAAGTGTCACGGCTGGATCGCCAGGGTTGCCATTGGCCAGCCTGCTCCAACGGCGTGGCCATGGTCACCCACTGCAGCTTTCCCCTCTTCTCGATCGCGAGCTCGTCTCGCTAGGTTGTGCGTGTCTCAGATTGGGTCCTGCTGCCCGCTGCGCAGGCGCGCGACGGGCGCGCGACGGAAGCGGTGACGGCCTGGTCAAGCACTGCGTTCTTTGTCAAGCGCGGACGCGCTCGCGGCCAGTCGTCGCTCAGCCTCGGGCAGGGCCGGCAGGCGGGCGCAGGGCCTGGTCGCCGCCGCCGCAGCCGGCCAGGCTGGCCGCGACATGACGAGCCGCGCGCGAGCTGCCTCAGGACGGGCGGCGGCGACGGGCGGCGAGGAGCCACGGGCGGCGGGCACGACGACGAGGCAGTGCGGCGGCCAGACGCCGAGGGCCAAGAACAGGCAGGCAGCGCGCGCGCGCTGTCGCACCCGTGTGATGCCGCGCGAGCCAAACTTCTCGGGCGGCCAGCCAGTATTTGCCATCGCGGGCGCTGCTGGGGGCGTCGGCCGGCGCGTGGCCCGTGCGCGCGCTGAGATGGCAGGGCAGACAGTCATACTCCGCCGGTGTTCCCTTCTATCAAAAGCCCGCCACCCTCTCCCCTCTGAGTCCCAACACAGCAACCATGTCTGCCGCACGCTGGACCGTCGTCTAAACCAACGTCTTCTGACGCTGCGATTAGAACCGGCCCCTCTCGACCTTGGCCACCTGTCCGCTTGCTAGTACCCTTTATCCTCCAGTCAGCAGCCTTGTCTCAAACGCGCCGACCACCTGTCCTGCCTGCGTTGCCGCCTTCCCTACGAGTCATCTCCACTCTGTTGCCTCCTTTAATAGCCCTTGCCTTTTCCACCACCCAGCTCGGCGCTGTTCCGCTCGCACCCAACCCGCCTCTCTGCCGCCGGCCCTTGCCTCGTTTACTCGATCGCGATCGCCGCCGCCGCCTCGACTCTTGCTCCCCAGCCCTAGCGAGCTCGCCTCCGACCACCAAGACCGCAGCACTCAGCACCCAGCTGCATCGCGCACACCACTCTCTCCGCTCTCCCGCTCCGCTCGCAAGGCGCACGGCCACCCCGCCCGGCCTGCGCATGGTGGCTCCCGTCACCATCTGAACCCCATCACCGCCACACTCGAAATAGTCACAATGTACCTTAAGCCAAACAACAGCACTCCAGTCATCAGTCGCTCAGATTTCACCTCCGGTTCGGACAACAAGGCTCTCTTCTTCATCCAGGATTCCTCCTGCTGCTAGATCCCGCACTCCTTCGGTCTCCATCAGCTCTGCGACGGCCCGCGCCCCGTACCGCTGAACTACGCTCGAAGTGCACTGCGACGGTTTAGGAAGACGCCTTGTTCTGGTGATATCTGTAGCTGACGGTGACTGGAGAATATCCTCTCTCACGGCTGAAGCTCTGGGCGCCAGTTGGCCACTCTATACCGACCACAAGCACCAGCTGCAAAGCTAGACTGTCGACTGCATCACGCATAACCACCCGCATACTCTCTGTTCTGCCCTCCCACGATTACGAAAACGGATTCCACGCTTGCTCCAACACCCTCGCAAGGACTGAAAGCGTAGGCCATACCACACGCGCTGTCACGAGCTTCTGGCAATCTTCGGGACACAGGAATCTCCATTTCCATTCCAGGAAGGCAGAAGCACCCGAGAACTACCGTCGGCTGTCAAATCGCACGACGGGCGGGTTTTCGTTGGTTCTTCTCATCGGTAAATCTCGCAGGTCACCCCACGACCGCGCAAAAGCATTCGACCTATTAGGTTCTGCCTAAACAAAAAAAGTAGTTCGCAACAAAAGCGCGTCTGCTTCTCACTCTCTTCGGTTTTCATACTGGATCTCGGTTAGTATACCCAGGCGTTTCTTACTTTTCTCCAACATGGGTTGCGACTTTCCATTCCCAACCCAAGATGCTACGCATCCCTATGGATCTGCCGTTTCATCCTCTGCATCCTCTTCTACCTCTTCGGTATTCTCTCTAGATGCCGCTTCCTCTCAATCCTCTCAGTCCTCTACTTCAAGTTCCGGACACAGAGGTTGGGATTCTGACGACTCATGGGCTCGTTCGCAAGCTGCCGCTCCCGTCCGTCCCAATGGATGCTCGGTTGCAGCCGAATCGATCGCCCCCAACGGTGGCATCACTCGCACCCAGATCTCGCAGTGGTGTGAGAGCCAAACCTCTCTCCCCTCCTTGAGGGCGAGCGATGTTCCCGTGCCTGCAGAGCTGCGCCAGAACCCCCGCAGATGCCCCACAGCTGTCAACTGCCGTGCGCCCCCCGCCCTTGTCCGCCAGAGCGAGCGCACTGTCAAGTTCGTAGACAGCCTTGTCGGTAAGCCCTCCCGCCGCCTCCGAATCTCCCTCGACCGTACGCTAAGGTGACTATCCGTTGAAGATTCTGCCACCCAAATGGTAGAGGTCATCTGGCCGCTCTCCGTGCCGACCTGCCCCAACGAACGGGTTTCCGGCCGCGGAGTCCTTCCTCTACGGACCTTTATCCAGGAGACTCTGCGTCGGTCGCGGACCAGCTACTCGACCCTCCAGGTTGCTCTGTACTACCTGATTCTCATCAAGGCACACGTGCCCAGGTTTGACTTCACTATGGAGCAGCCCGAGGATCAGGCTGTTCGCGCCTTGCAGTGCGGTAGGCGCATGTTCCTTGCCGCATTGATACTGGCATCGAAGTATTTGCAGGACCGGAATTATTCGGCTCGCGCATGGAGCAAGATCTCTGGCCTCAAGGTCAGCGAAATCAACACCAATGAAATGGCTTTCCTCAAGGCCGTGAACTGGAAGCTTCATATCACCGACCCGGTTTTCGAACGGTGGCAGGCAATCGTCCTTCGGGCCGCGCCTTCGTCTCAGCCGCCGCCTTCGCCCGGTGCCCCTCAAATGCACCTTGGAATGCATGATTGGAAGACCCTCATTCCAATGCTCACTCCTGAGCTCGACACGTTCGATGTCGTCCGCAGGAAGTCTGTTCAGATCTGCATTCCGAAGCGTCTGACCCCGCCCCCGCCCCCGGCCACTATTTCTCCGGTGCGCGAGTCGTGGATTCAAGAAAGCATACCAGTCTCTCGCACCAAGGCGAATGCCTTTTGCCTTGAGCCGATGGTGGACATGACTCCACCTGCGCCAATGATGTCCCGTCTGGGACCGCTCCCCACGCCGCAAATGACTCCTCAATCGACTATGAGCAACACTCCTGCAGTGAGTGTGGCCTCTATGGGATCGAGGCGCCCATCGATGTGCGCTGCCATGGCTCACCATCAGACCATGATGTCTGCTCGTTGCAATCTTGACCAGTGGACACCTACTCCTCGCTTCAATGGTTTGGAAGCCTACCAATTTTCTGGACGACGACCCTCGCTCGCAGCGTCGACGACGTCTTCGTCGTCTTCGCCTGACTCCATGGTTTCGGACAACTCGTCTCGGTCATCTCGTGCTTCTTCGATTTCTTCGGTCTCGTCTGCTGCTTGGGCGCCGAACGCCAAACTGGCGAAATTGGCGACTTGCCGCAATGCGGGGCTGCCCTACCCGGGGCAGCTGAAGGAGAAGGAGAGCTCTGAGATGATCTCGGCCATTGTCCCGAGCGAATCTTTGTCGTCGCCTGATTTGGAGGGCTTCCATATCAATGATGCGTTGGAGGCCACTCCGGTTCCCTTCCAGCAGAACGAGAATGTTTCGCCTAACACTCGCACTGATGAGGTAGCCAAGGGTCGCAAGCGATGCAGATCTTCTGTGGATATGTCACTGCAGCAGAACGTGCGCGATCTCGTCAACCCCGAGAAGCTCGCAGCCGAAACTCTTCTCACCCTCGATCCTTCTGTTCTTCAACGCACCCCGGGCGTCGTGGCGGATCGCAACCTTGCTTCTTCGTTCCTGCTCCACACTCCCGGTGGGCGAACTCCTTCCTCGACGTTCGACTTTAAGGCGCTGCAGTCACCATTTTCAGTCGTCCCGGAAGTTCGCCGCCCAGTCCAGAAGGATCTTGGCAGAAAGAGGGCTTGCTGCGCAAGCGAAGTTGCTCAAGTCCTCCAAGCGAGGGCTGGCCCCGGCAGGTGGGAGGGTGTCATCTAGGTGATGTCCTCTCGGCTGCCTACCTCGCACGCCGATTCTGCTCGTGATTGACTGCCAAGTAGTCATGTACATTGAGTCACCGAATCCTTATACGCTTCACCCTCCTGCCCTTCTTATTACATCATTTAACCTCCTGTTTTGCTCTGCTTTCAGTCCGTTCGTTAATTGCTTTTTTTCTCTGCTGTTCATTCAATGGGAGGTAACATTGGCCTTTTATTCTGCTGCTTTACTGGTTCGAGGCTTTGCTCAAACAACGGGGTCCGGAGGTGGGGAAACGGAGTTTTATCTTGTTTGGCTGAAAGGGGTCTACGGACACCTTTTTTCGAATACCACAAGTCCGACTATTTTTCAGGACACCTATCGTCTACACGAATCACAGCGAAAGGAAGGGGGACTTCTGTTTTCTTTGTTCTACTGGACACGCAACACATCACACAATACCACAAACAAAAATGGGCCGATACCATGGATAACTGGGTGGAGGACGTTGGAGACGGAACGTAGATAGTTTTTAGTCAGTTGGAGCGGTGGTAGAAGTAGTCCAAACCTCCTCTGCTCGATCCACTGCCTGGAAAAGGCTGGATTGAAGAGAGGGTGTTTGGGGAGCTAGTCGTGTAAGGGAACAAGTGGAGGATGTAGTATTAGCAGTTGAAATCGAATGGTTGCATGAAGGCGCAGAGAAGGCCTTCGATCTACATCCTGATCCACATCCCCTCCATCCTTCCAAATGAAAGCAAATCATGATTTTTCTCAACAAGAGGCGCCGGGCAGTTTGTGGATCGAACTTTCGAGAAAGATGCAAGAATGATTCATCGATCGTCATAGGTGGGGGGGCCGAAGGCGGAGGCGGAGGCGGAGGCGAAGTGGAGAGAGAGAGAGAGCACGGAAGGAGTCATGACCGGGTCACCGTCACCGTCACGATTACCCCCCACCCCGTGCCCCCTCATTCCCAAGATGCCCAGCCCGCCGTGACTATCTTGCCAAGACCGTTCATTTTTTGTTTTTTGCCGCGCGGCACACGCGCGCACACACACAGTCCGTCCGCCCGTCCGCCCACCTTTCGCCGTGCCGGAACTTCGTCGCCGCCACCGCGCGCGCCCGCGCGCCACCGAGCCCTTTTTCCGCATTTTTCTCCCCCCTCTCCCTTCCACGCTGAGGGGCTGGCTGGCTGGTGGTGCGCGCTGGTTAAAAAAATAAAAACAAAAATTGCCCTGTGGCTGGCTGCATCATGACATGACTTTGATCCCCATTTTTCCCAATCACAATCAATCAAGAATGTTTGAATGATAGATAGACAGATAGGTAGGTAGTCTGCCTAGGCGGTCGGGCGGGCGGTGCCGGTGGGGGGGTGCGCGCTGCTGCTGCTGCTGCTGCTGCTACTACTACTACCACTACCCGGACTCCCGGAGAGGCCGAGCCGATGGGGGTTGGGGTGGTGGTGGTGGTGTGTCGGAGAAAAGACGATGTGATGGATGGGACGAGGCGCGGCCTGTCCGTGCCTAGGCCCAGGGTCTAGGTGGTGGTCTCTAGATCTGGATCACCGCATCGCACCGCACCGCCTGCCACTGCCGACCAATCAACCACCAACTACCTATGTATGTGCCGCGCGCGCGGGTCGGTGTCGGTGTCCCCGCGTGGGAAAAAGGGGAAGGGGAAAAAAAATTCAAGGCAGGTTATTGGATGTGGGGAAATGGGATGGATGCATGGCGGTTGGCGGCGGCGGTGGTAGTGGTGATCAGCCGGTGAGGTGAGGTGAGTTGAGTGAATGAGTGAGTAGGTAGATGGATGGGGAAGCCTAGGAATGTGGGATGAGCATGACGCAGACAGAGCGATGACTGGATGTTTCTGTCCGCCTGTCTCTTTCTCTCTCTCTCTCTCGCTTTCGGCATCGCGCTTTCGGCCCCTCGGAGGCGAGTGAGGATCGAAAGGCCGGGCCGGGCCGGTCATGTGTATAGTTGTGGAGAGACTTTCTACGTAGTGGTACGGCATTGCATCATGACCTGGTGACGAGAGCGGGTAGAGTAGGCTGGAGAAAAGGGGGGTGATTTCTCGGGGGTTTGCGGGGAAGGCAGGAAGGGAAATTTGGGGGAGTGAGGAAGGGATTATCGTGGTGGGGAGAATATCACACCACGACCACGTTGGGCCGTGTCCACCGGATCTGGAAACTTGGAATCTTGGACAGCTGGTGATGCGGTCCGCAGACAACATATGTGTGACACGCATAAACCAGAGGAACAGAGACTTTGGTCGCGGGACTTTTTCGTGCCTCGGATACCTCGTTCTCTTCGTTTGTGGTTCTGTTGAGGTTGGCTTGCTACCTTACTAGATGTGGGCAAGCATATGCAAGACTCCGAGGCCAAGGACGAACACTGGCTGTAAAGTGCAGCACAAAATAGCGGCTGAGACGAGTGGCTAGTCACCGCTTCCCCTAAATGCGACCCACTTATGCGCGTCAAGGCAAACCCAAGAGGAAGGATTAAGGGAGTAACTATATCAAGACATTTTATAGTTTTTGGATTTATGTGCTTTCCCAGCTGATCCTTAATTGGTGGTCTGTTGACCTCAGCATCTCGTCCATACGTCCTTCCTTCCTTCTTTCCTTCCTGTTCGCTGATATCCCCAATACCATGGGCCAAGAAACATTCGGGTGCTCCGCATCATTCTCGTCTTCTCTTTCGTCCATCTCATACACGATCCGGCCACTGCTTCGACGAGCTATGCATTATTTGGACCACGAAAAAGAGCCGGGAGGGGGGTGAACAGGGTGAATGTCTCGATTGCTCGAACGTTAACTCGAGACAATGACTGATTCGTGGCGTTTGAGCTCAATATATCATCTCCTGTACGTTCTTCAATCTAACCGGACCTAGGCAGCCTTGACACTGCTGGAATCTTGGCGGCTGAGGATCCACATGAAGACAAACTGGACAATGTACGAGTAGATGAAGAGGAACTGGGTGCGGCGGTTGCGCTGTGCCCTTGCTACTGTGTAGCTGGCCCCGCTGCTGGTGTTGGGGGACTGTTCCGGGAGAAGGACATACTTCAGCGAGCGGAGCTGGTCAAGGTCAGCATATCTGATGTGTCATGTCCATATCTTGCATCTCGAAGGCGTGCACACGATGGAGCTAGAGAGAATCGCGAGCTCGCACTTACCAAGAAGAAGGCATTCGCAAAGAAGGTGTAGAGGAAAATAGTCCAGCCGATCATGCCGCCAGTACCCTCGCCTCTGTTAAAGATCTCGGCCACGACGAGAGTGACGATGACGCCAACAAACTTGTAACCGGAGTAGGCTACCAGGTCGAGCAGCTGCGATTCGTTGCTAATGCTGAGGAGGTAGCATCCAAGCTTCAGGCCCAAAATCTCAAATGTGACGACAACGAAGGCGGTGGTGGCTGTCAGTCCAAGCAGCTCTGGGTGGAAAGCGCCGCGAATACCGGCAAGGAGTGTGGAGAGAAGGATATAAGTCACAAAGGCCATGACTGCATTAGGAATTGGTGTCAGCTCGGTTGCGCTTTGACGGCTGTCTGGGTGCGACGTACCTGGAATGTACATATCCGGGCTATTGATATCTTCGCGCGGTGGCAGGAAGAAGCCATCCTGGTTCTGACGCACCCACGGCCGGTGGCGCCAGGGAAACAGTACGATGTAGAGCTTGTTAACGACATAAGAGTTGCTGACGTTGAAGTAGCGCTTCAGGGCGCTGACGTTGACGTAGCGGTTAAACTGCGCGCCGGACCGTCAGCCATGCAGTGTATAGGGCCACGAATTGAGCCACGCACGTTCTGCTCCATATACTCATGGCCGGCCATGACGGCGCTCTTGCCGACCTGGAAGCCCATCTGCGCGGTCGAGTCGTTCATGATGCCCCCGAATGCCGGATGCATGAAGCCCGGGGCGCCTTGGGGCTGGGGTTGTTGCGGGTATCCATATGAGTTCGCCTGGGCTTGCTGTTGCGCTTGCGGCGGCGGAGGACTGCGAAGGTTCGGGACCTGGCTGATGCTGGGGTATTTTTGTGAGCAGCTGCCTGCCGGGCGGGAGAGGAGAGCTGTGGGCGAGCTTACTGCTGGGGCACCGGATGGTGCAGCGGCGGCGAGTGCGCGGGCGCGTATGTCGGGCGCTGCATGGCGAGCAGGTGCGGGGGATTGACGGGCGCCGGCGGGTGGTGGGCGGTCGTGGAGTGGAAAGGTGGTTGCTTGGGTGGCTTGGGTGTTTGGCTTGCGGGTGCGTGTCGTGGCTTAACCTCTCGGAGAGGCAGCGGCGCCGCTCAAGCCCGCCCGCATCATCGCGCGTCAAGTCTCCGGCCCACCACCGCTGCTTCTCCGCCATCTCTACTCCTTCGCCGCGCCCCGAGCACCGCCCACCATGCTCGACTCTTTCGAGGTGCTCTCGACCTCGGGCGTCGTCCTCTGGTCCAAGACATACGCCCCCGTCAACCCCAAAACCATCGACGCTCTCATCCGCGAGGTCTTCATCGAAGAGCGCAATGTGGCCACCGATGACCAGAACGCCGCCCTGAAGCCCACCTTCAAGCGCGACGGCTACACCCTCAAGTGGACAACAGCCAAGGACTTCGGCCTGATCTTCGTGGTATGTGCTCGCGTTTGCTCATGCAGCCCATCGTAGCCGCAGCTAACGTGGCGCAGGCTGTCTACCAGTCACTGGTGCACCTTACGTGGATCGACAAGCTGCTCGACAACGTGCGCGCCCTGTTCACAGAACTATACAAGGACCAGCTCAAGAAGCGCAACTCGGCGGTGCTCAATTGTCCGTTCGACGACTATTTCGACCGCCAGGTACAGGAGCTGGAGCCGCACGGCGAGTCCCTGCGCAACCTGGAGTCTTCGGTCAGCACCGTCGCTGAATTCACGCCGCCTTCCAGCTCCGGCACCGATCACGACGACGATGTGCCTCCTCCCATGCCGGGCTTGCGCAAGCGTGAGTACATGATATTGTGTCGCAACATGGTGCCGTGTGCATGGGCTGACCTTTCTGATTTTCTTGCCTTCTGCTAGCCACGCCGAAGCCCATGTTCAGCGACAACAACACCTCGACTGATGCCACGCCGGTAGCAACGCCCGATACCTCGCGGCCCAGTTCGCCCGCCGTCAACAACCACCTCTTGGCCGCAAAGGGCGGTCCGAGACAGTCGCGTCGCGCGAAGAAGAAGTCTGCCATGTCATCTGCGCCGGCCTCGTCAGGTGACGAATCGCCCGCGAGGCGGCCAACGAAGGGCGCCGCAAAGAAGGGAAGGAAATGGGACGAGTTCGGTGCGGCTGCTGAGGAAGATGATACCCAGCTGGACTACTCGACACATTCCGTTGACTCCGAGGCACCAGCGGCCAGTGCAGTGGAGGCAGTTGACTCGTCGTCTTGGGGCAAGAGGACCGGAAAGGGCGAATTTGTGTTGAAAGACCTGGATGAAGAGATGGATGAGATTATTGCAGCCGCAAATGCCAAGAAGGAAAAGGATAGCACACAGGCGGCGCCCAGTGGCCTGGTAGGCTCGAGTCTTGGAGCAATTGGTGGTTTGTTTAGAAACGTTGTTGGCGGAAAGACGCTCACGAAGGAGGATCTGGCCAAGCCGCTCAAGGGCATGGAGGACCACTTGTTGAAGAAAAACGTCGCCCGCGAGGCCGCAGTCAGGTTGTGCGAGAGCGTCGAGCAGGATCTTGTCGGCGTGAAGACTGGCAGTTTCACCAGTAAGTCGATTGTCACCCTGACAGTTGGATATGTTCTGACATTGAGTGCAGGTGTGGAAGCGACTATTCGCAGCAGCATGGAGTCTGCGGTCCGCAAAATCCTCACCCCCACCACCTCTTTGGACCTCCTCCGCGCCATTCAAAACGTCAATCAACCCTCCACTCTCTCCATGCAATCCCCTCGTCCCTACGTCATTTCCATCGTCGGTGTCAACGGCGTTGGCAAGTCGACCAATCTCTCCAAGATCTGCTACTTCCTTCTGCAAAACAAGTTCCGCGTCCTCGTTGTCGCGGCCGATACCTTCCGTAGCGGCGCCGTTGAGCAGCTCCGCGTCCACGTGCGCAATCTTCAGGAGCTCTCGGCTCGCGAAGGTGGCAGCGTAGATCTGTACGAGCGTGGCTACGGCAAGGACGCGGCCAACATCGCCGCCGACGCGGTCAAGCACGCCAGCTCCCAGGCGGATCCCTATGACGTCGTCCTCATCGACACGGCCGGGCGCCGCCACAACGACCAACGCCTCATGTCCTCGCTCGAGAAGTTCGCCAAGCTGGCAAAGCCGGATAAGATCCTCATGGTCGGCGAAGCGCTCGTCGGCACCGACTCGGTTGCGCAGGCACGCAACTTCAACGCCAGCTTCGGCGCGGGCAGGAAGCTGGACGGGTTCATCATCAGCAAGTGCGACACTGTGGGCGACATGGTGGGGACGCTGGTGTCGATGGTCCATGCGACGGGCATTCCAGTCGTGTTTTTGGGTACGGGGCAGCACTATAGCGATCTGAGGACGCTGAACGTGTCGTGGGCGACGAACTTGTTGATGAGCTAGGTTGCCCACGGATGTATATTGTTATGCATGGTTTAATGTGGAATGTTGTATATGAATTACATGATTGGTGGGGGGTGTAATAAAGATTGCGTATTCGTATACAGTACAGTCAAGTGTTGAGTTCGGGTCAAAGTGACCTGGCTGTTCTGCCTCTTAATTGAAACTACGATCAGTCGAGATTCCAAAGTTTTCATGCATAATCCAAGTCGGTGGCTAATGGAAAGCGGCACGACGTGATTCGTCCACCGGTAGCCTGGGTAGTAGAGCGGCTTCCGGCGTATTGACAAGACTGTCTCTGATTTTACCTAGTTGATATGGTCAGAAACAGGCCGAGACCACCAGCTATACTCTTAGAGAACCCAAACCCCCCACTTCAGCCACTTGCCAAACCAAAGCAGGCAATAAATCCAATCCCCTCTGAGCACAAGACCAACAAACAACACAACGTTTAGTCATCCATCCATCCATCCATCCCACATCCAATCCCTCCTCACCCTTCCACCGACCCAACCGCATCCGTCATCATCCATCACAAACAAACCCCGTCGTCGGCTCCAAGACGTTACTACACTCATACCCGCCAACAAGCGTCCCGTTGGTGCTGCCGCCGACGACCACGACGTCGATGCCGCTGATCTCGATGCCGTCGCAGCCGCCCGCATCGGCCGAGCACTGCAGGTCGGCCGCCACGGTCGCCGTCGTGGTGCCCGTGTGGTTTCGGAAGGCGATGTCCGGGCCGATGTGGAACTGCGAGGTGTCGCAGTCGCCGGATTCGTCGTTGTAGCTGTGGTGTGTGTGTGTGTCCGTTTTAGCGCTTGATATCTCTTTTTTTTTTTTCTCTCTCTCTTCCTTTCCTATCTTGAGAGGTTGGGGGGGAGGAGGTGCAAAAGGCGAGGGGTAGGTAGTAGATGGTGTGGGAAGATGGGAGGAAAAGGAAGGAGAGGAAGCTTACGATGTGCATTGCGTGATTTGGAATAGACCGCGCGTGCGGATGTGGGTGACGGATTCCATGGTGATGTTTCGCATGTCTGTGGAGCCAGACTGGCGTTAGTGGCTGGGGTAAGGCATCGTGGACAGAGAATGGAAGCAGGTGAGTGAGGAAGTGGGAGGTGGACGTACAGCCGAGGCCGCCACCACCGCCATTTGGTGGGTAGCCTTTCTGGACACCGGTCCAGGTCTTGAGGTAGCTGTGGGGGGCATCATTTTAGTGTCGAAATGCTTTTTCGGCTTGTGCCTCTGGGCCCTAGAAGGGAGAGATACTTACATTGCCCATCTGTGGTTGAGTTGTCATTTATTGGTTCTTCGGCGTTGTTGCGTGGAGGGGCAGAGATGGTGTAGGTGGACTTACCGGGTATTAAGAAGTGTGATGTTTTTGGCGTAAACGTTCTCGATATACTCGTACCAACCGGGGAATTGGCCGATGCTACCGATAGCTATTCCTTGACCGTCTTCAAGGATGGTATCGTAGATGAAAATGTTGGAGGAGTTTGCTTTGGTAGAGATACTTTGATGGGGATATTAGTTCGAGTCTGCCACGATCCCTTGGGAGATTTCCGTTCTTACCCGTCATCGCCGTTGACAACGTGCCAACGGTTGAAGGTAATGTTATTGGCATAGATTGTGTCTGCGCCATCCGTGTTTCGAGCACTAGAGTCGTTCTCACTGGTGTTGTTGACGTAGATGTCCTGCAAAAGAACGTTTTCCGAGTTCTTGACCGTCATGGTCCTTCCAAAGGGAAAGAGTGTTCAGGATCAGCAGCTTATATGCAAGACAGGAATAGCAATTGGCGTCAACTTACCACATCTGACTCTGAACGAAGCGCAAGCCTTCGAAAACCGAATCGTACGTCTCCCAGATGGTGAGCTGGTGCGGCCTGTGGGGATAATTCGACACGCTGCCGGCAAAGTCGTACCACACCTGCCCGTTGCCGTCGAAAGTGCCGTATCCGAAGCCCTGAAAGCGCACCCTCCGCCCGCCGAAGATCCAGGCAGTGGTTTGGTTCTGGTATCCCATAGGCAGAGAGTTGTTCAGCCAGTAGTCGATGTCCGTGGACCACTGCGGGATCACGTCAAAACGGATGCCAAGAGAAGGAAAATGGCTGTGCGCACCAGAAGCGTTCCGTGTAGCTCGATATCCACATCCTCGAGCGCGGACGTGTTGAGCACGGAGTTGACATAGTACGTCTCGTTCAAGAAGACGACTTTGCCGCCACGGCCGCACTCCTCAAAGGCTCGACGGATGGCAACGGCGTCGTCGGTGGCATTGCTGCCGCCCGGCTCCACTGTGCACTGTTTGCGAGCACGAATTGAGAGAATGGAGTTCGCAGTGTCCTGCTCGGCGGCGAGGTGGTTACCGAGGACCAGCAGCACGAACAAGAAGATGCATGCGCGCGAGACGAAAGCAAGGAAGCGACCGGCAGACATGGTTGCTCGTTAAGACCGCATCGACAATACCGGTCGTTTCGTGGGGGCTGCGAGGCAGTGGATATAGTCAAGAGAATCGCTGAAGAGGAGGGCTTCATGTTCTACCCGAGCGCCACTCTTCCTGGAACCTGGAAACGGCAAGAGCGCGACGCTGCCCCGCAAACGCTCCAGGTACGATGATCGCCCGAGTGACGGTCCACCAATCAGTGCATGAGGGGCATTTGGACCAACGGAGGTATGCAGACCGAGCAGGTACGCATACCAATCAACATGATCCAGCGTATCAAGACACGAGTTTACATACCATCGACGAGTACCGAGACTGCACGTCATCTTCTATTCTTCCTGATCTTCGCGTCTCGCGGCCTTAAAGAGGAAGAAAGTAAAAAATGGGTAACTAATAACTCACTCGCGCGACGACCCCGAGAGATTGGTGACCTGAACCGTGGCGGATGACCTGGTCTAAATAGACACTTGATCGCTGACCCACGGCAGGTGCTTCAATCAACTCAATGTCGCCCAAAGAGCAAAGTATGGACAAAGACCCATAGGATCAGGGACTTGGAAATATGGACAGTCAGAGGAAGAGGAAACACTATGAACAAAAACCAAACACAGCGGGGTATCCACATCGTCAAACGCCCAAAAAAAAGAAAAAAAAAACCAAACGCCGATATGCTATGTTGCTGTACAAGCTGCAGAGTGCCTGCTCAAGGCCATGGCTGGTGGTATGCGTATGTGCAGCTGCCGACATCAGATGGCGTAATTCTCGGCATGCAAGTAAATCTCGTCCTTGTCCGGATCGCTCCACACCTCCTTCTGCAGCTGTGCCACCGTGTGGCTGACATCGATGCGCATGCTGGGTGGTCCGCACACAAATACACAAGTCCGGCGTCCGAAGTCCTTGCTGAACTGACGCAGCATGTACGGAATCTGCGGCCGACCGTACTCGGTGCTCCACCCGTCCTTCTTCTTTACCGCTGCCGGAAGGAACGCGAAACGCATTAGATTCTTCTGGAACTCGGTCGGCGTCGATGGGAAGCCGAAATCGAATGCCTGTTGTGTTGCCGGTTGCGCAGCCTCCGCGTCCAAGGCCGGGTTGTTTGCAACCGCTGTAGCAATGTCCAAGGAGAGATTGCGGGACCGGCGTTTTTCTGCGAGCGTCTTCCGTTCAGCTGGTTCCGGTCTGTTGGCTAAACGTGGAGACGTGGGAGGGGAAAGTTGACCGTCAGGGGTTACGACTCCGAGTCCACGGCCGACAGGAACCATGTGCGCTTGCGGCAGTGCAGTAATGGCATCTTCGTTTTCCGAACGGAGCTCCTTTTCGCGGTCCGGGTTGCCTTGCGCCTCGTCTGCTATTAACGCCGAATGTCTCTTGAAAGCTGACACACCTGAGAACCGCTTGTCAGCAATGTCTTGGAAGGCGTCGTTGACTTTGTCGTGGAAGAACATGCTCATTGGTCGTGTTGGCGTTTGCGCGCTGACAAGTTGTCCCGACCGGGCGAGTCGTTTGGCCGCCGTGATGAAAAACTGGCATTGCACCGAGTCCGGCGGTGCGAATTCCCTGCAAATCCTGAGCTCCTCTTTGAACCATTCCATCGTCTCCGGCCGCTTCAATGCCCACACAACCTGCACACTCTTCGTAACCGCCTTTCCATCTCTCATCCTCTTGATAAGATCCAGTAGCTGGCTCACAATCGCAGTTATACCACTGCCACCAGCAACCAGAACGACGTGATCGAACGAATCCAGACGGCGTTGCATCCCACCGTAGGGTCCGTCGATAAAAGCACGGTACGTGTGCCAGGGTCCCCTCTCGATGGCACTCAACAGAACCTTGTGTGTGAATCCTCCAAACGGCCGGAAGACCAAAACCATATCTCTGTAGTCTTCGCCATAGCTGGAAGGGAAGTCCTTGCTGCAGAGAGAAGCAATGGTGAAAGGGTGGTTCTCAAACACTGCAATGCCAGGCATGCGCAAGTAAACGTATTGGCCTGGCCTCCACCTCTTTTGCGTGGGAATGGTTACTTTGATGGCGTTTTCCGGCATGATCGTGACAGCGGCTTCCTCTCCAATCAACCAGGACATCCTTTTCGGGTTGGTCCAATTCAGGTAGAAGAGTCGGTATATGTAGGAAGATACCCAGATGGCGAGAGTGGAAAACAGAAAATGCCAAGAGTTGAGGTAATTGTTGCAGTGCCAGAACAGCATGCCAAGAAAGACCATAGACACCGGAACGTGAACAACAACGAACAGCTCGTACATCCAGCCCCTCAGTTGAGGGAGGGAATGAATGCACAGAAAGGCAAGAGGTACAAGCGCGGCGAGTCCTGCATTTTGTCAGAATTTTACAACGCGGATGGAAGTCTGGATGATTACCTGTGCCGTAGGTATAGAAATGCGGGCCCTTCACCAGAGCCTGGTATAGCGGAAGTGCTCCATCTTCCCAGACCGGCGTTACATAGAACGGGACCGTGTGGATGATGCTCAAAATGAGCATCAAATACGCTCCCCAGCGGTGGAGAACGTTCAGCCGCTCGTGGCCGATGCCGGTAAGGAGCGAAACGAAGTTCGCCTTCATGCTCAGAGCAATGATCCAAGGCATCAGGGAAACAGCGAGCATGCCGGAACGGATCGCCATAGGCGGCGACCCATATTGTATGCTTTCCCAGAAGAGCGGCTGAGGAATGAAGGTGTACAGGATGGTGAAGACCAGCGCAGCACACATGACGCAGACAACGCCAAGAGACGGAAAGACAATCGGCCTCCAACCCTTCTTGACATTGATCTGCGGCAATGGATGGTAGAAGAGGAAACGGAACAAGGCGATCAGATTGTTGAGAGGCGCGAAGGACGAGACTGACGACTGCACTTTGGCAGGCTGAGGCAGCTCACCATTGCGTGGGAAGAACTTGTTGGTTGATTTGTCAGTATACAGCACTGACATCTCGTAGTCCGAATCAGGTGATGCGGTGGTCGACGACTTCAGTACCTCTTCGTGATGTAACGCAGCGCGAACCCTGTCGGTGAAAAAGTGGTAGGAGCGCAAGCACGACGAGATGAACAGCAAGATGACGCAGAAGTAGACCATGCCCAGTGCGTATTTCCCGCTGTTGTTCCATGGATCCACGGTATTGGCCTCTATCAGACCCGCAGGGCTGGTGCTGTTGTAAGGGATGTTGATGCGTTTTGCCAGTTCGGATGCTGTTCCTGAAAGGTCGCGGCCCATGAGGGTGGCAGCAGCCGCCAAGTGCTCGAGCGCAGCTCCCGGCGCGCTGCTGACAAAATGCGGTAGAGCGGGCATGGTAGAAGATTTATTTCCCTTGGTCCTGGATCCGGACGGAGCGCAAAGTAGTGGCTGGTTTGCGATGGCTGATCACGGCCGGCAGCTTTCACAGGCTGATCCTCCTAAGCGCATTGGACCGCGAGGGGAGTGTTCGAAGGAGCCGGCATTGGCACAAATATTTGAATGGAGCGTGCAGCGGAGCGAGCGGTGAGAGGAAGGTATGGTCGGCGTAGCACAGAGGGGCAGCAACGACGACGTCTGGGAGCTCGTGGGTCGCACGCAACGCGCGTGGGAGGATCAGTTGGCGGGCCGCTGAAACGTCTGGACGGGAACAGAAGGACCGGCAGCTCGCAGTCGTCGGGGACGGTGGTACAGCATCGGACGCGCTGCGAAGCTGGCGGCGACTGGGGGCAGCGGGTTTCATTTATGGCTCTTGCGGAAGCGGAGAAGATGGGCTCTGCTGCACGCACGCAGCAAGGGTCGAAGCTGCCGGGATCCACCGCACGCCTCGAGGCCCCACGCAGCTTCGCCCAACCGCGTGCGCGCAGCGCTGTTCCACCCGGACGGGCCAAGGCGTGATGCGACTTCTCTCCGCGATATTGAGCCGTGGCGCGGCAGCATGCAGCCCGACATTGGCCAGCGATCGCTCGGCCAGCAGCCGGCAGGAGATGCGCCCTGCATCCCTACCGTCGCCCGTGCAGCCGGCGCGCGGCGGCATGGCCGCCACCGGCCGCGGCGTGGCGGTCCTGCGCAGAGAGATGCGGCCTTGGAGGCCGAGACGGTGCGCGTCGCTGGTCACGAGCGCGCGCAGCCCGGAGCGGACGCGATGCTCGATGACTCGAAGAACGGCAGATTCGCCGCCAATGCACGCTATCGAAGTCGAGCTGCGCAATCAGAGGGCAGAGGCCGGGGTGGAGCTGGCAGCCAACGGGCGGCGGCCAGGGCTGTCGTCCCAAACGGTGCGCGAGCCGGGCGCGGTGGCGTCGGCAGACTGACGGCGACGCGCAGGCCGAGCTAGGGTCCAGGAATCAGGACCTGCATTGCCGGCATGGACGTGATGGGGCAAGGCGGGAGGTGGAGAAGTGATGAGCAGCAGGAGATGAAGGCGGCGTGGTTGGCTGGCAGCCCGCGAGCAAGCGCCGGCCATCCCAAACCGGCCTGGCGCACCCGATCGGGGCCTCGCTAAGCCCGCGCCCTCGACGCCGACGACATGCTTCCGTCTGCTTGGCCCGCGAACTCTCCTGCCAAAACCCGCGCATGCGCCAGTCTGGACCCTGCTCCGCTCCGTCACGGCCTTTCTGCATGTATTTGACATCACATCTGGCTGCATCGCCTCTTCGTCCCGCCCGCCTGTACCGCGACTCTGCGTCTCGTATCGCCCAAGTCTCAGCACAACCCCTCAATCTGGTCTCGTCGCCGACGCCAAGCTCAATGGGCCTCCTTGGTCGCCGACCCTGGCCTCGATCGCGGCTATCGCGATGCTGTGGAGACTTGGTAGTAGTTTGTTTGCCTCACCCATCGCCGGAGCTGCGAGGAACGCCTTGCTCGACAGGCCACTGTTCAATATCATCTCGCCTGCACACAGCCCTACATCAATCAGCCTGCTACGTTTACGTATCAGCATTTTGTGGTGCCATCACCTCACAGAACCACACGGGAGTCTCAACGCTAGACACCTACCCATCCCACTCGATAGAGATCGGCCCTTCCCATCCTGAGAGCCTTGGGCACCCCAACTCCCGCCGCCTTGGAAATAAGGCGGGGATCCATACGAGAAATCAGGCAAATCCGAATCTCCGAACCATCAGTCTTCAGCTTAATTAAAATCCGAGCCGAAAAGGCCCGTCGATTCTGACTGTCTCCTGAGCTCAACAAGAATAATCAGGGTTGATGTCTGCGAGCAATCCATTCGTAGGCTGGAAAGGACAACTCATGAGAAGCCCCACCATTGCCTGTGGGGTTGCATCACTTGGCAACATCAACTCTCAGCCAATGGATCAACATCTATGAACGGACCCCTCCCTAAACTAACTATTACTGTGCATACTGGGGCTGAGGGATAATTCTACGCGTCACCCGCCACGTGGTAGCACACTGCTTCTCTTTGCCCCTGAGAACCTAAACCGGAGTTCGAGATGGAGACTGCCGACGCGTAAAGGCTAGGCGATATTGTGGCTTTCAATATCACAGAAATCATCACGCAAGACAGACCAGCCTAGCGTAAGCTCTGAGCAATGCTGCGGCACTCGTAGCAAGCCACGTTCCTTCTCTCTTTCACCATTTTCTCAAGAGGGCAGACATACTCGAGACATCGAGCGACCCATCTTCGCCTACTTCTTCGACTAAACATGCGTGTCCAGTCATACCTTGCGTCTGATCAAAGCAGCCGATTGTTCTAGAAGTTACAAATTTGGCAACCCAACAAGAGGTCCCACAGATGACGCTGACTCAGCTGGCAGATCTCCCAGACCTTTTGGCTGGGACATTCGATTGATCGACGACCGACCACCGCCGACGTCGCATGCACACTTGAGTGGGTGACGGACCACCACTGATAAATCATTATTCTGCTAGAAGTCTCACCCATTATGACCATCAATCAGTCTGCAAGCATTACTCTTCCACTTCAATACTAGCATACAACAGGAGGAGGATTAAATACTAAGTTCAGACGGGCTTATTCAAAAGAATGTCTAACTGTAGAACGGGAATGAATGCTGCTCGATACCGCGTACTCCACTTTGAACGATATGGCTATAAGCGAGCTGAAGGGGATCGCATACAGTGCCAACGATCTGAGGTTTGAAGTGCCGTCCTTAGGGTCGAGCGTCGACGACGGAAGCTGCTTCCAGGAAGCGCAACACATCACAAATCAGCTAGCTCAGCGGGAGCGTGGCGCAAATAACACCTCAAGTGGGGTAAATCCGGCCCAAACAACTTACTCTTGCACCGCAGACACCTACATTAATATCTTCCCCCCTGTCAACCCAAATTTGCAAATGCTTCATCGGTAACACTAGCAACATATCCTTCCATTTTCATCTGAAGAAAAAAGAAACCAATAATGCCAAAGCGGACGGGCTCGGTTACTGCTCAGCCGTGACGTTTTGATGCCAGTCTGCTCGATTCTCGAGCCGAGCGACAGCGGCGTGACTGGTTGGGTGAGAAAGTGAGGACCGAAGATGGTACGCAAATAAATAAAGTGTATGGTGTGTAGGCGTGTAGTAGGCTGGTGCATAGTGGCAAGCAATGCCGTCGATTTTGTCGACCACACCGGCCGGCTCAGACCACAGCGCTCTTACCCTGCGTTTGGGACGAGGGTCAAGTGACACTCGCAGTCTCTGCCTGCGTGACGAAGTGATCTCATTGATGAATGAAAATTTTGTTGTTGTAGAATGCCGCGGCTTCAACACCGCACCATGCTCTTCTTTAGCGAACGGGACGATGCGTGAAAAGAGGGACAGAACAGTGGCAGGGCAGGAATTGAAACTGGTCAAGAGGCCATACAATCAAACAACAGAATGGGTGACTGAATAGCTTGACCCACCTACCGCGTAGTGGAATCTTATCTGGATGCATTTGTACAGTTTCAATACTCGCATCTACGTAGGTGTACTTGTTTCAACTGTCCACACAAAGGATTGCCGTAGGCCAATTCCTTTCGTCACCTAATGTGACAACCATGACTTGTAGATGTGGTCGGAATTGAGATGAGCAGACTGACTCACGATGCCTAAATGATTGGGAAAGTGATGCTACACAGCAAAGGATTTTCAGGAGATGATGACGGAGGTGTGGTACGCGTATAACGAAGAGGCTGAACGGAAGGCCCGAATCGGGCCAGCTCCACGTTTCTTCAGGCGCGCCGTCTACCAGCCACCGTGGAGTAGTGGGTGAACCTCCAGAGGCCGATCAGCTTCCTTTGCTGCAGCGGCGGTGAAAGCTCTGGAACATGGACCCGTTTTTCTCATGTGATCCAAGTGCATTGCTCACAGCGGGTGTCGTGAATTTTGGATTTGCTGCGCTGCGAAGGCAGATAAGTTCGCTGGCCGAGACGATTGTCGTGGCTTACTCTCGCATGTGAAGGTGTCCAAGAATGCCACCTCACAGAGCGCCCTACTCGTTGCGGCGATAAGCTGACGAACGTATTTGGCTTACCGACCGAGCGAGGTGCAGAGCACGCTCAATCGAACAAGTAAAGACAACAAGAAAGAGAGATCCTTTGGCGTCGATGAATGTCTCTTGTGCCAATGAGGGGTCGAGGTGAGATGCAAGAGCAACGAGTCGGCTCCGACGATCGAGCCAGCGAGAACAGTCAGAGTCGGGTGATGGAGTGCAGCACGCACGGATGGTGACGGGTGAGGCTAGAGATAAGTCTTACCCTATGCTTGGTCCCGAACGAGGGAATCCAAGGTGCGAGTCAAAGTCCGAGGTATATTCTTACGCAAGCATTAGTCAATTGACATGCGACTACGCTGACCACGCGCACCGTGCTTGGAAAAGTGACGGAACTGCTCGACGATTGCTTTGCTCCCGCGCTGCTTCTGAAACGTTTCATGCAGTGGGAGATCCGGTCAAATCGGGCCGGTAGCGTTCTGCAAGCGTCAAATCGTACGACGACAGGTACAAAGAAAGAGAGCGCACCATCCAAGAGTAGTGACGGCTGGGAGACAAGGCGACGTCAAGTTAGTGCTTTGATTGACAGACGGCACGGACGGACCGCCTGGCTTTAGTGTGCACTTGCACGGTGGTCGGGGCGGTGGAGATCGGTGCAATGACGCGGAAATGATGGCGCAAGGCTGGAGGAAGGCTGGCAGGTGTTGAAGGAGACCGCAAGCTCAGCTCAGCTAGTCCCTAGATCTTCCTTGCGCTGAGCATCAATGCGATCATGGAGCACCTTAATGATCCTTCCTGGCCGACTGCCCAAGCCGCATCGGGGTAGGCCAAAGCCCGGGCTGGATGCCATCTCCACAAGCGGAAGTAGCGCTGGCGGTGCAGGCCACAAGTCTGTACGCAGCAAGACGGGGTAAGTCACTGGCAAGCGGGTGGTGGTTTCAAGGCAGTGGCAGAGCCAGCGCACGGCGGATTGTGGCGTCGACAGCAAATCACGGCGGGCCTCGGCCGCACGATGCACCGGTCAGACGAGTGCGACAGCGCGTTTTCCTGGAGCCACAGAGCGTCGATGATGGCCGTGAGTCAACGGATGGTGTCGGCGAGGAACACGTAGCTGGGGTTGTCAGGGCAGGCAAGAATCGCCGGGAGATGTGCGCCTAGTGAGAGTCGCTGGCCGCTTGGCCGTGCGCCAGCTTCTAGCTCGCCCGTCCGTCGAGCGTCGGCCCGCGCGGCAGCTGGTGCGCGCACGGCATTCCTGTGCTGCGTCAAACAGGCTGCGAGGTTGCGGGCGCTGCGGCGGGCTGCTATTATAAACCTGCGGCGAGCACGCCGGCGGCGCGTCCAGCGTCTCGCCGTGTCGCCCTTCTCCCCCCGGCTTCTGCTGACAGGGTGCTTCGCGCAGGGGAGCCGCTGTGCCGCCCACTTTTCCGCCGCTCCAGAGCCGGGATTCGTTCCTGCCGCGACTTCCATTCCGCACCTTCCCGCGCCTATCGTTGCGCGATTGCGCCGGCCATAGGTATCGCCCTCACCGCAAGAGCCCCAGCCCGGCGTGAAGCGCCCGTCCGAGCGTGCTCCAGAGCCGCCGGCGCTGAACCATTCAAGAACCCGCCGCCCTGCTCACCGCACGCCTCAAAGGAAAGCGCACCACTGCCCGACCCGGTGCTGCACCAAGACAACTCTCACGCCCCGGCCTGGACGCCGTAACCCGCGCAACCATCACGGACCACGACCCTCCGCGTGCCTACGCGCTGCCGCTCCCCCGCGTCCCGCTCTCGTTCCTCTGGTCACCGCGTTGTCCAGCTCACCCTGCACCGCAAAAGTGTTCCTTGGTCCCTCGCGTTAGTCGCCAGCCCGCCCCGAGTGGCTGGGTACGAGTCTGGGCACGAACTACTTGTGCCGTTTCCCGACTCTCACCTTCAGCCCTTATGCGCCCATCCTGAATCTTCCAAACTCTCGCCGACACCATGGAGATGCGGTCGCCATGGCTGGCGCTGCTCGCCTTCCTTTCCCTTTTCCAGCTCGCCCTCTCTCAGACCGTACTTGACGGCGTTACCTATGTCGATGCTACCATCGATGGCGAGACCGTCCTGGTCAGGGACAATCGCCGACCCTCACTGTACACGTCGAACTTTGGAGACTGCATGGGCGACAGCAGCATCAATGTCACTCGCTTCGACGCCGCCTTCTACAAGGACAACATGACCGTGCTTTTCCATTTGGCAGGCGATACCAACATAGAGAGCGAAGGGCTGATGAGTATGTAGATTGCCCGGTCGTCAATGGCCTGAGAAGCTGATTGTTGCAGTGTACATCGCCGTCTACGCCTATGGCGAAAGCCAATTCGAGCTCATTTTCAACCCTTGCAACGCCAACATCGACAGTCTTTGTCCTGTACAAAGCAACGTCTCGATCGAAGCCAGCGGAATCATCCCAGTGGCAGAGTCTGACGTCCAGAATATCCCCAGTGAGTCGGTCGACACACGCTTGCAGCACGGTGACTGATACGGAACAGGCATTGCATACACAATTCCGGATTTCGAGGGCCAAGCAATCCTCCGCATCTTTGCGAACTCCACGCAGCAGCTGATTGGCTGTTACTCCGCAGTCATCACGAACGGCTCCACCTTCTCCCATCCGTATGCAGTTGGGTCAATCCTGGGCATATTCGCGTTCATTGCCTTAGTTGCATCCTTCGCTACTGCCATATACGGAAGTGATGTGCCGGCAATGCGCAAGCACTACGCACACTCAATGTCCGTCTTTGTGGTCTTTGCTGTTCTGCAGCATATCTTCTTTACTGGAGCATTGTCCATGAACTGGCCGAGTGTGCTCGTGGCATTCTGGAGCAACTACGCATGGTCCGGTGGTCTTATCTACACTGAAGCTATGCAAAACTCCATCAACAACTTCATCGGCTCAAACATGGGCAATACCTCGGCCGTAGGTGCAGCTAGCGCCGATTCGGACAACAGCAACATTGGCGGCGGCTACGACATCTCCTTGATCTACCGGAGAGCCATCAAAAGGACCGTCAAGAAGGCCGCCAAGAAGGCCGCCATGCACCTGTGGAGAAAAGACATTTTTGATCACCACTCACCTCGGCTCGAGAGAGCCCTTGCTAAGCGCGCGCTCGTGGACAACAACAACGGTTATTCTTGGTATGGTGATCCTGTCAAGCCCGGTCTTCCTCTACCTGGAAATTACTCAGGATTCGCTGGGACGTTGGCCGAAGAGGAAATACCAGCTTCCAACGCCTTCATGACCGGTTTCCTCTGGTTTCTCATCCTGCTGGTAATCGTCTCAGCCTCCGTTGTGGCATTCAAATGGCTCATCGAGGGCCTTATTCGCATCAAGGCCGTCAAAAGGGATCGTCTCACTTACTTCAGGTCTCATTGGATTGGATTCACGGCGCTAGCTGCTCTGAGAACGCTATTCATCGGCTTCTTCACCATGATCTTCCTAACTCTCTTCCAGTTTACTTACGAAGGCGGTCCCGGAGTCTTGGCTGTGGCTGCAATCGTATTCATAATCTTCCTATGCGGCATGTTCGGCGTTGCCGCATATGCTTGCTACTACCGGATAAGAGTTGGGAACTATGTCTCGCAGCCTGACCGTATCAATCTGGAACGCCGGAGAGTTCTTGGTTGCATCCCTTGGTTCCGCTTCTACCGAGCAAGTGCTCACCAGGATGATGAAGAGAAGGTCTACACTGGCAGCCTTCCTTTTTGGCGCATCTCTCACAACAGTCCTGAGACCCAAAAATCCGTGCACGAGGACGAAGAGTACACCAAGAAGTTTGGCTGGCTCGCCTCCCGGTTCAGACGTACCCGTTGGTGGTTCTTCACGTGCTGGCTCTTCTATGAGTTTGTCCGTGCCTGCTTCCTTGCTGGTGCATCAGGTCATCCGCTGGTCCAAGTTTTCGGTCTGCTAGTGGTGGAATTTCTGGCTTTCGTTGCAATCATCATCATGCGGCCGTTTGAGTCCCAGCGTCTAAACGCCCTGATGGTTTATCTTCTAGGCTTCAGCAAAGTCGCCACCGTTGCTCTCTCTGCGGCTTTCGACATCCGTTTTAACATCGCACGCATCCCGACGACCGTCATTGGTATTGTCATCATCGTTATTCAGGGAGTCCTGACTATCGTCCTCATGATTGCAATCATTGTGGGCGCCTGCTCCAGCTGGATGTCGGTGAAGCGTCACCGCGAGAAAGAGGTGTTCAAACCGCGGAATTGGAGGAATCTTCGAGACAAATACTTCGCGCACCTGGACAAGGCGATGAAGGACCTTCCGCCCGAACCTCCAGCACCTGTCATCCCACCACCCACTCCGGAGGAGCCCAAAGTAGGCTTCAATGTGTCTTCAGTGCGCCGAGTTGCCAAGATTGAGGACGAAGACGCTGATTTCCTTGCTGAAATTGGCAACGACCCTCGTGGATCCGAAATGTCAATCCAAGGAAATGCGAATGCCAGGATCAGTGAAGAGGGCACACGACCTCCGCCAGGGCCCAAACGGGCGCCAAGTATCATGAGCCAGGTGTCTTACACCAGCTTGCCACGCACAGCTCGTGTACACCGTGCCAGCTGGAGCTCGCGCGACTTCCTCGATATGGACCTCGATCAGGGACCCACGACCAGTGGCCATACGCGTACGAACAGTCTGGGTCACTCGCGCTCCACTAGTCACGGGCATGGGCGTTCACGTTCCCGAGCCAACAGCCTTGGTCGACAAAGATCCACCAGTCTTGGAAATGCAATGAGCTCCGAACGTATATCTCGCATGGGCACACCGACCGGGATCCCCGAGCTCCCGCAGCTGAACAGGCAGATTACGGAGCATCGCGAAGAGGGGGATTACCAGCAACCTCCTGACGGCACCACGTCAGTCCGACAGGAGCAGCATCCGCCCGGGCGCAACTCGACATCATAAAGGGCGAACGGCCGTTTCTTTTTCTCTGACGATATGACTTAACGATTGAAACGAAAAATAAAAAACCGTACAACTTATGCGCACGAATTTAGGAAAGGATGAGGAGTTTGTGGAAAACAGGTATTCATGGGAAGCGCATACTACACTGCGTTGGAGGCACATGACAGCCTCAGCTTTGACGCATTCAAGCATCTGCATATTCATTGGCGCAAGATTAGAGTCGGCCGGTTCCCACGAAGATGAACGTCGGCATAGTCCGTTCCTCGGTCCTGAGAGATGTTCATGATTTTTCTCCTCCAGTCATTTGGCTTGGTCTGTCAATGGTCGGGAGAACGTGGGTGGACGATGGCGGGCTGAATGCGATGGAAACGTGCAGCAGGAGAAGACTTTGACTTCTCTTTTCCTTAATCGGAGCGGGGGCGGAGTACGACAGGCTTCTCGTGATGGAAGACGTTTACCGAGGTGGAATCGTTGATCGATCAGCGGGAATTGTGAAGGGGCACAGAGGCATAGCCATTGCTTGCTTTGATGAATTTAATACTAAAGATGAGACGCGGGCAATGGACTGAAGGAACCCGGTAAAGTGATTGAAGGATGTGCGTTTCTCCGTTCGTCTTGCAGGAATCAAGTATGCAACCTGGAGGGTGATCGGTTCTTTTACTCTTTTCCATCGCAATGATGCTCGGAATGCATCATGCGGCGGTGCCGCTCGCCCCGACAACGGGCGGAATGCGTGCAAATTCTAACGGGTTGACGATCAAGTCGGGCACGCGGCCGAAGGAACGGCGTGAACGGGAGAGAAGAGCGAAGGTTGCGCAACAGACGGGTGGAGCTCTGACCGCTTGCAGGCCGGCAAGGACTCCACCGCCAAGCACCCTTTCTTTTCCTTCTGGACAGGAGACCTGCGACAAGGATTCCTTGCTGACGCACCGGGCGGGCTCTTTTGCGAAATGACGTCACGCCATCTGGTCTGGATGCTCACATCACGTACACAGTATTGGCTTACCTCCACACACAGGTACTACTTGCATCGGGGCGAGCGCAGGCGATGCACACTGGTGTTTCCCGCACGAATGGTTGGTCCAGACGGCGGCAGAGCGGCAAAACCGGCGGCGGCATGGAAAGCGCATGCGCCGGAAAGGGAAAATCCGCATCAGCCACGGGCCTTTGTCTCATCAACGATGGGGATCGAGTTCTGTGCGATCAACACCTGTGGCTGCAACCGATGGGCGGAGGCGAACACAAGAGCGCCACGACGCCACTCATGCAAGACGGGTGCCGTGTTTGGCCAAAGGCTGGGGGCGTCGTTTCCCGATGGGTGGAGATTGCGTCAAGGGTCGGGGTCAAAAGCAGGATTTGGGTGCTGCTTCTGGCGTCTGGACTGCGGCGCTTGCATGGATGATGCCTGGCCTGCTCCGCCCGGCTTCCCTGGCAACTGTGGCTGGTGCGCGGGAGAGAGATTCAACGACGAGAGAGAGGCCGGAGCGACGATGTCATGGGTCATGGGTTGCAGCCGCACACCCGTGCCCGCGCTTTGCGCCTCGCACAAGATCCCAGATTGTAATTGCGCGCCCGGGGCGGGAAGTGGAGGCGGGCGATGAGCTTATCTGGATTCGGCGCGCGTGCAGTGCGGTATCTGCGCGGCCGTCATTTCCGACCTGTACCTACGGGGCGCGGCACCGGGGCCCTGTTTGCGTGCGACGTCATCGCTATGCTGCCCGTTGCTTCTGGCCTTTCTTGCATGCTTTGGAAGGCGCGGCAACCAGGCATCGCCGTTAAAAGGGCCTCGCCGTGCTGCTCTTCTTCACCTCTCCAGCTCCACACATTCCAATCAACAGCAACCACAACACAAACAACCACTCTCCACGCCTGAACCCTCCACCACAACATCCACATCCAACCTTCACCATGGGCGCTGTCGTGTCCTGCGTACGTCTCACCAACCAAAAGCTCCCCCACCTCCCCCAACCAGCCTCACTAACGCTTTTTTCTCCAACAGATCAAGTCGGTCTTCCAGGCCATCGGCGCGGCCCTCATGGCCGTCGTCAACGGCATTGCTGCCGTCATCAAGGCCATCATCAACGGCATCGTCGCCGTCTTCGACATCATCATCGGATGCCTGACCTGCAACCGCATGGGCGGTCGCCGGCGCCGCATGACAACTAGCCATGTATAGCCGTGAGGTGTGAGGAAAACAGCCAACGAAGGACCGCCTGAACGTTCTCGCCTCTTTTCACCGCCGTTTGAACAATCCGCTTCCCGAGCGACTTTGAGTCACGTCACGACCCTCCATCGGCATGAACCTTTTTGCGCCAACAAACGAGAACGAGCATGGACGGTCCGGCCTCACACCTCGTGTCAGTCTATTCCGCTCGATCTCCGACCGGTTCGATTATCCGAAGTGTATTATCAGCTTTTTTTTTTTTTCCTTTTCGAGTCACGAGGTTTCAGTTACTTTGCATGGTGGGAAGTTGAGAGGGGGGATGATGGCGAAGAAGAGGCTGTGTGGATGGTTGCGAGACGAAGATACCCTCAATACCCCGTGTTCTTCATTCTTCAATGCGGTAGCATCGGAGTTTTTCTTTACTCTGCTCTTGCTCGCTCAGTCTTGCATGGGCATCGTCGGTGGAAAGTAGCTTAAGTCTACGATAATGATTACGAGTTCATGAATTTTTTCGACCCTGTGATATCCATAATTTGCAGTTTACAACGTGTGTACGTCTTCTCATTCGTCTAGACAATGTTGTTTCTACAGTGCGCACGCGAGGGCATCCTTTCTCTATAGCAGACCAGGCGCATATGTGAATGACCCTTCCAGGATGCCTCTGCCAAAGGCGTGCGGGTTTTGACATGCGCTCGGCTATTGCAACGATGATTCCCTTCTCTTAACGAATGGAGGGAGGCAGTATTCTTCTCATGATTGCCTTGTAACAGAAACCTGATCCACATGAACACCCACCCTCACCGTGGCACCACCGCCTTCGCCTTCACACACACCCTCCCCTGCACCGCCTGCAGCGTCCCGCTCCACTCCTCGCCTCCATCTACCGGCCTCTCTTCACTTGGCACGGGACGCTTCGTCATGTCTTTCTGAGGCGGCAACTCGGTGCTCGGGGCAGGCGCGGGCGGCGCCGGGGCGGCCTTGAGCACGAAGAAGTTGCTCGCCATGGTCGGTGCGAGATAAGTCAGGGACAGCTGGGCGGGGCTGGGTGCTGTTTGCAACACATATACACGTCAGCTCCCACAAGAAAGCAAAAGAGGCGCGAAGAAACCACGGCGCGCAAGATTCTTACTCACCTCCAAACGCCTCGCAAAACGCCGTCGCCAACGCGCCGCCGTGCGCGACGCCGGGCCAGCCCGTCAGCCCGCCGCCGACCCAGAAGACCGTGACCGACTCGCGCGTGGCGCGGTTGACCCACCGCCGCGCGGGGCCGAAGCCCTTCATCGCGGCCAGCGTCTGCGCCACCATGTGCTTCTCGTCTCCCATGAAGACAACAGCGTGCTGCTCTTCATCTTTCGTGCCGCTTCCCCATCCGCCGAACCAACCTCCCTTTGACTTCTGCCGCCCTTCCCCCTCCATCACCACCCCGCCATCCCTCCCGCTATCCCTCCCGCTCCCGCTCCCGCTCCCACCTCCTCCCAGCACCGCCGCCACCGCCGCCGCCGCCGACACACCCACCCCCCACGGCTCCACCTCCACCCACCCATCCCCATCCCCATCAGCCCCCCGCCCCCCGCCGTGTGTCGCTGTCATTGTCGTCGTCGTCGTCGTCTTCCCCTCCATCTCGCGCACGACGGGCAGGCGGTCCAGCTCCTCGCGCAGCTTTGCCGACAGCGCGGCGTCCATTTCGGTGCCGGCGTCGGGCAGCGGTGGCGGGGCGACGGCGAAGCGCACGATGTTGCCGGCGACGAGGCCGGCGCCGAGGAAGAGGGTGGCGTAGATGAGGGGCCGGAGGGAGCGGCGGGGCTGCTTTGGTGGTGGGGGTGGTGGTGCTTGTTGTTGTTGTTGTTGTTGTTGTTGTTGTTGTTGTTGTTGTTGTTGTTGTTGTTGTTGTTGCTGTTGCTGCTGTTGCGGGGGTGGCGCGGCGGGGTTGGAGTCGGAGGGGGCGGGCGCGGGCGCGGGCTTCGAGGACGGTGGTGGTGGTGGAGGCGCGGTCGTGGAGGTGGAGGAGAAGCGTGGTGGTGGTGGTGTTGTCGTTGTCGCCGAGAGCGGGCGCGGTCGCGGTCGCGAGCGAGGGGACGGGCGCGCCAGAGAGGAGAGGGTGCGAGAAGCGCCATTGGGGGCGCGGCGTATTGGTATCATGGTGGCTGAGGGGTTGGATTGAGGTTGTTTGGAGCTATGGTACCAAGAAAATCGCGGAGGTGCACGGCTGCCCGCACACACGGCTTAAAGTACGCTAAGGGCTACACCGCACTTGCATCCACCCTTGTTCAGCACCAGCTTGTCCATGTCGAAGTCGTCAAGCATGCGGACCTGCGGTGCGTTAGTTTAGCAGGCGGCAGCTTCGTACAATAAGTCGGCGGCACATACATTCACGCCGACCAGGGCCGGGCCCTTTCCTGGGATGACGTCGATCAGGACACTGCTGCCGCAAGTCTTGCAGAACTTGTGCCACGACCTCTCCAGGCCGAACGTGTAGGCCGCCAGCGCGTCGGGCGGCGTGTGGAGCTCGAAGTCCTTCTTTTGGGAGTACACGACGACATAGCCGTTACGCGTGCAGATGGAGCAGTTGCAGCTGTTGGCCGGGTATTTGGAGAGCGGCGGCGAGAGCTTGAAGCTGAAGCGGACCGCTCCGCAGTGGCAGTGTCCGCTGTGCTCCGACCACTCGTCTGTGGGCTCCGGGAAACCCATGGCGTGGTGGGTGTGGGAAAGTGGTGAATCGATCACTGCCCAACTGCCATGAGGGAATGCAAGAGCCGTCTTCACGCGTCCCCCCCGCAATCTCACCTGTTTGCTTCCCTTATCACGATACAACTGACTCACATTGCATTTGCCCACGCCTTCCAAAACCGGCATAATCCATCGCAGCCACAAAACCCCACCTCGCCAACCGCCAAAGGAGAACAGAAACGCCACACAACCACCTCCACTACTAGTCGCACCCAGCCACAACAACACTCTTAACAAAAACCGTCACATCCTCATTCCCGTCGAAATCCCCCTCCTCCACCACAATCCTGCACCTCACGCCCCGTCTCCCTTCTCCACCACCGCCCCCACCACCACCATCATCAAACACCGTCCCCCACCGCGCCCACGCCCCCCTCTCCACCGGCACCGGCACCTGCCTCTCAACCAACTCCTCCACCACCTCCTCCCCGCCACCAGAATCGTAATAATACTCGCACCCCACCCGCGCCGGCGGCTCCTCCCGACTCGCCCTCAACTCGATGCCGAAATACAACTTACTCCCACCACCAGCGCCGCCGCCGCCGTTGCTTTCAAAGTCCTGCGCCAGCGTGACTTGGCGCCTCTCCGGCGCGCGGACGTTGGCGTAGAAAGCGTTGGCTGTGCCGTCGTCGCCGTCGTCGTTGTTGGCGTCGAACGACGACGACGACGTGCTGGGGACGGAGTCGATGCCGTAGCTGGGCCATTTGCCGGGGAGGAAGGAGAAATTGCCGGTGATGGTCCAACCGGCGCCGTCGGCGAGGGCGAAGGCGCCGTTGGTGAGGAGGTTGGTGTTTGTGGCCGAGGGGTGCGTGCAGGCGGTGGTTGTGTTTGGGGAGGAGGAGGGGGATGGTGTGGGTAGGAGCGATTGGGTAGAGGAGGCGGAGTGGGTTGCGGAAGGCGTGAGGGGGTAGAGGGGAGAAATGGCCGGAGGGGTTCCGTATGGTGTGTTACGAGAGCGATCCGGAGAGATAGTAGAAGGCTGGTTGTTACGCTCGGGTTCGATGCCGAGTGCGTCGGCGAGCGCGAGGAGGCCGGTGAAAGGGTGAAGTAGGCGCATCTTTTGAAACCAGGTTCGAGTTCTGTCTTTTTGGAGAGAATTGGGCAGTGGCTTTTTTGATTCTATTAACTATCCTTCTTGTTCGTCCGGTGCGGGGCTTAGGAAGTAGCCTTGACAAGCCTCTCAAGGGATGTTTTGGCTGCTCAGGAGGGTACACTAAGGTTTCATCCGCTCCTGTACAAGCACCGTACCATCACATCTGACCATTAACGCTCGAGTCCTGGTTTGATCAATCTTGCCTGGTAACTACATCTACCCACCGGCATGGGGGGCGTCGGATGTTGGGGTTTGAAGTGCCTCACTGTGTCATTGTTCGGCAAGCCAGCAACACGGGGTCGATACACGCGTCTGCTCATAACGTCGAGATGCGGTACGCGATACCTTGCTGTCCCAAAAAAGAAATCAGGGGTTGCGATAGACTGAAAACGGAAGCAATATCCCTTGATTACGCGATAGAAGACTGCCGCAGATGGATTTCCAACCTTGGCATCGTGCGGGATAATAAGTAGAAGCACCGTGAAAAAGTCAAGACATACGTGCAAGGCTCATGAAGGGAATGCATGGACAGCGTCCATAGTTTCTTTCACTAAGGAAGTCCCATTAACCTGGAATTGACAAGCATGAGCGTCCCAAACGACATGCCAACGCCAACGCACTCCGCGGTTGGGGATCAGCAGCGTAAATCTTCCGAAGTGATTTTGGGGTAATCGTTTATGGCTGATTGGTGCCTGACTGCTGGAGAAAAAGATAAGATCCGGGGGCATTGGAGGCGTTGTAGGATGCTAAAGGAGGCAAGGCGCCAAGAAAAGGCAACTTCAACCGTCAGCAATCAATCGACAGCCCGATTTTGGAGCCAAATTAGCGCCACGTTAGCCTAGTATCAGCTTGTTGGTTGGCCTTCTCTCCAGACCCACTGACGGTCCACGACGCTAAGCTGTCTGCATCAAAGCGTTCATGGGAAATCTCAGGGACAATCAAAGGGATCATGTCAACTGCAGTGTACACACTAACAGCATCAGATCGCCATTAAGCGGAGGGTCATGACTCGATCGACCCTGTTGATTCGCTAGCCAGTGCGCAAAAAGACAGGAATTGCGTACACAGGGCGTACGCACACTGTCCTCTCTGAACAGTGCCTCGAGGTGGGGATCGTTTGGTTCTTCAGGGGACGAAATTGCGTCAGTATAGAGACAGCGGAAGCATCGAGGGATCTGCCGTATGGGTCGTTTCGTGATGATGATAGTCGCGGCTTGGAGATCAGAGATCCTGGGTAAATTGTCCGTCGAAGTCTACGCAGTCCTGTTTTACTGGTCCGGGGTAGAAGTTTGGAAATGAGAGTAGTGTATGGAATGTATCTTGGGGCATGTTGATCACTAAACTCCAAACGCTCTGCTCGAGATGAACACTCCACAGCATAGTCATGCTTCATGTGGATGTTTTGTCTTGAACAGTCAAGTCCAACGGAGAAACTGATCGGGGAATTGACGGGGCGGCAGAGTGGATGCCGCTTCCGTCGGATGAAAAAGACGACAGCCAGCAGCTGAGGTGGGCCTTTGTTCTAGGTATATCTTGGACCCTCTCCAGGCGTTGTTCCACAATTACTGTTGCCGTTTGCACATGGGTCGGCAATCTCCATGGCGAAGTGGCGGATCATGAGAAAGTGCTAGACCGGACCGATAGGAGGGCGGCGAATTTTGAAACGCAGCGCATGAAGAACAGGCGGTAAGGCCTGAAGGGAGGTTAGTGATGTGGCCACAGCCCATTGGAAAAGAAGGAGAAAAAAAAAAAAAAGTCAAAAAACGCACATCAAATCAGCCGGTACGGATCTCGGTGGGACTGGTGAGGACAGAGCTAATCGCAACCGGACATTCGCGTCGTTGCGGAGCATGCGACGGATGCAGCCTAGCACGTCCAGCGCGCGCGAACGTTTGGTTTTTATATTGCAGCTGCAGCGGAAGACGACGAACACTTGGTCCCTACGTCAGTGCGGTTCGTTGCAAGCGCATAGACGCGGCGCGCGCACACAGGCGCGAGCACGTCACCGGGCGTGGACCCTGCATCGCGGTTGAAGGCTGCACTGAATCAGCGGTGCCTGAGGCTATTTTCGTCGCGCGCGCGCCATCTCGTCGCCGTCGCAAAAGTCTGTTGCGCGATATTGCAGAGAGCAGCGGCGCCAGGTGAGGTTGGCGTGCGAGGCCAAGACTGGAGAAAGCATGCTGGGTAGGGACGGATCGACGTGGGGGCCAAGCTCGCCTTTGGGCGATCAAGCTTAGCGTCGGACCGAAGATCGGTAGGCGGGGCTCACGGGCTCATGGGCGAGAGAGCTGGCACCTGGGATGGATCAGCGGGCAGCTGGCGTTGAGCGATGTGGCCATGTGGCCATGTGCGATGGGCAGCGGCGACGGAGGGCGGTGGAGGATGTGAGGACGTGGTGGTTGCAACTTGCAAGCGACTGCAAGCGATTGGATGCGGCTCCTCGCGACTTCCCCGTCTTCTTCGGCAGCATGCCGTATCGTCCCCCGCCCCTGGCTCGCTGGTGGCTGGCGTGTACCTGAGTCGCACGCATCCATCCGACGCGTCCCCTCCCGAGTCCGAGACTCCGAGATCAGGATGCGACAAGCCGCGCTTCCTGCTGGTTGCAGATAGTGGGACGCCCCGATCTGGCCGTGCTTGCAGCGCCCGCTGACTCGACCAGAACCCCATCACCGCCGCGCCTGGGTGTGTGATACGCAGCCGTCAGCCAGCCATGGCGCCGCGCGCAATCTGCCCAACGGCTCGGCTGCGTCAGCGCCGCCGCCGACAAGCCTCTGCAGCCTCTGCATCTATCGCTCGGGGCATCATTGCCCCAGATCGGGAATTTGCTGCATCGGCGCCTGCCAGGTGCCAGCACGCTGCGGCAGATCCTGCCCTCGAGACGATCACTTCAGCAGCCCCACGCCCCGCCTGCAGAAGCCTGCGCGAAGGTTTCGGGAAGCCACGTCCGCTCGCCTGCCAGCTGCCCGAGTCAGGGTCGTTCATGCAAGGCTCACCAAGGTTCGTCACAGCATCCCGCACGCCTGGTTGGCTGCTGGGCGGGGCGCAGGCGGGAGCAGCGGGTGCGGGAAAAAGCAAGCATGAAACAAGCAAAAGTCTACTCGCATTACTACGGTACATATTGTCGTAAACAAGAGAGCAGGAGGTGTGGGGTATGGCGCAACGCGCGGTATCATGACAACAAGAACGGGAAAACCAGCACAACCGCGACTCCTTTGCTCAGCAGTTCAACCACCCCGAGAACCGGGCCATGTCCGCCGCTATCACGTCCTTGACCAGCCGTAATGCCTCGACCGCGAACCTGACCATGTTGGCGTCGCGGTCCACCAGCCCCGTCTCGATCTCGCGCTCGACGCAGCCCGATTGGGAAGCGACCGCCAGCGCGACGTAGCCCGCCTTCATGTTATCTATCGTGTGTCTTGCGTCAGTCCTTTGCACAAAATCCAGCGACTGTGGCCCGGACACGTACCAGTCTTGCCCCAATTCGAAGGGCCGGCCGACCCACTCTCGGCCACGGTGTAGGTCGAGCCCAGCTGCGCCCGCACATGCTCGGCGAGTCCGAGCACGCAGTGAATCGACGGGCCCGTAAAAGTATCAATCTGTTCCTGGGTCCAGCCACCGTACGTGAGGCGAGACTCGAGAGTGTAGAGCTGAGAGTTTCCAGGATCAGCTCATGGGCCCACAAAAATAGATGATTACGGGGGGGTTTTTATGCGCGGTTGTTACGTACCGTAAGGCCGCCTTTGTACACTGCGCTCGCACCGGGCACCGACAGGATCGCTGCCGAGATCAAACCACCTGCCGCCTGTCGATTGCGAACCAACAGCGCCACGACGTTAGCCACTAGTCCGCTTGCATTCGCATCGCCGCCCGACTCGAGCCGAGAGTCAGCTGTGAAGGTGCAAGGCTTACCGTCTCACCGCAAGAGATGGTCTCTCCTCTATCCTTGAGGAGGTCGACGACTTCATAGACAATCTCGCGGAGCTCCAGGGGAGGGAAGACGGCCTCGGGAACCTTGGAAGGCATCTTTGCTGTATGTGGCTTGGGATTCCAGAAACGGTGTGTCCGACAATAGGCACGCAAGTAGAGGATGCGCGGCTGGCGAGTGAGGTTGGGGTGAAGGGAGAGTCAGATGATGGTGGAGAGCACCGGACAAGAGGTTTGCAGCCGGGAATATATACAGTCGAACACCAAAGCACAAGCGACGAGACGCAAGCCCCCATCCAACTCCAATGACGCTAGTATTTGGGGAAAACCATCCGGCCCCTGGCCATATCTCCGCCATCTGAGGCCGCTAGTGCAGCCTTCCCGTCTTTTCCGATGGCTCCGCTAGCAAGCCATTCCCTTTAGCCTACCCAGGGAGCATCCCGGCCAATGACGGACGCCTCGGGCCAGGCCCAGCTGTGCTGACGGCCCGTCTACCGCGCCAGCTCTCTAACGGTTAGGGAAATAAAGAAGAGTGAGGCGTCGACAAACGACGCCCGGCCGTCAAAGACAGCAGGAAATTGGTCGCTCCCGGGCCCGTCGATTTTGGACTTTTAGTGCCGTGGTTTAGGACTGCGCAAGCCCGCAAATCCCAATTGCGGGGAAATGACAGTCTGCTCTTGATAGGACCGAGATGGCGGTAGGGTCCCTTTCTCGACAGCCCCAACCGGCGGTTCGATCCAGTCACCCACCCCCTCCGCCACGGAGCACAGCAGGGTCCAGCCTCAGCACTCCTTCCACCGATCAACGGGAGCGGGAGGTAGATGGCGATCAGATCGGAGGTTTTTGTGGAAGGGCGCGGGCGGGCCCCATTCGGCACCGCCCATGCTGGTTGTGGCAACGCTGGCAGCGAACTTCAGAATCTGATGGCTGTGCGCCGCCGGGGACGGGATGCCGTGTGCTGGAGTCGGCGAGCATGGCCTGCGCAATGGGCGACAATCTACGTGCGGCGACACCCCCTTGTCTCGCGTGTGACTGACTGGTTAAGTTAGGTGAGAAGATCGCTGCCGATCGTTGAGGATGTCTTGCATCTTGGCTCCAACGTCCAGCTTGTTTCGTGCCTGAGCCCCTGCTCTGCAGTTGGGCGCGCTACCTAGGCTGCATCTCCGTCACGCTCGAGGTGCTGCGCCGGCATGCTCGCCCAAGCCACAGCAGGCGCGTTGCTAGGGTATCCCTCAGCTGCCTTCACCCGTCTGCTGATTAGTTGTCAAGAGCTATCGACAGTTGATGACGAATCGGCGCGAAAGAAGCTCGGGTCCTCGGTTCAAGCCCCGGGTTCCCTCTAGCGCCAGGGAGCAGCAGCCCCGTCTCGCCCCAAGCGCCATCTTCGGTCGTCTGTCGTTGCGACGACTAGAGCACCACAGCGCAGGTCGTGGCTCTCCAAATCCACGCGTGGAATTGGGACGGGACGCGGGAAGATAGACGAGCCGTGTGTCGCGTGCAGAATGAGGCACAAGCTTCGAACGAACTATCGGCAGCCCGAGCTATTCGCCGGTGGTTGGAGTGGCTGAGCGGTGTATTGATCCTGACGCTTCCTCCTGCCGCACGCCTCCGTCTCAACCTTAACGCAGCGCAGCGATGCGAAGGAACGGCCGTACCTCATCAAGCGGTGGGCTGCTGGAAGAATGGAGAGCTGCCAAGGTTACGTAAGGATGGGACGCGAGGCGCAGGTGCTGGTCTCGACCCAGCGCGCCGGGCTGTGCATATCGTCGTCCTGCCGGAAGCCGCCGTGCCCAACCGCCCCATCATCCCATCCAGACGGCCAACGGCTGCTGTGGCGGCTTTCTAGCTCGACTCTCCTCGTGCGTTTCGCGGTGCGCGTACGTCGCTTCGGTAAGCTCCAGAGGCTCGCGGCTCTTGCCAACCGCACTTCCTCCTCTTCGTTGTCTTTATTGCTGCCTCTGTGCCAGAAGACGTTGGCCTGATTTGAAGCCGCGGCACGGCTGCAGCCGAGATAGGCTCCACTCCGTCCTTGAGGTCTCGTCAATCGTGTTTGTTGCAACAATGCGCGAGCGTCGCCTGGCTTCGCTGAGAGTACCTAGGCGAGTCAAACCCACCTCGTGATCGTGGGGTTGTCGATTGTTCCGTGTCGGAGAGTGCCGGGAGTGCATGCGGAGTCGTCTTCTGCAACTCGCAACCAATGACGGGCTCTACATGCACGAAGATGCGTAGGAGTTGTCCCTACCTATTCCCCTTCAGCCACCACCACGCCTTCCCGGTTTGTGCGCATGAGGTAAACCAAGCGGCTGGGTCGGGATTCCTTCGAATACCCTCGTCCCCGTAATCTTGCTTTCTCATCAATCACATGGAACTGCGAGGGAGACGCGGTTTGCTGCCAACCAGAAAAGGTACCTCAGCACCTCGGCCGAGCTTCCGTAGCCGGTGGTTAGCGTTGTGACGACACTGGGACTGTAGTTATAGTTGGCATGTGTCAGTCCCATCGATCATCAAAGCCTCGATCGTGCGCCGCGACCCTGGCTAAGATCCAAAGACGTGGCGAAGCGTCAAATGCGAATGGGGGTACCCCTAAGTCCACCACGCGCGAGGGCTGTGAAGGTGTGGAAGTCGCCGTGACGGAAACCGTCAAGGAGCTGCCAAAAGCAGTGGTATAACCCGTAAAGTCCCCGAGAGCTGAAGGAACTCTCCGACATCCTCACAGAACCCTCTTTCAAACCCGTCTGCCTGTTGCTGCTGCTTTGTTGGAGAAAGAGAATGCGGAGAGGGCCAGAGGCGGAAAACACGGCTTCCTTCTCCTGGGCGCCCTCCGCAACTGGCATAACCCACCCCTTGCTTCCCGTAAAACCCGCTTCGACGAGCGAAAGAGCCCCAGCGCACCTAGAACATGGCGGAGTCCCAGGGTCATTTGAGGCCAAAGGGCAGCAGGCGTGATGTCTGATGGACCAAGACCAACCTTGCCTTTCATTATCCCCCCGCTCGCAAGGCTGAACCTCCAGGGTCGCCCCCCAAGAGACGAAAGACGAGCATGTCATCGTTCTTGCAACGGCGACACAGCACCACCAGCAACGCGCAGCAGTCCTTTTCCTCGGCGGCTGAGACCCTCATGTCACACGAAAACATCCACCCCTTCGACGGCCTAATCATCCAAGCGCTGCCGGCGGACTGGGGGTTGAATTTCGTGCGCCAGCTCTGGGCTCCGTACACCAACAGCCCTGGCGCCACCGGCACGGAGAAAGCCCCCGTGACGACGAGGAAGCACTCCATCCTCTCCCTCGGCGGCAGCGCCAAAAGCGAGGACGAGCGCATCGCCCGCGAGCGCTTCTTCGAGTACTACCTGGACCAGTGCGAGTACTCGCTGCGCGACGGCGGCAAGTACGTCTCCGTCCGCACGCACCGCGACATCCTCGAGCTCGCCTCCCTGATCAAGGACCCCAGGAACACCCGCAAAGATGTGGCGCGCAAGTTACGCTCGCCGTTCGATGACGATGACATCAGCGAAACCTCGTCGTGCATCGCGCCCGACATGCCGGTGCCGACGAAGGAGCAGTATAACCCTCCTAGTGTCACCGAGGAGAGTATCCAGGGCTCCATCGACCTTGTCGCCCGGCTGCTCACCATGATCAACTTTGGCAAGCGCGATGTTGGCCTCGGCCCTCGCGGCCGATTGATGTGGATGCACGGCTCACTGAGCTTCTCGTGCAAGCAGTATTTTGACAAGAAACCCACCCTATCCATGAAAGCGGTGCAGCTCGAAAAGGTCTTCAACGCTCGCAACCTGCAGCGATTCACTGGCATGGAGATCGAGTGGACTGACAACCTTGCCGATCATCTGCGCATGTGCGAATTCGATAAGAAGATCCGGATCTTCCATCATGTAACTTTCCTGGAAAATCACAAATGGTCAGTGGCAACCCCATCATCACCACTCCCCACCACTCTGGTCTCGGTGCTGACGTCTGTAGTGGCATGCTGCCTCCTGAGCTCATAAACGAGACTTTGAAGACGATTGACCTGCTCTTCCCATCATCTGATCCCAAGGTACGGCTCTGGTACGAAAAACATCGACGTGAGCACGGCCTCGATCCATCGGCTGCGAAGCACGGATCTCTGAGGGCCGAAGACCGAATAATAGACAACTTCTACTACTGGAAAGACCGAATATGCATCTTGAAGCAGGAGTTCGACGAGGGAACCCCAAAGACATTTCGGCAGTGGTGGTGTGATAGAAGAAGCGGTCCGCAGTGGTACACGTTCTGGATCGCTATCGTGGTGCTGGTTCTCACGGTCTTTTTTGGTCTCATTCAATCCTTAGAAGGAGCCATGCAGGTCTATAAAGCATTTCAGCCAGACGATTCGTAAGCTGTCAATACTTCCTTGTAAGTAGACCAGACATGTGAAGGCGGCAGGCCGTACGAGAAATGAGAACTCCATTTGGGTATAGAGCCTGAGCAGTGCCCAGAACTTGGAAGTCATCTAGTCAAACAAAGTGCCAACCAAAGGTTACCTATGTCGTAGATAATCAGGAGAGAATCAGGTCTCTGAAATCAGAAGCAAAGCGTCGCAACCAAGGCAGCGATGCCCAAGCCTCGTTTCCTGCATGCGGCAAAGCAAAACAAGACCGACAGGAAGAGCACCGTCAGGGAGCCAATTGTGGATGCCGAGACCTGGCGTGGCGCTGCGAGTAGTCAGAGGCTGCCAGACGTCTCCTCCTTGTCGCCAAGAGGGGGGATCCTGCTTCTCAGGTACGCCTCGAGGTCCTCAATCTCTTCGGGGTCAGCCGAGTGAGGAAGTCCCCTGTTAACGTCAGCTTCCTAAACCCGCCAATGCGGTTACGCAAGCCTTACTGGTATGTCTTGAAATCGACCTTCCAGCCCCACTCTTGGAGCTTGCCGGCGGTCCTCTGGCCCCAGTCATACCGCACGACAGGGTCGGCATCGCCGTGGCCCATGAAGATGGGGGTATCCTTGTTCGGGTTGTCCTCGGGGACCATTTCACGAATCTTGTTCTGAAGCAGAAGATAGCAGCTCAGACCTGCGCGAACCCGTCAGCATCCGCGCGTCATGACGACAGCGTCAAGCACAAACCGAAGATTCCGCCCAGCTTGTTGGGGGAAGTGACCCCAGATAGAAGCGACATGGCCCCGCCCTGGGAGAAACCGCCGATAACGATACGGTTGCTGGGGATCCCTTTATCCATCTCCTGCTTGATCAGGCCGTGGAAGTATTCCATGCTGCGCTTGATGCCGGCCTCATCCTCGGAGCGCTGGTTGATGTCGGAAAGAGAGAGGATGTCGTACCACCCGGGCATGCGCATGCCCATGTTGATGGTGACGGGGATCGAGGGGGCGCTCGGGAAGATGAAGGAAACCTCGTCGAACTTGTTGCGGCGGCGCCAGTTCTCAGCGAGGAACATCCAGCCGGCACCGCTGTCGATCCGAGTTAGCACGGCGCCCCAGGAACATATGCATCATTGCTACCCGTCGGACTCGGATGGCTCAAGCGGGGTGTAGGGTGGAATGGCGGGGTATTGAGGCACAGGATGGAGGGTGGAGAGATATACCTATCGCCCAAGCCATGGGCAACAATAACGGTGGCGGTGTGCCGCTTAAGAGCGGGAACGACGAGCGGAGTAGGAATGGACATGGCGGGCCAAGATGTACTGGAACAGACCGAGGGAGAAAAGCAAAGAGCAGGCGCGTGGAGGTCGCGGTGTCACAGCGCTGGTGTCATGGTACCGCATGCACAGACCGCGAGAGAGACCCTGCATGACTCGCTGCGACCGATCATTGGCCCAAACCATAGACGTCATGATGGGCTTACCGCGCCTGCCTCCGGCCGGGCGCAGGTTGCGGCTTCTCAGTTCACTTTCGCTCCTCAGAACTCAGACTTCATTGCGCCATCATAACAATTGGCAGCCTTCACACTACATCGACGCCAATCTCTCACCACCCTGATCTGCCTGCTTTTCCGCTCGGTGCTGTTCCAGCAACGAGTGGCGTGTCGTTTTCAGGCTTCACAAGGCTGGAGCTTCAGAACTCTCGCAAGCCTTTCAGTCTTGACTTTCTCACCAGTGAGAAATCCAGCTATGACCACGCGAGCGACGCGGGCTTCGACCGCTCGTCAGACGAGGGCTGCGGCGAAGTCTGAGCCAGCACAGCTTTCCAGTCCGCCCGCTACTCCTGCGCCTTCTAAACGGAGTGCGTCCAAAAAGGGACCTCGAGCGGCTGTCGACCCGAAGACTGCAGCCAAAGCAACCAAGGACTCCGTGAAAGCTGAACCGATTACCCCCAACACCGGGCGCAAAAGGGCCAGAGCCACCGCGAAGAGAGAAGACGACATCAATGACTTGCCGCATGGACTCGGTGCCATTCCATCAGTCGATGATGATCCAGTCGAGGACGAAAAGCCTCCTGCCAAGAAACGCAAGGCCAAATCAGGTACTGAGCGCACGAACTTGAATGTTTCCAAGGCTCTCGAGGATGCAGCTCCCTTAGCCGAAAAGCTGGCCGAGGACGACAAAGCGGCTGTAAAGTCGACCAAAAAGAAGCCCGGCAAGGGCAAGAACAACAGCTACGGCCTGACTCCTGGACAAACGCCTTATCCTGACTACCCTCACCCTACACCCGAGGAATGCGAAGAAGTGACGCACCTGTTGTCGAAAGTACATGGCCATGTTCAAGCACCCAAGGAAGTGCCAGCGCCATCTCTTACTACCACTGGTTGTGGCGAGGTTCCCTCAGTGCTGGACGCATTGATCAGGACTCGTTTGAGTGCGGCAACCTCAAGCACCAACTCCTCCCGTGCGTTCCAAGGCTTAGTCAAGCGCTTCGGCATCATCGAAGAAGGCGTGGGCAAAGGAAGCGTAAACTGGAACGCCGTCCGAATGGCCGACACGAAAGCAGTCTTCGAAGCCATCAAGAGCGGCGGCCTCGCGGACGTCAAGAGTAAAGATATCAAGAAGATCCTCCAGATGGTCCACGACGAGAACCAGGCCCGGCACGATGCCCTCGTCAAGAACTCAGTCAACGACCCCGCCGGCGCCGAAAACGAGAGCGCGCAAGAACGCGAGCTCGAGGTCGCCCGCGCCGAGTCCAACATACTGTCTCTCGACCACCTGCACTCGCTCTCGTCCAACGACGAGATCATGACGCACCTCCTGCGCTACCCGGGCATCGGCGTCAAGACCGCCTCCTGCGTCCTGCTATTCTGCTTCCAGCGTCCCTCGTTCGCCGTGGACACCCACGTCTTCCGCCTCGCCAAGTGGCTTCAATGGGTCCCGCCGGATGTCAAGAACGTGACCCGCGACTCCACGTACGCGCACCTCGACGTCCGCATCCCTGACGAACTCAAGTACCCATTGCACGCGCTACTCATCCGCCATGGTAAAAGCTGCCCCCGGTGCCGGGCCATCACGGGCATCGCCAGCGAGGGTTGGGAGAAGGGTTGCCCGATCGATCACCTGGTCAAGAGGACAGGTGTGAGGAAGGGAGGCGGTGGATCAAAGGAGGCGACAACTACTCCGACCCGTAAACGCAAGTCGAAGAAGACGTACGTCTCCGAGGGAGAGGAAAGCGAGCTGAGCGATGTCGGCAGCAGCAGCGGCGATGAGGCGGTCAGTGAACCATCGGATTTAGAGGATGACGAATGATGATGCTTTACGCATGCGAGGGTTAACTCTGTGTGAGCGTTGTCCTTGCATAAAAGCATGAGTGCAGGATAGTCAATTTAATTAGCGTATGAATCATGCCAGTAGTAGTAGCATGTCTTTTTTTTTTTTTTGTAGCCATTTCCTGTAACAACATTCATCATTCGACGATGTAGAACCTTGGCAGCCTTTCTTACGATTCCGTATGAGCATAGAACTACCTAACGTGTCACAACACGTATACGAAGAACATTCGCACCACCCTTCTGCTGATCAAACACATGTATTTTTTCCAAAGCAATACTAATACACAGCAGCCGACTTGCAGACTACCCACCACCATTCATCCTCAAAAAGCAAAAACAAGCAAGCGCACTACGAGTGAGCGGTCAGGGACCGAACGAACCAGAGCGCCACGTCTCGAATCCTCGAGCGCCACCACCATCTTGACGACCACTAATGCATGATGAACCAGGAGGAGAAGACAGGAACTTAACAGTAGAACCTTGATTTGCAGCAGCAAAAAAGACCTAAGAGTATGCTCGCAAAAAGACCCAACCCAAAACCAGACGAAAAAAACCATATGAAGCCATTCGGGAATAAGAACGCCCCGAAGCTGTGTGTATTGCCCCTTTTTTTTTTGATTGTCTGCGAAAGAACCGCAAACCCGAGAGAAGAGCAGAGGAAATCAAAAGGCTCGGAAAAGGGAAGGGGCGTAAGAAAAGGGAAGGAAAGGAAAAAAAGAAGAAAATCAAGGATGATCTTAGTCGCTCCCATCAAGAGGAGGGCCCAAGAAAAGAGGCAGGAGCCAGCCAGACTCTTTTGTTCTTTTGCCAAGATCGAGAACGTAAAGTGACCGGGCGAGATGGAAGTTATACAGAGAGGGCACACGGGGGGGACAGTCCTAGAAGATGGTTCCGAAATCTTCTTCGACTGTCTGCAGCGGCTTGCGAGGGCTCCCGGACTTGCTGGCGTCGTCGGCGGGCTTGCGGTGCCTGAAGGTGAAACCGACGAACAAGCTCTTGGCCATCTTGTCGTCCCTGTCTGCCAGATTCTCCAAGTGAGCCTGCTTCTCGTGGACTTCCTTGTACTTGGCCATGTCGGCTTCGCTGCCAAAGTCATCGAAGTAGCCAGCATCGGTCTCGCTGTCCAGCTCGGGCACGAAAGGTGCCTTTTGCTCACGGAGGTTGTTCCAGTCCACCTCGGCGAAGTACGCGTGGGAGTGGATTTCGCTGATGCCGCGGAAGCGCGACGTCTTGGACGCAACCAGGCGGATGATTAGGTCCCACGTCCGCTTGCTGAGGAAGTAGCTCGGATCCTCGTAAACGGGCTTCTTGAGGACGCGCTTCCAGTTCTTCAGGTTCTGCCAAGTCTCGTCGACAGTAGCACCGGCGAAAGGCGGGTAACCAGCCAGGGCTTCGAACAGCATGCATCCAAGACTCCAGTAGTCAACGGTGAAGTCATACTCTTCGCCCTTTAGCACCTCAGGCGCCATGTAATCGGGACTACCTACGATACTCTTGGCATAGTTGACCTCGCGTTCGCGCAACGAGCGGTAGCCGTCTCGTCTCTCGGCAGCCGTTCGGTCCTCAACCGGACGGCCAAATGGCACGGGGAAATTGCCAACAGATTCAAGCTTGATGCGCATAGACTCGATCTTCGCTGGTGCCAGCATACCAGCGGCAAGACCAAAGTCAGTAAGCTTTACATGCCCGGTGCTGTCGATGAGGAAGTTTTCGGGCTTCAAATCTCTGTGAATGTAGCCCAGCACGTGCAAAGCATCGACACAGGAGAACATCTCTGCGACGTAGAAGCGCGCGTGACGGTTGTGCAAGACGCCGGTGTTGTTAAGAAGAGTCCGGAAATCACCGCCAGGTACGTATTCCTACGAATTGTTAGCACCTTTCGAAACTGCCACTGTGGGAGGAACATTGGGGCTTACCATTGCAAGGTAGATGCTCTTGTCATCCTGGAAAGCATAGAGTAGCCGAACCAGCCATTCGCTTTTCGCATTCGTCAGAATATCACGCTCGGTGAGAATGTGCCTGACTTCATCGAGCTTGAACAAGAGCTTCTTGCTCATGACCTTCAGGGCGCAGACTTCGCGCGTGTCCTTCTTCTGAGCGAGATAAACCTGCCCGTAGCCTCCCTGACCGACCTGCGTGAGGATCTGGAAGTCGCCGTGTCTCAACCTGGTGCGCCTCTTCCGCAAGTTCGCACGCTCGCGTCCGAGATATTTGTGCAGGACCTCGTTGTACTCCTCCTCGGGCGTATCAGGCGGAGGGGGATATTGAGCCTTGAACGCCGCGAGGCGGTTCTGTCGGTTGTGGACGTAGGAGAGAAGGTCATAGTAGTAGTCCAAGAAGTCTGGGATAATCAGCTTTTGGAGAAGTGTCATTGACGAAGAAGTGACTTACACAGCTGAGTCACGTTGGCCAATCGCTTCACCGAAGGCTTCTGCAGCTTCTCAATGTCCTCTGGAGAAAGACCGCGCTGCACGTTCTTGCCGACAGAGCCACCGCGGGTAGACGGGCGGTAGGGCTCTTGACGAGAGGCAGCGGCGTGGGTAGGGTAGCTATCCTTGTGCTGCAGGCCCGGCCGACTCGGCGGAGTGTTTTCCTTGTTTGCTTTGCGGGTCGGGGTGCCCGGTGCCTCGGGATAGTCCTGGAAGCCGGATTTGGTGGGCGAGTGCGGGGAGGGACGGCCAATCTTACTGGGAGAACCGGCAGTAGGCTGGAGCTTCAGCGCATTGTCGAAGACGCCAGGCAGGTCGTAGGCGCCCGGCGGCGCGTGGATTTTGCTCGGGCTGCCGGTTGGGGTCTGCTGCGGCGAGAAGAAGGCATTGGCGCCCGGCGTGATGGGGCGGTTAAACATCTCGTTTGCGCGATTGGTGTGCAGCGGAGGAGGAAGCGGGATGTTGGAGTTGAAGGCGTTCCTGTCGGCCATGTCGGGCTAGTTGGGCCGCCGCAGCGGTGAGCGGGGCTCGAGGCGGGCGCGAGGAAGCGGGTGCGGCTGGGTGGTGGTGGGCGGAGAGCAGCGGCGGGGAGGCGGGGAGGCGCAGGCGCAGAGTTGCGGGTGTTGTTTGGTGTGTGACGGAGAGAGCGAGACGGCGGGGCCGACGTATATGTCTGGCGTGTCTGGCGTGTCCGGCGTGTCTGACGTCCCGCGGCAAGCTCAGCTCAGTTGGGCGCTGGCCGGGAATGAAATCAACGGCGCGGCTGCCCACGCCCTGGCAACCACGAAGCTCGGACCCGCTGCCAGCACAGCAGCATCCATCTCCCTGCCGACAGCCCGCCGCCCTGTGCCACCAGCACCGAAGCACCCCGGACTGCCTGCGTTTGCGGCAGTCGAGATGCGCGCGCCGGCTCAAGAAAACATGGCAGTCCCTGCGTCCCACAGCCCGGCGCGAGTCAGAATGGGCGCTGCGGAGTCAGTCAGCAACGCCCCGCGTGATGCGCGCAATACAGTGGGGCTGGCTCTCTGTCGCCGCCCTGCTGCAGCGATCCGGCTCAAACCGAGAGCCCAGCAGATCTCATGGCCGCGTCTTGTACCATCTCTGTTGTTTACCCGCAGGCGGCATCTGGCCCTGACGCTTCCACACGCCATGTGCTGGTGAGAGAAGCAACGGCGGCGGGTGGAGCAGCGTGCGGCTGAGGCCCCCGGTGCCTGGGACCCACTTCTCATCCGTCAGGCAGCATTGTTTCTTCAGTCTCTCGTCACCTTTTCTTGATTTACTTTGGAGTTCCCGCGCACCTGCGAGGAAGTGCAGCATGGAGTCCACTACCACCAGTCAGGACTTCCGTGTGTCCCACGTGTAACGGCGTGCGACCCACGCAAGTCTGCAATGCGTCGCACTTCCCAAAGCCATTGATGTACTTCTCTGGATGGAATGCCTGTTTCTCCTGAAGGCATGCGAAGGCTGATGGAATATCGAAGGGCCATCGGGCTGCGGTTCCGGCTCGTGTCTGCCCAAGTGCTGAAGCGCATTCTTCGACTGTCATCCGTGGACATCCAAGGAGCAAACCCACACAGACCAAAGGGTCTTTCGTCGGTGGCGGCTTACTATGAAGAATCGAGCTTCTCTTAGCGCGACGCTATCTCAACCATCCCCGGGAGTCGTCGTGGTCTTCAGCTTCTTCTGACTTACCGCCCGGACGATCGACAGACGCTGATGCGAGTGCGGCGAGAGATCACCGTGCAGCATGCCGAATTCGGTGCGTCCCGCGAGCGCCGCACAGCCTCCAAGATCGGGCTGCGGCTGTGCCCGGCCTTCGGCTTCGGCTGCTGAATGCTTGATAGCTCCCTTACCCCATCGGGAAACCCGGCCTCTCCATTCGCTTCCTCATCAGGTACAGCAATGCGACGACAAGTAAGCTCTAAGATCGGCTGTGGAGGCAATGCTCAGCTTTGCAAAGGTTGAGAACGACGCCTCCAGGCTGCAACGAGGTAGAAAAGCATGGGTTCGGCAAGGAAAACCCAGCACTCGACTGCTCATCGCTGAAACGCCCTTGCAATCCTACATCTTTCATCCCAGCTATTCGTTATGGCCTTCATCGCTTCACTTATTATTGCCCTTTCCGTTAGCACTGCTGTCTGGGGCATACCGACTCCTGACACGCAGCGTTTGAGCAACCTCAAACACGGTTCAATTCCTGGGGAGTCAGACATGTACACCAATTACACCGGCAAAGCTGCACCCTTCCCGGGCAACCTCACTGCACCAATCAAAGCCACGAGTACCGGTCCTGCGGGGCCTGATGACGTCCTTTTCCAGAATCTGCTCGGTGCCGAATGGGCCATTTACAGCTTCTACCAGCAAGGCGTAGAGACCTTCTCTTTCGAGGATTTCACCAATCTTGGCTTGCCAGAGACTACCTACGAACGGCTTGTCCAGATCCGTGACAATGAGGCTGGACATCTGCGTATCTTTCAGGATCAAATCTCGGCCAATTCGGTAAAGCCGGGGGCCTGCAAGTACGAGTACGGTTTCACTGGCGCCGAGAGCTACCTCGCCTTGCAAGTCCTTTTGGAGGTGTCGAGCATGGCGTTTTTGACCGGGCTTGTCCAAGAAGCGCAGACTAATGCCACTAAAGGTGCTTTGGTGGCCATCGCAGAAGTCGAGTCGAGACACAACACGTGGGTAAGGCCGGCCGAGTGTACGTGGTAGCCAGACCAGAGCTGACAATTGACAGGCGCTGATTGACGTATGGGGAGCCAATCCATTCGCAGGACCGTCCGACACAGTGTACCCTTATGCCAACCAGATCTTGGACATCACCAGGGTGTTCATCGTTCCGGGAAGCTGTCCGTCCGGGAACCCAGTCTACCCTTCGCCGCATCAGAACCTCCCCCCTCTCAGCTTCAACATGACCACCAGCACAGCGCAGCCGGGTTCGAAGATTGACTTTGTCTTTTCGGATGAGACCAACGTCCCCGATTTCAAAGACGATAAGGACTACTACGCCGTCTTCTTCCATGGGGTAAACAATATCAGCGTCCCGTTGGATACCAAGACAAACTCATCAGTGGTTCCGGCAGCGTTTGACGCGGCAAACGGGATCATCATCGGTGTTTTGGCGGACGTGGAGGGAGCGCCGACTCTGGAGAGCGTGGTGGCCGGCCCCGTGTTTCTCCTTGAGCAACCACAGGCACTCACGCAGCAGGTCTAGGAACCGGTCGTTGCGCTGGGGGCGGCTGGACGAAATAGCAACGGCAGCTAGATGCGCGCCGAGATAGATGTCGATGCTTGTATGATAGTCAGAATGATGGGCATGACGGACAGCAGTGATGGCGGGGATGCAGCGCCCGTGCAGTGACTCGGATCCTCGGGCAAACGCGAATGTCGTTGCCGCGAAGCTGTGCAAGTGCCGTCACTGCGGCCCGGTAATTCCCGATGACCAAATAACTTCGTCGGGGGCTCCGCAACTCCAGAAAAGCTCCCGTCTCAAGCCTGCGGCGTTCGTGTGCCCTGCCTCCATCTCCCGAAGCCAATTGCGGTTCCAATTCTCATCACCCCGCCATGCTTAAGCTCCGCACCATCGCCCGGCCCGGTGCCGAGGCCCTTCTCCGCCGCCCTGCTGCACATGCTCGCGCTGCCTTCCCCGCCTCCATCGCCGGCTCCTCCGCCCGCTCCATCAACACCCGCGCGCTGCAATCCGCACGGCCCCAGCTGCAGTACCAGAAGACCGCTGCTCTGCGCACCTTTGCGACCACTTCCAGGATGGCTGCCAACACCAGGACTGAGAGCGATGCCTTCGGCGAGATCCAGGTTCCCGGCGACAAGTACTGGGGAGCTCAGACCGAGCGCTCCCTGGAGAACTTCAAGATCAACCAGCCCCAGGACCGCATGCCGCCGCCCATTGTCAGGGCCTTTGGCATCCTGAAGGGTGCTGCCGCCACCGTCAACATGAAGTTCGGCCTCGGTACGTAGCCCCGGCTGCCCCCGCTCGCGCAATCGCTGACGCTGCTGCAGACCCCAAGGTCGGCCAGGCCATCCAGCAGGCCGCCGCTGAGGTCGCCGACCTCAAGCTCGTCGACCACTTCCCTCTCGTCATCTGGCAGACCGGCTCCGGCACCCAGTCCAACATGAACGCCAACGAGGTCATCTCCAACCGCGCCATTGAGATCCTGGGCGGCACCATGGGCTCCAAGAAGCCTGTCCACCCCAACGACCACGTCAACATGTCTGCTTCCTCCAACGACACATTCCCAACCGTCATGCACATTGCCGCCGTTCTCGACTTTGAGGAGTCGCTGCTCCCCGCCCTCCGCAGCCTCCGCGACGCTCTGGACAAGAAGGCTAAGCAGTGGGAAGGTCTCATCAAGATCGGCCGTACGCATCTGCAGGATGCTACGCCGCTGACTCTTGGCCAGGAGTTCTCTGGCTATGTCCAGCAGCTCGATTTCGGCATTCAGCGCGTCGAGTCGTCCCTGCCGCGCCTGAAGATGCTCGCTCAGGGTGGTACCGCCGTCGGTACCGGTATCAACACCTTCAAGGGCTTTGCTGAGGGTATCGCTGAGGAGGTCAGCAAGATGACCGGAACCCAATTCGTCACTGCCCCGAACAAGTTCGAGGCTCTCGCTGCTCACGACGCTGTCGTTGAGGCTCATGGCCAACTCAACACCCTGGCTACCTCGCTCTACAAGATTGCCCAAGACATCCGTTTCCTTGGCTCTGGCCCGCGCTGCGGTCTCGGCGAGCTGAAGCTGCCCGAGAACGAGCCTGGCTCGTCCATCATGCCCGGCAAGGTCAACCCCACACAGTGCGAGTCTCTTACCATGATCTGCGCCCAGGTCTTCGGTAACCAGGCCGCCACCACCTTTGCTGGCTCGCAGGGTAACTTCGAGCTCAACGTTTTCAAGCCTGTCATGATCAGGAACCTTCTCCACAGCTCCAGGCTTCTGGCTGATGGCATGAGGAGCTTTGAGAAGAACCTCGTGGAGGGCCTTGAGGCTGATGAGGCCAAGATCGCCTCCATTATGAAGGAGAGGTGAGTCGGATCGATACGTTGCACATCTGACATGTTTGCTGACAAGTGCTCCAGTCTCATGCTTGTTACTTGCTTGAACCCCGTCATTGGCTACGACATGGCCTCCAAGGTCGCCAAGAACGCCCACAAGAAGGGCATCACGCTCAAGCAGAGCGCTATGGAGCTCAAGGCTCTTAGCGAGGAGGACTTCACCAAGCACGTCCGTCCCGAGCTCATGATTGCTCCCAAGGACAAGAAATGAGTTCACTGGAACTGGATGAAATGCCGTGAATGTATATAATTAAAATGTACCAAAAAGCAATATAAGCTGTTGAAATCTATTCATTTGCAAGTAGTAGGCGGTGACAACTCGCTGGGGATGGCACAATGCGCATGTGCAAGTGATCCAACAGCCTTATCGATAAGGGATTTTTTGACAGCCCGCCTCCACCAGAACAACAACACTGCACTTCCACACACCCAGCCAACCACTCTTCAAAAGACACACACACGCACACACACAACAATGGCAGTCGAAACTGCCGCACCGAGCGCGAACGGCGGCGCCCCCCAACTCTCCTTCCCGCGCGACATCTTCGCCGCCCTCTCGCCCGCACCCTTCCTTCTCGCCCACCTCGACGCCAATGCCAATGCCACCGCCGCCTCCGACAGCACCACCGCCGCAACCGCAACCCGGCCCAACGGCCGCGCGCCGACCGAAAGCCGCGCGCCGACCATCAACACGGGCTCGCTGACGCACTGCGCGGGCAGCGCCGTCGTGCGCGCCGGCGACACGGCCGTCGTGTGCGGCGTGCGGGCCGAGATCCTCAAGGCGGCCGACGTGCCGAACCCGCCGCGGCACGCCGAGGACGAGAAACGGGATGACGACGATGACGACGACCACGACGACAGAGAGGAACTGGAACGGTTGGGCTTGCTGGTGCCCAACGTCGAGCTGGCGACGGGCGCGACGCCGGCGCTGATGCCCGGGCAGCCGCCGTCGCAGAGGGCGCAGGCGCTGACGAGTAGGCTGCTGGGGGCGATGCTGGCGGCGGGGGTGGTGAGGGCGGGGGATTTGAGGGTCGTGGGGGAGGTGCCGAGGATGGGGGAGGAAGGGGAGGAAGGGGAGGAAGGGGAGACGGAGAGGGAGGTCAAGGCGTATTGGGCGCTTTATGTGGATGTGTTGTTCATCAGCTTGGATGGCAACGCGTGGGATGCTGCGTGGGCGGCCGTCGTTGCGGCGCTGAAGGACACCGTCTTGCCCCGCGCGTGGTGGGATGCGGATATGGAGGCGGTGTTGTGCTCGGATCGCGTGGAGGAGGCGAGGAGGTTGAGGTTGAGGGGGCAGCCGGTGGCGTTGACCTGTGCGGTCTTCGAGCCCGGGAAGGGGAGGGGTGTTGGGGCGCCGAAGGTGTTGGGGGTTGGTGGAGTGGATGGTGGGAAGGCTGCGGGGGAGCAGGAGAGGGCGTGGGTGTTGGCGGATCCCGATGCGTTTGAGGAGACAAACTGCCAAGAGACGGTCAGCGTGCTGGTGGATGTGGTGGACGGGCATTGTGTGCTACATGGCATTGAGAAGAGCGGTGGCGGTGTTGTGGGCAGGGATGTGCTCCATGGCGTGGTGGGGCTGGCAGAGGATAGGTGGAAGGTCTGGGACAAGGCGTTCAGTGAGGCTGGCGGCAAGAGTTGAACGGGCGCCCAGTCGTCAGCATGGAAAGTTTGAAGTCCGATAGGGTTCCCAGCCCGGCGCTACGACCGCCTTCGAGTCCTACCAAAGGGCTCTAAAGAAGGCTCGAAAACGTGCTCAATTGGCCCAAGATACATTATAGGGGTGCAGCAGATGGCTCAGAAGCTAAGAAAGGGGACCATAAGGATACCATTATTTACACCCAGACGATTTTGGCTATCCTCTGAGCCAGTGGTTGAAGGGGGCGGACAAGGTCAAAGGTATTGAAGAGCAAAAAGATAAGATCAATTGAAGCATCTCTTACCATTTCGCGTACCATCCTATGCACTCCGAAGCCACTTTCGAAAGAAACCCTGCGCATCTCGCCTGAGAGTCAGTGTAACCACTATATCGATGATGTAGTACTTTCTCCCTCCTTTCACAAGTGGCCACGCGTCTACTCGGATCGATTCTCTGTCCGTCGTCAGCATCTGTCCAGGATGCGTCTTCGGTTTGTAAGTGTTTCTCTCCTGTTCAATCTCTCCACCTCTTGTTATCTCTTGCACATCGAATACGATTCCAAAGTCAGCCGTCGAGTAGACACACAAGTTGAAGTGCGATTTGTCCCACTCCCGTTCAAACTCCAACACACACGCTGTCTTCTCAACACCCTTCGGCAGCAAGAATACCGACGTATTGACACCGATCCACTCACGACCACCCAACATGACTGCAGCCTCAGCAGAGCAAGCTGTGCCGCTCGTACGCACGAGTGTGTAACCTTGGGTCGAAGACGGACCTTGCCACAATTGGAGGATGTGATCCAGATGAATTCTGTTCATGGCAGTCTGGGCCACGGAGGCTGCGTTTTGATGCACGTACAGAACCCGCATGGTGCCACGACTCTCGAGGAATGGCAGGCTTCCAATCCTGATGCGAGCGTAGTGTCGATAGTCTTCATCCTCGTCACCCATCTCATCTGGGCCATCAAGGCGTTTGAGGAAAACCCCTAAATATCCGGAGTAATGGTTCGTCGCTGCGGAACAGTTGATTGCGGCAATATAAATGTTGCCCTCAATCCGGGTGAGGTTTAGCGAAATCCGCAGGCCTTTGTTGGTTTTGCGAAAGGACGATCGCTGGTCCCAGCTGCAGTAGGGCTGAATACCGCCCGAGTGGGCAAAGTACCTTGAAGACGGGGCAAGCAGACCGTGGAGGCTCAGGTCGTTGTCTGGTGCGGACTTGTTGATCCAAGCGAATATTGATTCGTCGTCTGAATCTTCCATGATATGTTCTTGCAGTCGTATGAACGCCTTCTCGCTACCCTCGCCGTACAACATCGGCATGTTGACATTGAAAAGCCCCATCAAACTGTACGCCTCGTCTTCAGGCCTTGAGGTATGCCTACTTGCAGCCCACGACATGCGCGTGGCAACGCTCACAGCCATCGGATCCATCGTGCCATCGAGGACCCCTGTGCCTATTCCTGTGATTTTTGCCAGGATATCTTTGAGGCTTGCCTTGGTGCCCAATTGCTTCCAACCTTGTGAGAAGAACACCATTTTCCTGGGGGCCACGAGCTCTTGCAAGGTCCATCCTCTTCTGAACCACTCGCTGTTCGCAAACTTTGCGCTGGGGTCTGCATGGGGATCAACGCCGTCGGGAACATCGAAGAGATATGCGTAGCAGACTTCAGCCTCGTGGTACCAGCGGTACATGGAGTTGATCGCTTCCGAGAGCTCGGCGCTACTGTCCTTGTTCATGCAACAAGTGTCGACCCAGATGTACCTGAAGCCCCCTCGCGTAGCTTGTCTGCATGCGCTTTCGAGCTTCTGGTAACCTTTCTTCATCGACACTGATCTCATGTCTCCGCTGAGGTCCTGAAAGGTAATCTCTTCGTCTCTCCATCGGTGCGAGAGTATAGCGTATTGTTTGCTGCTAGAGTGTGAGAATTCTCTGAGCTCCTTGGTGTTCGCGCAAATGAGCCGCATGATAGGTTTGGGATGCGAATGCTGAAGAAAAGAACTAGGTGTCAGATGAAGACAAATATATACCCTTGTGTAGCGAGCACCACTCAGCCTTGTCAAGAAACATCCACAACATGCTGAGTAACGGAGCAGCTTGGCGGAAACACTAATGCAAGGGCCTGCAGCGGGGTCGATGGCAGCCTTGCGTACTTATCAAAGCTTACAGCCATTCAGGCATCTAGGTGCAGAATCCTCCTGGATTCCCTGTTCACATTGTTACACCAACGCGAATAATGAGCCAGAGCAAGGCTTCCGACAACGATACACAACCGGATGTGCCAGATCCGATGCCGCTATATACGCTGTCAATGTTCGTCGGCATAGATCCTTTCGAGAGGTAGGGAATCCCCATTTCGGGTACACGATGAGATGAAATGCCTCAGTATCTGTGCGCAGCACGTTGCGCTGGGCGCATGGTTCAAGTTAGTCAAAGCTTACTTGCTCTGGTACGTCCAATGCTCATCATCTACCATGAACTCGAGCCTTGTGATTAATTGGCGGCGAAAGCGTGCTCTTCAGCCCCCAACACTCTACCCTCCGTCTTTCCACCGTACACACCCCCGTCAAGGATCCACTGCTCGTTATCATCGTTGTCGTCTTGCACCCTTCTCCATAGTGTCCTCTTTTCTCTCTCCCTCGTTTTACCCTTGTCACCCGCCTCGTCTCCATCTACCCTCGCAATTGGCCGTATCAGCCCACCTAGCAACGGATTCTTACTAAATGCACCGCCACCCCTGGTCCTATCTGGCGGCGGCGGCTGGTGCAGGGGTCCAGTATCCTCGTCGATTTCCTCATCCACATCCGCATCGCTGACCGGGCTCTGCGGCCGCTCCGTCGGCGCCATCTTCCGGACGATCTTGCCGCCGGCCAGGTCGATGGACGCGACAACGCGCCTCTTCTCGTACTCGGGGCGAGCCGCCCACTCCTGCTCGCGCATGATCTTCTGCTGGCGCTTTAGCTGCAGCGCGCGCTCCTGCGGCGACGCCCACATGTTGGTGCCCGACGACGGCGTGTCGAAGTCGGCGGCCTCGTCGAAGATGCGGGTACGCTTGGCGTTGTTGGCCTGGAAGGACAGCAGCTTGTCGCGGTGGGCCTGGGCGGCCTTCAGCTTCTCGCTCTCCGAGTCGGACGGTGCCGGGGACGGCGAGGGCGAGGGCGATAGCGCGGGACTCGTGGTGTGCGAGGACAGGAAGGCGGCGCCGGTCATGTGGCGGGGCTTGCTCGCGGCGACTTCTGCGCGCTTGTTGGCGGCGTTGTTGGCCTCCATGCGCTCGCGGCCGCGCTCCTCGCGCAAGATGCGCACCATGGACTGGATGTCGGACTGCGACAGCAGCGGCTTCTCGCAGAAGGTGCACGGGCCGAGGCCTTCCTTGACGCAGACGATCTTGCCGCAGTTCATGCAGTTGGGGGCCGCCTCCAGCAGCGGGTGCCGCGTCGCCATGCAGCCGCACCGCCGCTTCGCGTTCTCCTCGGGCGTCGTCGCCGAGAGGGCCGGGTTCGTCTGCACCTCGAGCGCGCGGATGGCCGAGTCCAGGTCGTTGAGCACGGAGGATTGGCCGTGGCCGGGCGTGCCGCCGGTGATTTGCACTTTGGCTTTGGATTTGGCATTACTGCTATTGCTAGGGGCGGGCGAAGCGGTGCGAGAGACGTTGCGAGAGGCGTTGCGAGAGGCGTTGCGAGAGGCATTCTTCGAGGAAGACAAGGAGTCGGATATCAAAGGGCCGGCTGCTGAAGGCGGCGGTTTTACGCGCGGGTTCGTCGAGGTGGATGTGTTCTGAGGGACGGGCAGCTGCTTGGCGTCAGGCTTCTCCTGCAGGTTGAATGCGCTGTGGACGGTCTCCTTGTTGTCTTTGCGCGGCTTGGATGAGCCGGACATATAGTCGTCTTCATCCCGCTTCATGTAGGCGCCGGCGACTTGGCCGGCATGCTGGACTTGGCGGGCGGGCAACTGATGGATGTTCTTCTTCTTTTTCTGGCCGCCCTTCTTCGCCTTGGGGACTTCTGAGGGGCCATTCTGGCCCTGGCTTGCCGAAGGGGTGGGCCTGCGGCGAGAGTTGAAGTTGGTAATGAATTCCAAGGCCTGTGGCGAGTCACCCAAGAGATTCTTCAGGTGGTCTGCAGCCGCATCTGGAGATTGCGATTCACTGTATGTGATGATCTGCTTGAGAGAATCCTCATCCAGAGGAAGCAGGCGCTCCAGCTGAGGCAAAGCCCAGGTGACGAGAGCCGTGTCCGGCATCTGTGGCGTCTTCTGCAGGTTCCCGGGGGTGGGGATGGTCTTCGATCAGGTTCCCAGCTGGAGCGGATGTGCAACTCTGCAACAGATTTGAAGATCAACAGTCTAGTGTCCCGGGTGTTTGGTGTTGGAGGCAGCACAGCAGCAGGGTGCCAGCGAGCGATGACGCGAATGGCGGCTGAACTGCGGCCCGGAGACTGTGCCTTCCCGCTGGGCGAGCGAAGCTTCTCTCTACCATCACCCTCTACCCACCCCGCCGTGGTAGTCAATTCCCCAGTGTCGCGTTCAAATCCCTCTGAAACGACAACATGGCTACCGACGTCGTGCTCGAGACCTCGATGGTAGGCTCATTCCCGCCATACCTACGCGTCATCGCAGCTAACGCGGCTCCAGGGCAACATCGTCGTCGAGCTCTACAACGACCACGCCCCGCGCACCTGCAAAAACTTCGCTACCCTTGCCCAGCGCGGATACTACAACAATGTCGTCTTCCACCGCATCATCCCCAATTTCATGGTCCAGACCGGCGATCCCACCGGCACAGGTCGCGGAGGCCAGTCCATCTACGGCGAGAAATTCGAAGACGAGATCTCTGCCTCCCTCAAGCACACCGGCGCCGGCATTCTGAGCATGGCAAACAGTGGCCCCAACACCAACGGCAGCCAGTTCTTCATCACCCTGGCACCAACCCCATGGCTCGATGGGAAGCACACCATCTTCGGTCGCGTCAAGAGCGGTCTGCGCATTGTGCAGCGCATGGGCCTTGTCAAGACCGACAAGGAAGACAGGCCGGATGAAGAAGTGAAGATTCTCAAAGCTAGAATCCTCGAGAAGGATGAGGAGGTGTGAAAAAACTCTCAAGATGCCGGCGGACATCGCCCTCAGATTCTCCGCAAGTGAAGAATGTCGAAGATGAGCGTCTTCAAGCGGGGATACCAAGGGGATTTTTAGCATTCTTCGCACACAGCCTGGCCCAACACGGGGCCGAGGCTCTCCGCTCGAGACAGGAGAAATGGCGATTCCTGTTCCGGATGTTCTGACCAAAGACTATGTCCACCATCAAACCCCGAAGTTTGAGACATCTGCCTCCCGAGTGGTCGTACAGGAGCAAGCCACCAGAGCATATTCAGACAGCATGCACAACCATCTAACCCGAGGCTGGACGCGCGATTCTCCATGACCAGATAAGGCTTGGACCCCTGGAAGTGCTTACGTTCGAAAGCACCTCAATATCCCCTTAGGTACCATTTCGATTTAGATGAGGCACAAAGAAACACCCCGGGAGCATATCCGACAAGATTCTCTGCAAAAAGAAATATTTTGTCTCATGTTCGAATCTACACGCTGTGTGGCTATTTGCAACCTACTTTGACCTTGCTTCTCACGCCCGCTGAACGACATTGAGACTGGCGGGGCCTCTGACTATTCTGGGGTGCTCTCGGGATCTACTGTCTGGAGCAGCTTGCCCACGGATTCGTCGTGAAGGGCGCGTAACGGCCGAGAAAGACTGGATTCCAGCTCTTAGCGCCACCTCTACAGCACCATGACTGCGTCGGGTCCGTCTCGGTCGGAGGGCCTTTGACCTCTTCAACAAATCGAATGGAATTTCTCGCCTATCCAAGACGCATGTGATCTCATTGATCATCATCTCCCCGACGAAACATGTACCATCTCTCGAAGCTGAGATGGCAGTCTTTCATACGCCAGATCTTAGCGCCAGGCACGATCTTGAGTGGAGCTTGCTTCGCGCTCTGTACAGTGACAATGTGATTGTGACAAGTAACCGCTGGCTCGCTGGAATTCCCAAGTGGTTGGGCGGACCATGACCACGGCGCTAAACGTCAGTCGACCACGGCTGCACGAGAATTGTATCATGGCTCTCATCTCATTGGACCTTCCCCTACATGTTCAAGGCCCGTTTGAGACGTGTCCACAGTGTGGAAAACAGGTTTGGGCCGCCCGCGTCTTAGCAGAAGCCTGCATGGAATGTTCGGCTTCTCTTGCCTCATGACCAGCTTAGCGCTATCCATAGCTGCTAAACAATCCAGCATTCCCAAACATGTCTCATTAGCAACATTATATCCTATCTAGGCGAGGATTGGACGACTGTTCGGAGGACTTGTCTAGATTTGGGAGCCACAACTACTTTCGTATGTTTGCCTCAACTGCCACGCGACAAGGACGTGAAAGAGTAAGATCTTTGCAGCTCACTGTGGGGCTGCCTACTTACCCGGGCTTAAGATCGAGCCCACGCGACGTTCATCAAACCAAGATGGTCTCGCCTCTTAGCCTCGGAGAAGACGTGACGAGGTGGACGTTTGTGCGCTGACGTTTCATCGAGCGCCAACTGAAACTGTCCAAGCATCAGCAACACAACACGCGAGAAAGCTTCGCCTCGCCTCCAGCGTTTCGGCTCAAGTCGCGAGCCTTCGTCGATCGCCAGAGTCTATGTAATATGAGCATCAGCCAAGCGAATGACGACCTTGGCCCTCTCACTGTCCCGGATCGCTTGGTCGACCGCCCCAGATACATATGTGCTGGTCACAATAGTATCACCAAACATCTTCTTCGCATCTCATGTCTTTTCAATTATCTTTGTTTAATAATGTCTGCTAAGACACAAGACCCTTCCCGAAACGGCGTTGCAGCCGGCGACTCAGTTCAACACCAGCCGTGCATATCATTCAAAGCACTGCTGGTTGGTCTCTGTGCCTTGTTTGCTTCTTTTCTCTTCCTGGCCAATGCGAAAGTCTTCCATCATCCCAAAAGCCAGGTCGACCTCATTCTTGAGGAAATTGCCTCTTCTGTTACCCGAGCCGATCTAAAGGAGGCTACCGATGCCGTCAATGGAGTTCTTGGCCAGCTCATTGTCGAGCTCAGGGCCCACTCTTCACGCCCGGTGAGACATCCGCTGAGGGAACCGACGAAGGATCTCGAGCCGGCGAAAAGACAGTTGTTCCCGGATCTCCTTGGCGGTCTTTTTGATGGCGACGACAAGGAGAGTGGTGGCGGAGGAAACGCAGCTGGGGGAGCAGCAACGGACACCAATGATGATGGTGGTGGATTGAGCAGCATATTGAGCGGGCTGCTTGGAGGGGGAGATGGTGGTAGCGACGATGCCTTTTCCACACTGGCTAAGCCTCTTGCCAACGCGATTGGGAACTTGGTGTCTGAGGGGGTTTCGGGACAAGGACCTCTTGGAGGCATCTTGGGTGGAATTACGGACGCTCTTGGCTCAGGTGCCAATGCTCTCGGGGCTGGTGTGGGTGAAGGTGCCATCAAAGGTCTCAACCTCGGAAACATGACGACGATTCGGACGACAAGCAAGGCCTCAGGTTCTGGGATATCGGGAATCGCTAAGAACTTGGGTGAAGGCGTATCGGAGGCCATCTTCTCGAGCATCGACATCAGCAAATTAACGCCGTCGTCAGAATCGCTTGCGCTCGCGGCTAGTGCTCTCGGAAGCGGTCTCGGAAATGGCAGCGCATCGGGCCTCAAGCTCTCACAGAATGTTTCTGGCCCGGATAGCACCCACACTGGACTTACTGGACTGGCTGGCAATTTGGGGTTTGGCTTGACAGACGGACTCTTTGGTAACATCGATGCCGCGTCACTTCTGAATGGCCAAACGAGTCAGGGCTTTATGAGGACTCTGGCGCAGATCCCCGGTCCGGCAGGAAGAGGCCTCGGCCAGGGTGCTGCAATCGGCTTGAAGCTTGCAAATGCCAGCTCTGCTTCGACGGACACCACCAATGATACCTTCAATGCCAGCACAGCAAGCGAGTCATTTACTCGCGAACTGGCTTCTGGGTTCCTGGCTAATATCAACATCCAGCAAGTCAACCAGGAACAGATCCTTGCAACTGTTGCACAAGTAGCTCCAGCTATTGGACGAGGTCTCGGGAGAGGCGCAGCTGTGGGCCTGAACGGGCAGAGCTCTGCATCCACAACTTCAGCTTCGCCTCCACCAACGTCTTCTACAGTCCCTACCAACGGACCTGGTGACAAGCGTCAGGTTGACTCGGCTCCGGCAGCTTCAGGATCATTGGATCTCGAAGGAATTGCAGGAAACTTCTCCCAGAATCTCGCCCAAAGCTTCGTTGGCAACGTCGACGTCTCCCAAATCGGTGGTGCTGAAGCGCAGAAGCAACTTCTCAACACTCTCAGTCAAGCCGCACCATTCGCCGGTTCCGGGCTTGGTCAGGGTGCTGCGGAGGGACTCGGTCTTACCGGAAAGCTCCCATCAGAATCTGCAGATAGCAAGAGAGTAGCTACCAGGCAGGCTTCGGGACAACGAGATGACGACGCGAGTGTTGGTGACATCGCCCAAGGCTTCACACGCTCGTTGTCCTCGTCCTTCTTTTCCAATGCCAATTTCAGTTCCCTGCTGTCGAATGCGGCTGGCCAAGACTCTACGATGATTGGTTCCGCTGTGCAGGGTCTCGCTCAAGGTCTCGGCGGTGGCGCTGCTACCGGGCTTGGTCTGCAAGAGGATGTACAGGAACCTATCGACGGCCAGGACATTGGCTCTGTCTTGAAGGGATTCAGCCACTCCCTTACGACAAGCTTCCTCGCCAATGGCACGTTGGATAATATTCAGGCGAAAGCTGCCGACGCTGCCTCCATCCCAGTTGTCCCCGCAGTGCAAGGCCTCGCAAAAGGCTTTGGCAGCGGTGCTGCCTCCGCTTTCGGTCTTAAGGAAGCTGCTGTATTGGATCCCAGTGCAACAGACATCCCTACCGTGGCGCAGGGATTCTCCGAGTCACTTACTCAGAGCTTCTTGTCCAATGGCACTGCTCAGAAGCTCTCCGATATGCTTGGATCCCAAGGTTCAGTGATGCTTGGATCCATCGCCGAAGGCCTCGGCAAGGGGTTCGGCAGCGGGGCCGCCGAGTCCCTCGGTCTACAGTCTGATGAATCTTCTTCAGACAGTTCGGACAGTTCCGATTCAGAAGATGAAGAAGATTCGGAAAATCTAGACGCTCCTACGATCGCGCAACGGTTCAGTAAAGCTCTCACTACCAGCTTTCTCGCTGACGACACGCTTGATAAGATCACACAAAAAGCCATGAGCTCTGGAGGCGGACTAACTGGGAACATAGACTTCTCTAGAGTCGCTGAAGGTCTTGGGATCGGTCTCATCGATGGCGGAAGCATAGCCATCTTCATGCAGACTGGCATGGATAGTGCCAGCCTGACAGAAAACTCACAACAGTTCAACGATACTGTCGGTGGAGCTGCCACCGGCTTTGGCCGCGGCGTATCCAGTGAAGCTATCAAGGCTGTCTTCTCAGCTTTTGGGAACAAGGATACGGCCGACAAGCTTGCCGATGAACTCGACACCAGCACCGATCTCATCAACACCCCTGACGACTCTTCTTCTTCGGCCGCTTCAGCCACGAACAAACGCTCCGTCGCCGTAGCCCCAAAGACCGCGAAGCGCCAGGCGCAGCTCGACGTCACCGACGCCGTCAACGCCATCGCCCAAAACATCAACGTCACCACACTAAACAGCCTCATCCAACAGGGCGCCGACGCCCTCGGTTGCACCGGCGTCGGCGGACTAATCCAAGTCGGCCTCGGGCTCCAGCAAAACCTCCTCAACGGCCAAACGCCCAAGATCCCCTCCCCCCAAAACATCCCCTTCCTCTCCCAAATCGACCAAACCATCAACATCACCTCCGACAACGACCTCTTCCTCCTCCAACTCGACCTCCCCACCCTCTCCCTCAGCGTCAACCGCCTCTCCATCGTCAAATTCGCCGCCCTCCTCGGCGCCCACGTCCTCGCCGTCGCGCTCGCCTTCTACCTCCTCCTCCCCGCCGCCCTCGCCCTCGACGCCGCCCGCACCGTCGCCGTCGGCATCCTCGCCCGCCCGGACAAGCTGCGCTTCGCGCCCGGGACCGTCGCCGCGCTGCAGGGCTTCGTCGTGCCCGCGCTCGCCGCCGCGGGGGCGGGCCTGGGCGCCGTGGCGGCCGGCAGCGCGGCGCATGCGCGCACGCCGCATCAGATCCTGGGGTGGGTCACGCTGGGGGTGGCGGTCGTCGGGGGCGCGTTGCACGTCGTCGCCGGCAGAGTTGCCAAGAAGAACGAGAAGAAGAAGGAGAAGAGCGTGGACGCGACGAAGCGGCAGAAGGCGTTGAGGCGCGCGAGCGAGGCCGTGGCTCAGCTGGTGCTCGGCCTCGCGCAGGTCGAGCTCGTGCTGGGGGTGCAGGATCTGAATGAGATTAGCTTTTGCGCGACGCAGGGGGTGCCACTGCCGTTGGCGGTGGCGGCGGGCGGCGTGTTGACGGCGGTGGTGTTTGTGAGTGTTGGTGCGGTGGGGTTGAGGGTTGTGGTGGGGAGGTGGCAGAGGGAGAGGGATAGGAGTGGTGGTGGTGGTGGTGGTGGTGGAGGAGGAGAGGAGAAGGGGACGCCGTCGCCGCCGCCGCCTCTGGTGTCGAGGTTTAGTGCTTGAGGCAGCCGATCATATTTGAGCTCTCCCACCGGCCTCCTTCCTGATCAAAAGCCACTACGGCTTTGACATTCGCTTTGCTTCATTGTTTCATCTAGCTCCAGTCAAAACCAAAAGGTTGTCCGCTCGCGACTTTCCACAGCCTCAAGTTGTCTCAACAAGGGCACACCAGCTCCTTTGCCGCTGAACCCTTCATAATGCAATATCGCATGACAACAAGCTCTTCCTCGCAGACGAAATAATGGCTGCTCTGCAATGGCTACGCCGCAAAGCCTTATCTTCAACGGCTCCGCCTCAATGCGACTTCACAAAGCTTGCGCAATACTGGTTCTTCAAACCGCGCTGCTGATCAACCACGCATTGTCATCTACTTTGCAAAGATTCCCCAGTGGTCATCTCTATCGTACCATCTTTTTTCATCGGCTCGTACACTCCAAGACTTCGGAGCCTCAACATTGATTTCCATGAATGCTCTCTCGACCGCAACGGCGAGTCGTCACATATATACTCTTCTAATCACAGCTATTCAAGACTACACTCAAACGACCAAAGACAGACATAGTCACTGCACGCCACCGGGCCCTGTGGGAGAAGGTGGAGCGGGCTCTCGGCGCCTTACAGCACAAGAGCGCGGGGAACTAAAAGATGCGCTGGAGGGGCAAGCGGTTAAAGTACGCAGACGGGAAGCAGCCGTGCAAGGATTACGAGACGATAGAACATCGCGTGAACCCAAACTTCTTCGCAGACGACCGTCTCTTTGATGCCAATCGCCTTTGATTCAAAAGCGTTCTCCTTGGTCCCTCGAGGATGTACTAAGAAAGCTTCATTTCGGACTGGTGTACATACGTGTAGCACGCCGGCTGTGGCTTCGTCGTTTTTTACTGTGTTATTATTATACGATGCAATATCGGAGGCGGGCCGCTGGCGGATCAGCTACCTAGCGGTTTGCTTTCTATTTCATTATTAATAAAGCCGTCAGCTTCGACAACAACGCCTTACTATAGATGCTTGTAAGCAGCACTCTCAGATAATACACTACAATTGGGGGTATGGGCAAATCCAAAAAAAAAAGTAAAAAAATAAAAAATAAATGGCAGAACATCAGAGAAGATCTGCAATGTAGCCAAGCCTCGTTCGATTGTCGTCACAAACCCGTCCAAACTCCAGCAGCAAGCGATACATGTAGATTTGCATGTCTTCCCGCCGCAGAACCTTCTGCGCCCAGTCCTGCCCTTGCTCGGCCAGCGTTTGTGCGACATCGTCGTGGGCCGCCACGTTGTGCGACGGCGCGCCGGCAAGATACTCCATGATGCCGTAGAAATCGACATAAGTGTTGTCCATGGGGACGAAATGCACCCACGGGAAGAGCCGCGCGTCGTGCCACTCGCGGTAGATGGTCGTCTTGATGGGCAGCGACGTGGAGAGCAGGAAGGCGCGGAAGCGGGCGCTGTACGAATTGCCGTCCACGTCAGGGAGGTACTTGTAGTCGTACTGCTCCTTCATGGGAATGCCGTCGACGAGGTGGAAGTGGGGATTGGCGTAGGAGCAGAGACGATCGGGCTCCCAGGGGAAGCAAAGCAGATCGTTGAACCCCGCATCGTTCAGTGTCTCCAACCATTCGCCCATTTTCCCTTCCTCTGCCGCTTGCACGTGGTACAGTTCGGGTGGTGGCAGCCTGAAAGTGGGAGAAGATCCGTTGTTGGCTTCGGCAGCAGCGACCGTGGTGCCGTTGATCATGGAGAGAAAGCGGTGGCGGTGGAAATGCGCCCAAGTGTCTGCTTTGTTACGGCCGCCTGACGCGACGCCGCGCCAGACGAACTTGTTGTACTTTCCGGCCCAGCGCCCCCCGTGGTCCGCGCCGCCTGAGTATTCCGTCCAGTCTCCCCAGTACATGGCCGCTGGGACGACAATCTCGTTGCCCGCTCTGAGCTTCGAGCCAGCGAAGAGCGGCACCAATCGCTTCGATATCTTGGTCGAAACGGGCTCGATGAAGGTGCCGTGTAATGCACGGAGGTGAGGCTGGAAGCATGGATCCTTGGTCATTGTCCAATTGGAGACGTAGCCGTGCGACGAGCCGAGGGGGTGCTGCACAGGAAAGTACTCGGATGCTGGAACGGAGAGGTCTGTTTCTGCAGCTGTCTGACGAGCTGGACTGTCCGGGGGGCAGGCGTCCCGGAACAGCGACCATATCTGGTGGTTGTCCCCCATCCACTCCACCGGAGGCGCTTCAGGGTCGACGTCCATGGGACTCGTGAACTGGCTCACAACGGTGGAGGGGTCCGGTGGCACCTGGCGTTCTGCAGCGGCAGCCGATACCAGCCGATCAATGTCGGCCCAAGGAACAAGAACACGTTGCTCGTCCATGATGTTCATGGCCAGGGTCACATCGGGTATAGGGGCGGCCTGCGCAATGGAATCGACCATTTCGAACCAGTGGTTCAGTCTCCAGCTGTCTTTCGGGGCCCGCTTCTCGGCGGTACCATTGTTCACGGCTACCACGGTTTCTTCGGTATGCGGGGCGGCAGCGCGCACTTCCCGGGCGGGGATGCCCCAAAAGGGCTCCAGATCGTGGTAGATCTGGTCGAAGAAGTCCTCGACGATGACGGCGTCGCGGCTGGAGGCGAAGTCGAACCAGGCGTCGAAGCCGGGTGGCGGATGGCGGCCGCGGCGTTGGCGATAGCGGGCGGTAGCATTGTGCAGGGTGGTGGCGCGAGTGTCGAGAAGGCGCTGGAAGTCGGCGGCGGCGCGCTCGACGAGGTGGTCGATGGGGTGAGGCGGACGGTTCTCGGCGACGGGGACATGGGTGGGCAGGGCTGGCAAAGAGATGGGCTCGGCAAAGTATAGATAGAGCAGAAGCGCAAGCCCGGACGCAGCAGCGACGCATGCGAACAAGCGGCGCTGATGAGGCATGGCGGCGAGCATGCTGGCGGGAGCATAGGGTGTCGCCATGCCAGGCAGCGGGCGGAGGCGGGAATTTACTGGTAGCGGCAGGCTAGCGGCGCAGCAATGCAATGTTGGATGGCGCCGCGCAATAATGCGGGGGCCAAGCCGGTGCACTTTCTGCACTATGCCCTGCCGGGCAACTGAGCCCCAGGCACAGACGACGCCGCGTCAATCGTCCACTTCAATCACCATAGACAGCTTGTGCCGACGTCTGCTTCACGTGTAGCAATGCCCGTGTCCAAATTGTCTAGTCGCGCATCTGTACATGTCATGTCACCCAGCCTCGCGCCCCAGTTGTATACCTATTGATGACCGAAAGAAGCTGTACGTCCCAGCATGAACCCTGGTCATTGCGACTGAGAACGGGCGAGGGCCTTGATCTTTTTCATGGCCGTTATCCTCGGGTTTTCCCTGCGGTATCCCGCCGCCGAGCCGTTTTTGGTCGACTTCTTCGCTGTGGCAACCGCCTGCGCGCATCCCGTGATACTTTGATAGAGGATGTCTGGGAGCAGTCTTTAGATGTGTCAAATCGGCCGTCGCTCGGATCCACTTACACGCAGGGACGATGATCCACAATGCGTTCATGACAACAAAGTACACCCAAAAGTACAGGGCTTCGGGCCGGGAGTGAAGCACACCTCGCCTCATGTCCAGAAAACTCGTCACGTAGTAGAGCGTATCACTGTAGAGGTGCCCGGTGGAGACGAGAGCCTGGAGCGGGAGCCTGTACGGCGATTCCGAGACAATGCACCACGACGTCAGGAACGAGAGCGGGCCCCAGATAAGCTAGCACAAGAGAGTGAGTGAGCGTGTATGCAGCCAGGGCAAGGCGACAAAGCAAAATACCACAGTAATTGTCTCAAGCGTCAGGACGAGCGGGTCGGCGGCTAGGTACCTGGAATCCGACTTTGCGTACTCCTTCCACAGTTGGCCGAAGAAATCCTGGGCGGCGGGCATGCGCGAGTGGTTCAAGATGAAGTAGCCTTCAAAGAAGCAGTGGAGAGAACCGGCTGATGGGGTCAGCGCACGCGGCTTGAACACTTCACAACACTTACACAACACGAACCACAGCACGAGGGAGCCGTCGAGCGGGCTGATGGACGGGCGGTATCGCCGCGAAAGAAGCAGGGCCGTGCCCAGGATGACCGAAACACCGGTCGAGAAGGCGGCAAAGAGCGAGGTCAGGCCGGCAGCGTTCTCCGTGTAGCCGCGCAGCTCGAGGTCAAGCGGATAATAAGGATGCTTGGCCATGGCGACTGCAGCGCACGAACTGGCTGCCAAGGGCGGCTTGTCACGTGCAAGCGTGTCCGGATGAGGCTGGTGATGATACGCTGAAGGATCACCAGAGGGAGGTGGGCAGGCAGCCACGGCCCGGGTTTCAGGCGCTCGCTTAGAGGATGTGCGCTTAGTCAGCCTCCACGCAGCAAGAGAGCATCGAGATTCGAGGCTGCCACGCTGCGGGCTCTGCCGGGCTGGGGTCGCTGCCGCTCGCTGCCGCTCGCTGGAAGCGGTGATGGACGGGACGAAGAAGGTGTTGGGTCTGTTGCTTAGCGCCCGCCGACAGGCCCCTGGCAGCCCTGACAGCCCCGTGGCCCTGACATTCCGCCCATCCCTCGCCGATCCCGCCGTGCCATTGGTCCACAGGTCACGCGGGGTTTCGTCTCGTCTCGCCCCGGCCAGCTGCCGCCACCTGCGCCACCTCCGCCACCTGCGCCTCTCAGCGCCAGCCCTTATCAGCCCGCAGCCTGCTGCCTGCCCTCGCCACTCCACCTCCACGCATCAACATGTCCTTCACAAAATCGTCGCGCGATATCTCCGTCACGTCAGACTTGCTGCTATCCGCTGAGTGCAAGCAGATCAGCGGCCACTTCAAGCGGTCTTTCGTACAGCTCGACCCCGTGCTGGGCAACGCTGACGGCTCTTTCCATGTCGAGGGGCGTGACTTCTCAAAGAGTGCGAGAAACGTGGGCCTGAAGGTGGAAAATGGCTCGGCAATACTGCACGCTAGTCTCCGGAAGATGGACGGATCATGGCAGGACGCGGCCTTTAATCTCGACGTGATTGTTGCAAACAGAAACGGGTCGCTCGTCATGTAAGCCTCTTGCGTCACTCTTCAACGCTACGGGGCATACTGACACCAAACCCACTATGCAGAGATATGAGCACTATCCAATCGCCCGATGGGGCCGTCACCTGTGACACGCTGGAGACTCTTGTCGACGAGTGCAGGCAGGCCGCCGAAGACCTGAAGAACCAAATCCGTGACCAGCTCACAAGAGAATCCCATGGAGCATCGCAATCTGTCCATACCGCATTCAAAGGCATCGCGCAGATGCAGGAAGCCCTCAACGACGGCGCAGCATATGCTGACAGGGAGGATTTCCGGCCGGAAGCTGGACATCTTGGATTCCTCCTCAGCGACGCTACCGGCCAGTGGTCCAAGGTTGAAGATGCTGTGGGGTCCGCCAGCCAGAACATCAAGGACTTCCAATCCACGAAGCTCCACGACGTCATTGCTGAGATTGAAGCCGCCGAACGTAACATAGCCGCCAAGGTGGACAGCACCATGTTGGAACAGAAGGAAACAAAGATCCACCTCGAATCGTTAGGCGACCGGATCAGCCAGCATCAGGAAGAACTTTCAACTGCCCTAAACCAGAGACATGAAGCAGCAGTAAGAACCATCAGCTTCTCCATTGTAAGTCTTTTTATGCCCACCACAGAGCCGTGTTGACTGCAAGCTAATCCTCCAAGGCTTCCGTCCTCGTGCCGTTTATTTTCATTCCTCTCGCAGTGTAAGTCCCCTGCTTCATACTGACATGCTAAGATACTGACTTTCCCCAAAGCGAGGCATCAGGCGAGCGAGCACAATGGGACAAACAGGCAACCGACCTGGAGAATGCCATTAGGGAGACATCATGCCTGAGGGACAGGCTTGATGGATTACAAATCGGACTCGAACGCTCACTGCAAGCCGCCAACCAAGTCAGCGGGAAATGCCGGCGTCTGCGGGCGGATGTGGACACTCTCTCCGAGGAGCTGCACGGGTTGGAGGAGCGCATCCGCGAGAAGAAGTGCATGATGGCAGAGTACGTGCAGACGCTCAGAGAGGCCGAGTCGGATGGCGTGACGGCTCTGGAGTACAGCCAGACGCTGCAGGAAGGACGTGAAATCCTGCAGGAGGTCTTGTACGTCAGACAGGAGTTTGACCCCGAGAAGCTGCATGTTATGCTGCAACTCTGAACAGGATATGACAATGCTTTAGCCCTGACCGACACATTCCAGGAATTGCATTCGTGTTCATCATTTAACGATATGATCGTTCCTTATTGAGTGGATTACAGTATTCGCCAATCTTCCTTGAAGGCATTAGCCGCTCATAGCTAGTCAGGATCAAAAGCCGCATCATGGTCGAAAGGCGGCGAAGATTGGAGGTGGGATGATCCAGCCTTTTATTCTTGACCTGCACCTTTCGGATCCTGGAGGGGTTGACCGGAAGAGACTGATGCTGCTCTGGGCTGTGCTTTCCAGACCAAACCCCAGCGCAGACTCAGTCCACTGCTCAGTCTCCAGAGCCACCTCCTCTCCGCCTCCTCCGTCAACCCCTTCTGCGTGCGTAGCTCACGGTGATATCCGGATGCAGATAGGAGATTCGAAACTACACGAATGAATCTAGTCTAATCTAGACATAGACTGACCATGTAGTCAAAGAGTCTCAGTCAGATGATGGGGAAAAGAAAGAAAAAAAAAAAGGTCGACCGTGTCCAAATTGGGTGTAACCTTCCAACAAAACAATCAGAGAGATCCAAGCCCGCTGGAAATCATCCTCCAAAATTCCATTTTACCCTCAACAGTTGCGCCTGTATACAAGAAAAAGAAAATCGTACACATAGCACTTTACAAAGTCCCGTTCGCGTCACCATTCGCTTGCGGCGTTGCAGCATCATCCCAATTCACCTTCAGATCTGAAAAAAGAAAAGTCAGCACAAATAAGGAGCACGTAAGAGGACGGGTATCAAACTTACTCTGCGGGAACGGGAAGAACGAGTTACCCATCTCCATCAGATACTTGTGGTACCTGACCTCCTCCCTCTCGAGCTCCGGCGGGCCCATGACCTGCTCGACCTTCCGGACGACGCCCTGCGGGCCCTTGGCGACGCGCAAGTTGGGGCATTCCCTCAGGACGACCTTGAACAGCGCGGTGAGGGCGACGCGCGTCATGGGCAGGCCGAGGCACTGGTGCTGGCCCGCGCCGAGGTGGATGTACTTCTCCAGCGGGCGGTCGAGGCGGACCTGGTCCGGGTCCGGGAAGGCGTCGGGGTCGCGCGACGCGGCGCGCAGGTGCAGCATGACGCGGTCGCCGGGCTTGAAGTGCAGGTCGCGGCCGGCGTCGGACACGGTGGCGTCGCGGGTGGCGTAGCGGAGGACGCCCGTCTCGCCGTACAGCCGGCTGCCCTCCATGAAGTAGCGCATCAGCGTGTCGAACGACTCGTCGTCGTCGCGGAGCGCCAGCGCGCGGCACTGGGGCAGCAGGGCGCGTCCCTGGTCCGTCGTCAGGAAGAACTCCATCGTCTGCGCGAAGAGCTGGCCCTGGTTCGGGGCCATGCCGCCCGCCGTGCCCATGATGTGGCCCCACACGAGGTCGGGCACTTCGTGGTCGTGCTTGAGCAGCCGCTGGATGAGGTGCACGCCGTAGTCTTCGAGCGTGTTGCCCGTCTCTTTCGAAGGGAAGATTCTGGCCATGGCATTCGACAGGATGCCGCCGCCATCCTTGATGGACCTGACTTTCAGTTCGACGGCCTTGCCCAGGCCGTGCGTCGCCTTGTGGCCCTTCAGACGGAGCTTGAACGACTCTCCCGGGTCCATGTCGAAGAAGACGACGGTGAAGACGGCGGCCAGGATCATGTACAGCTCCAGTTCGGTGAAGAGGCCATGGGGGTTCTTTTTGGTCTTGAGGGGCAGGAGGAAGAGGTCTGCTGCGAAGTGAATGTGAACCAGATTGCCGACATCGCGGATCAGGTCGACTTGGTTGAGTGAGTCACCCAGACTGTACGATTTCTCTCGCAGGAGCTCTTCGCTCTTGGTGAGGTAGTAGTTCTTGACCTCGTTCTGCCAGTTAGAAATATAAAGAGCGTCCTTCATCATCTTGCGGGATTCCAAGTTTTCGTATCCATCGCCTGCAAGCATGAAGTTCTTTGCTGGCTTGCCCATAAGGAACTCCATAGCCGGTCCCCAGGTGACGTTGAAGGTTGCCTTGTCACCGAGGATCTTTTCAGCACACTCGTAGGAGTAGACGAGCCGGAAGGGAGGGATATACTGAGGCCTCTCAAAATTGTACAGGTGTGCTTTGCCCAAAGTTGTCAGAACGTTCTTCATCTCTGAGGGAACAGTGAGCGGGTAGTGCGCATAAACGGAATCAGGCCTGAAGTGGTTGGGGAGCGCCCGCATGAACAGCTTGGAGAAAACGCAGCCATTGTCGATCTCTTTCTCAGATTGCACGAGAGCGAACCCCCAGTTGGTAAGCAGCTTCGGGTGGTAATCCAGAGTATAGAAACGGTCGCCTCGGACGAGTGCTACGGCATCGGAGAGCACGCCGCGCGAGATGGTGTAGTTGGTGCACAATCCCGAGCCAGGCACCATTGGCTCCTTGGCCGACTCGACAACCAGACCGGGGTAGAGCTCGACATGGTCGGGCGTCTCGTAAAGGTGCCTTAGCTGGTCTGCAACTTCGGGGTTGATGTCCTCGAACGTGTTGTGCGGAGTCAGCTTGAAGTGTTTCCTGAACTCATTCAGAGTCGCGCAGTTCCAAGCCCGGGCTTGCTCGATGCCCAGGACCTCGATGGCGCGCATGACGGCGGGCACGCGCCGAGCGCCGAAGCTGTTTGAGCAGTCTTCGATGCTCTCAACGACGATCTTGGCCAGCTCGTCGTCATCATAAGTGCCGTCTTCCTTGCGCTTCATCTTGTTGAACGGCCTCTTTTCAGGCTCCTTAGGGATCTTGCCCTCGAGCCCGTTCAACAGTTGAAGAAACTCGTGCATCTCCATCTTCTTCGGGTCCTTGTCTGGCCAGAGTTCGGCCCACAAATCCTCGGTCCACTTCTCGTCGCGGTCCGAGATGACGGAATGCCAGCGGTACACCAAGTTGAACTCGGCCGAGACCTGGTTTCCCTCTGCCAAAGCGACACCGTCGATCTCAGCACGGGGATTCAGAGCCCAGTTGTCGTCCGTCTTGTTGAGATTGAGAATGGTGCGGACGTAGTCGAGTAGGACGCAGTTGATGTAGAGGCCGCAAGTAATCAACCGAGCGGTCTGGAAGAGATCCTCGTCGTACTGCTTCCACGTCTTGGCATGACGACCGGTTCGCCCCTCAACGGGCTTGTTGAATCTGCCACCTTCGTTGATCTCGGCGAGATTCTTGGCCACGAAGTTGTGGAAGCGGTTGAAGCAGATGAGCAGCACGCCGACGCCGGGGGGGAAGAGAAGGAGACGCTCCTCAGAGAAGCAATCAGGCTTGATCAGGCCGTCCTTGCCAGTCCTCATGAGGGCCAGCTCTTCGTCGTTGCTGCCGTACAGAGGAGCGAGGTCAAGGTATGACGAGGTTTTGGAGCGGGTGAAGTCGTCGTGATCGGTGTCGAAGAGATCGTGGATGATGATGGAGGCCAGGTAAAACAGCATGCTGGAAATCTGGTTGGGGTGTTTTTCGCTCTTGTTCCGGGACATGAGACTGTCAAAGACAACGCCAGCGTCGGGGAGAGCGACCATCTGCGGCGTCTTGGGCTGCACGGTCCTGGCGTAGGGCATGCCGGCAGCGCCGAGCATGGGGTGCTTGAGGCTGTTGTAGGAGCCATCTGCCTTGCGGTACTTGAGGTCTCCGGACAGGAAGGACTGCGGGGGGTGCTGGAGGTCCGAGTACAGCTGGGTCAGGAAGCCGTCGGTGAGCTTCTTGCCCATGGGCGACGAGTCTGGGAGTTTTGCAGCGGCCTGGATCAGGCGCTCCATGAAATAGGTCTTGTCGTTGACGAGCTCGCCGGTGATTTGGTTTTGCAGCACGTCGTACAGGGTCTTGTAGTTGTCGATGCCCAGGTGGCTGAGGTCGGCGAGACTGGACTCGGCGAACTCAAGGGCATCAGTGTGGTAGTCGTCATCGTTGAGGTCGGTGCCGTCGCCGGTACCGGTGGGGACAGGCTTGACCGTCTGGGTGATGAAGGTGCCAAGGGCGGCGACGTGCTTGGAAATCTCCTTGCGCGTCTTGTCGAGCTGCGAGAGCTCGGGTTCGGAAGTGAATTTGGCCGCCATTGCGGGGGGCCCGGGGGATGATGGACTGGGGGACTGGTTAGGCGCGAGAATAAGAAGCAGCAGGCGCGACAAAGGGATGCCGGCTGCGGCCGGAGAGCAGCAGCGGCTTTATCCATGGTGTTCTGTGCATAGGTCGTGGAGCATGATCGTCGGCATCGGGCTCGGGGGAAGCGAGACATGGACTTACACGGTGCGGCGGTGGGGTATCAAGCAAGGGAGGGCCTGCCGAAAGAGGTGCGGCGAGGGTGATGGTATCAGAAGCAACGAGACACGAGGAAAAATCAACAAAATCAACCAAGCAATTACAGCCACACACGTGGTCGCGGGAGGAGGTGGCGGAGGACAGCCTGAGGCGGCGGCGGCGGCGGTGGTAGTTATAGACGCGAGGCTGGCGGGCGGAGGCCGCACAACTGGAATGGAGCAGCAGTCGCGACGGTGTCGTCGCCGTCAGCTCTGCCAGCAAGGGGCCGGCAGGCAGGGGTCGGGCCAATCGTCGAGGGCTGATTATCCGGCCTTCGTGATGCCACCACGCGCCGGCCTGGGGCTGACGCTCGGCATCTGCAATCTGCAATTGCGCCCTCAGCTGCGGTGGGGCCGCGCCCAGCTCACGCCCAGCGACGGCCGCAAGCAGAGGCATGCGCCGGGGCGCCCGTGGCCGCCGGAGCGGACGCGCGGGACTTGGGGCGGCGGACGAGCACCGCGCCCAGGCTGCAGCGGCGACTCCGACGGCATTGGCTGGGGGGGTTGTCGCTCCGTCACTCCGTCACTCCGTCACTGGGCTGAGCTGACGAGGAGCCATGTGCCGAGGCCGCCTGCTGGTGGAACGCCACCAGAGCCTTATGATTACACGGGTTACACGGGTGCACGGGAGCCGTAGGTCGCGCACGTGTGGCTCGGCAGCCGCCCGGAGCTTGGGCCGTGGGCCTAAGTTGGAGCCCTGTCCGCCTGTCCGCCTGTCCGCGACTCACAAAATCCGTTGAGCGTCACATCGACCCGCACACCACCTCCCCCCGCAGCCATGGCCGAACCCATCACGCTCGTCGTGCAGCCGCGTGGTACGCTGTGCTTCCCGCCGCCTCGCCGCCTCGCCGCCCTGCCGCCGCACGCTGACCCAATGCCCTAGGCAAGCCCATCAAAAAGCTCCCCGCCGACACCACCGTTGCCCTGTCCGACTCCACCGCTGAGCTCTACAAGCGCATCGCCCAGGCCACCGGCTCTTCCGTCCACCGTCTGCGCATCGCAAAGGGCAGCGATGGCTCCGTTGTGCCCAATTCGCCCCGCACTCTTGTGCAGGACACCGGCTTGCGCCACAAGAGCAACATCACTGTCAAGGACCTTGGTTTGGCCCCGCATCTCCTGTGCATCATGCCCTTTGAGCTGACATGCTCGCCTTCCTAGGCCCCCAAATTGCATGGCGCACCGTCTTCCTCGTCGAGTACCTCGGGCCCCTGCTCATCCACCCGCTGATCTACTACCTGCGCCCGTACCTGTACCCCTTCCCGTCGCTCACGCCTTCCGACCTCCCGGACCCGACCTCCCTGCAGAAGCTGTCGCTTTGCTTGGTCACAATCCACTTCCTCAAGCGTGAGCTGGAAACCCTGTTCGTCCACCGCTTCTCCAGCGCCACCATGCCCGCCTTCAACATCTTCAAGAACTCCGGTCACTATTGGATCCTGTCTGGTCTCAATCTGGCCGTCTTCACCTACGGCCCCTCCAAGACGGAACTTGGCGCGAATCCCCTGATCGTGTATGCTGCCTGCGCCTTGTACGCCATTGGAGAGCTTGGCAACTTCAATTCCCACTTGGTGCTGCGCAACTTGCGACCAGCCAACAACCCGACCGCCCGTGGCATTCCCAACGGTCTGGGCTTTTCATGGGTCACATGCCCGAACTACCTTTTTGAGATCCTGTCTTGGGTGGGCGTCTGGATCGTCAACTCGCTCATCAGCAGGGCCGGCTTCTTCTCCACCGCCCTCTTCGTTGTCGTGGCAGGTGGCCAGATGGCTGCCTGGGCCGCCAAGAAGGAGAGGAGGTACAGGAAGGAATTCGGTCCTCAGTACAAGCGCAAGAAGTTTGCCATGATTCCAGGCATCTTCTGAGTCGTCTGGAAATAGAATCATGTTGGTGGGCATGTGGGGCCATTGATCGGAATATGATCTACATTATGGATTCGCCCCATCAGGGTGCAGCCCGAACAAGAACGCGGAGCAGACCCGCCGATGCAGGAGCCGATGAGTGGGATAGCTATGGTATACTTGGCCGGGATAAATCAAATATTTGGAGTTAGCTGGGCCGAGGTCCACCCTATGTATTTTCCTTTCCCTCACGTCTCCCATCTCTCATGTTGTTGGATCGGGGGCCAGATCCCGTAAATCTTTGCACATCAGCCTTCCAATCGCGTCCATTCCCCCGATAAAGTCGCCAGAGATCGACGTAAGCTGACATGCTGCATTCCCCAGCCTCCAGCCTCCATGCGGTCATCAGCTTATTCTCGCTTACTCACATTCCTATCACATACCTGACGTCCATAGTTTCTCCTTTCAACCTCCTGCATGCCTAAAGATCAGTCCACCGCCGAAAGCAATTTACACAGACACCATGACTGCGGCGTCGTACAACAGCAGTTGCCTTAACCACTGGACCGCTCATTCGTCCGCCTTCTTTCCTTTTGTTTCCTCTTGCATGACAGCTGAAAATGCACAACCGCATCGGGCTGCCCCGCGTGCATATTGCTTTTGGCGCAGACGAGCGTCGAAAGCTGTCAACCCTTAATGCGCGCCCCTGCATTAGAGGGAACCTTTCCTACTTTTGAGTGGTAATTTGTCTACTCTAGCAGCAAAGTACCATTGTTTCCTCACAGCCCAACTTCAACCCTTCTCTCAACGCCAATCTCGAACGTTTGGAAACTTCAGCATCTTCAGATATATTTCATTTCTATTTTTCTTTTGCGAAGCACAGAATGACTAGCCAACGTCATGGGGACCCCCTCCCCCCCCCCC